CCCCCCCCCCCTCTGGCCTCTTCCTCGCTTGCGTGTCTTTCTTTCCTCTCCCCTTTTCCTCTTCTCCCAACCTCCGTCTTCCTCTTTTTCTCGTTCCCTACTCCCCCCCCCCCCCCCCCCCCCCAAATGTCTTTGCCCTATTAGGACCCATTACACCAGCCAAAGACCGGACCCGCAGAAAAGCGTCTAGGGACCCTATAATAGTGGGCCCTCCCCCATTCCCTCGGGGTTGCGGTCGTTGATGATGATACACAGGCTGAGTAGGCACAGTGTTGTACGCAGTCCTGAAACAAACCACCAAAAAAAAAAAGTTTCAAGTGAGCTCAACCGCAAAACACATCATCCCGCACAAAGAAACCAACAACAACCGTCAAAAACAACACTCAACTGGTTGTAGGCGCGAGCGTCGCGAAGGAGAGCCTCCTCGTCCTCCTTGCGGCGGATGGACGAGAGAAGAACACAGCTGAAAACAAGGCCGAGCAGCTCGATGGCGGCGGCAGCAGAGCCAGCACCAATGGCAATGTTGGCATAGTGCTTCAGCTCGTGCTTGATGTCTTCATAGCAACCGTTGGCATAGCCGGGTTGGGGAATGTGGCAGACGTTCTTGGGGTCGGTGGTGGTCGAGTCCGTGCTGTTCCAGAAGCCGCAGCACTTGAGGTCGTTTTGGATGTCGTTCTTGGTGTCGGTGTCTGCGCTGTTGAACGAGTCAAACAGCGACTCGTCGAGCTGGTGGACAAAACAATGGAAGAATCAAAAATGAATTTAGAAAAAAAAAGGGGGGAGGGTTGTTCCAATAGAAGCAAACTCGGCAGTGTGACTTACATCACCAGAGTACTTCCAAGCAACGACAGCGATGGTGATTTGGGCGGCAATGAAGATGATCATGAAAGCAAAGTACTGTTACGGCGTGCAATGTCAGAAAATGCTCGAGACAAAAAGCTCCAAGACGAAACAGCTGCTTCCGGGCTTTCATCACTTACAGCCTTAAGCATGCCGCGGCTCTCTCGGTTGGCGCCGCAGCAGCCAAAGAATGCGAGGAGGAAAATAAAGGCGCCGACAATAATCAGACCTGTCAAAGCAAAAAAAAAAAAAAAAAAAAAAAAAAATGAGAAAGGTGCCAAAACGGTTTAAAAAAACACCCAGCATGACAAGCTACAACCGGAATACAGCAAAAGAACAAAAAGAATAGACAAGACAAAAAATCAAAGATGTGACGACAAAGCGGGTTTCATTGCCAAGGCGCACAATGGAAAAAAAAACAACGCCATTGGAACAGAACGACGTGAAGAAGAAGACAAAAGTATAAAATAAAATAAAATAAAATATAAAAATATCAAAGTCAACTTTACCCCATGAGAGATTGAAGCTCTTGAGCTGCTCAATGCTGCCGCGCTGGGTCGTGTAAATGCCGAGGCCGAGAATGGTGCCTCCGAGGACCTGTATGCCAGATAGAGGGGGGGCCAGGTTGTAAGTACAGTGAGCGACAGTCAAACCTAAACCCAAAAAAAAAAAAAAAAAAAAAAAAACTTGATGACGAAACGGTCGTCGTCGTTGTTGGGCTTTTTGTTGTGTTGTTTGTGCTGTCGCTCGTCCACACTCTTCTGCGCTGCTCTCTATCAGTCAGCGCGAACGTCAACGACGGAGGGGGGAGCGAGCGTTGTGCGAATGGACGCGCGCCGTGTCGAGCATTGCGTTCAGCCCCACGAGTTCCATCATTGTTCATTCAAAATAAAATAGCATAAAAAACCCAGCTTTTTTTTTTTTTTTTTTTCTGGTTCCGTTTTGTCGTCGCGCGGGTTACTCTACCGGACGACCCCCAACCACCGAACCCCCATGCAGCGTGAGACGAGGTGTGTGTGTGTGTGTGCGTGTGAGCAACGGCAGCGAAACGACAGACAAGCACGCACCAGGAAGAGGAGGTTGAAGATAACGAGGAGATACTTGGCACAGCGTGCGCCGCCGCCGATCGTCGGTTGCATGATGATTGAAAGTATGAATGAATAAACTCAAAGACTGAATGCATCCAAAACAAGGAAAATGAAAAAAGAAGGATAAAATGGGGAAAATGGAAATGGAGATCGAGGATGGGTGGATGGATGGAGGATGCGTTTGGGAACAGAGAGAGACGCCGTCACAGCAACAAAAAACCAGCATTCTCAGACTTGAAAAGGCCTCTCGTTTTCTCGAGGGTCTCTTCTGTGGTCAAGATGGTGAACAGCTCGATTGCATTGGAAATTGCTCATCTGCGAAAGCGTTTGGTTGATCCATTCCCGAAGCCCGCGCTCAGACTGAACGCCTCCTCGCTTGACCTCTACTTGTGATGCTGTACAGCACAAGTGCTCAATTCTTTGCATTGGAGTTACTCATCTATTCCCAATTCATTGACGAATGAGACCAGTCTCTATCTGAAACCAAAAAGCCCTTCTGAAACAATGGCAATCGCGCCAACTTCACAATCGTCTGCGTTGCGATTGGCAATGGCGTACTACGACGATGACGATGACGACGATGATGACAACAGCAACAACAACAACACTAGTAATAATAACGATAGTAACAGGGATAGTACGACCAATGACAGGAGCACTGGCGATGGCACAACTCTGGACCACGCTCAGCAGAGCGAGCAATCACAGCCACACCAAGACCATCACCATCAAGACCATCATCATCATCATCGCGATGACGACCAGTACGGGCACAGTAATGCTGCCACGCCAATGGACACTGCAGAGCAGCGACCTCAACGCAACCAAGTCGTCGCTCAAACCGAGTCGCACCGCCACGACGACGACCGCGACGACGACGACGATGCCGCAGACCAAGTGCCTGCGAATGGACCGTTCTTGGACACGCGAGGGGTCGTGCTGCCGCCAATCCCAACGGGCCCGTGCGATCCCGCGCTGCAGCGCCAGATTGCCGCCTTCATTCGCATCAAGCAGACCAACTCGGGCGCGACATTCAACCAGCGCCTGTTTGCAAGCAAAGCATTCCGCAATCCAATCATCTACGAGAAACTCGTGCAGTTTTGCGAGACGGACGAGTACGGATCCAACTTGGTGCTCGAGGCGCACCGAGACCGCTTCCAAGAAGACAGCCTCTACGAAGCCCTTGCGCAACAGCAGCAGGATTTCATTGCAGAGAAGGCGCGCCAGTTTCATTTGCAGCAGCAGAACATCAGCCATGTGCACCACTTTGGCAAGCGGCCTGGGTCAAGCACCGCAACTGCAGTTGGAGCCTCTGCCGCTCAGACCGCCGCTCAGCAGCGCGCAGCCACCTCCTTTGTGTCCGCCGGCACCATGCAAAGCAGCAATACACATTCTCCTCAGGTCCGCGGCAAGTGGGACGGCCCTCAGCAAGCCCCAGGGCCGTACATTGGCGGCGCGAGCGCAACATCTAGCGGCGCCGCGCTCAATCCAGCCGTCGCAGCAGCGATCGCGAAAATAACGCAAAACCTGCCTTCGTCATCACAGGGAAGGAGATAGATGCTGTGGTGTCCAACAATACAAACTTTGGTGTTAGATCTACATTTGTGTTTTGGAAAGCGCTTCCGCTATCGAATCTATCGAATCGGGAAAAAGTTCACACAATATTTTTGATTTTTGACATGTACAAAAAGCAAGCACGAGCATAGGCTTTGCGCTCGTCTGCGGTTAATCTTCACCGGGTGGCGCTTGGTCTTGCAAAATTTCGAGCAGGCGAATGCGCATTTCCGTGGCGTCGTCTCCTCGCAATGTGTCTCGCACGAATTCAGTCTCAACCTTCATGTGGATCTGGTGTGACAAAACAAAACGATGATTGCAGATGCACAGTGTTAGCAACACGGCACAAAAGGAGACCAACAGCTTGAGAGAATCTCACTCACCATCTGCAAGGCGCCTCGTAGGACGCCGCATAGGATATTCGAGTACCGCAACTGCTTGTGTGACTCGGGCAACTCGACAAACTCGGTCAGGGGGTTTTCGTCAAACATGAGCGAGAATTCTCGGCCCTCTGCATCCCAGCCAGTGACTGTCGGTGTGATGCCCAGGAACATTTTAAATCCGACCTGCCAAAAAGGAAGCCCCCAATTGCCAAGTGTGAGGTCAAAAATCTCCACCACCTGAAGCAAAAGAGCTCGTTCTTGTTGGTGTATAGAGCATCTCCATACCTTGGAAATGACTTCGGCCGTCTCTTTGAGGTCCTGGCACTTGCCCGTATTCGTTCGCGCGAGGAACTCTTCAATGAGACGGATGCCAATATTGTAGCCCCTGTGCGCGTCCACCCAACCCCAACCCCAAAACCCAAGCAAAGCCATTCAATGCAAGACCCAGGGATGAGTGAGCAGCCAGCCAGCCAGTCAGCCAGCCAGCCAGCCAGCAAGGAGAGCAGGGGCAATCTGGCGAGATCTCTCAATTCCCGCTCTCACTCTCTCCCTCTCTCTCCCCGTCTTCTGCGAGTCGGGGCGGCGCTCACATCTTCTCGAGCTGCTTGTTGACCTCCTCGTCGTCCTCAAAGTCCTTGATGAGCTGCGCGACGAGCGAGCCGTACGTCAGCGTGAAGAGCTCAGAGTTGATGCGCTTGACGTCCGGAACACGAAGCTGCCTTGACATTGCAAAGTGTTAAGAAGAGTGAGACTGAGATGTGATGTTACTTGTATTGTGTTTTGAATATTGTAAGAATAATGCAACGTGGTTTAAGCTCAGAGATTGTCTTTCAAGGCACCGGTCTCGATTTGTTTTTCGGTTTTTTTGGGATTTTGGTCGTTTCAGGCGTCTCATGCCAGGGCAACCGCGGCGGTCGCAGCGGTTTGCATCAACGAAACAGCCACTGGCAAGACCGTCCTCAAGATTTGCTTCCTGTGCTTCGTGTCACGCTTTTCCAACATTCTCGCGACCAAATTGAAAAGAGAATACGGGAAATATGAATTTGAAGTCGAACTTCGAGCCATTGCGATGTATCCGCGATCAAGCAAGTAGTGTAGTGTTTCATTCAACCGCGACTTGTCTTTCCGATCCACCTTGCCTCCATCTTGAAGAGTCTTCCACAAGTCGTCGACGTCGGCCTGTTCCAGCGGTTTGAATTCCGAATGCCATGCATTTTGTTGAATGTATTCAGCGTCGTCGGTCGTAGCGTCCTCAGGGTACATGCGAAGGAGGATTGACTTGTTATCGTGAATGAGCAGGTCCAACATAGCCAAGTGGAGATGCCGTGCCGCAAAGTGATTCATGTAATTCGTGTTTACCTCGCTGCTCGACAGGTCATTGGGTGGCGTGGCTGTGCCGGTGTCCACCTTGCCAATCTCACGTGCATTGGCTCCAACCATGTAGAGTATATGACGGTGACGAGCAAGAATGTCGTTCGTGGGTTTCGGCTGGCGCAGTAGCATTCCCACGACATCGATGTCAACAGGCGTCGGCGTGTAGACGCGTTGGACGGAGAACTTTGTGTCATTTAAATTGGGCATGCCTTGAAAACTTAGAGGGAACTCCGTCTCCTGGTCGCCACAGATGAGACTGGGCAACGTGGCGGAGGAGCCGCACAAGACAACAGCAACCAGACCTTCGGTGCTGTTTCCAAAAACTTGAAATCCGGCCAACGTGGCGGCGAAAGAGTCTCTCGTCGCAAAACGGTAGCCCTCGTCAAGTTCATCGACGATAAGCAGCATACGTAGGCCGTGAGCATCCAAAAAATTCAGCAGGGCCGCGTGCGCAGGCTGACCCTGCCCCACCTGAAAATTGGCATCATCGGGCACCTTGAGCGCGCGTAGCACGCTGTTCAGTCCACCGTGCTCGTCTACCAGAGGGTGAGTTTGTGCTTGAATGCCCGTGTAATTGAGATAAACCGGTATCACATTAGGCCAAAGGCTGGCAGCAGCTTTGATGAATGTCATGCAAGTGGCCGTCTTGCCGATACCCTTAGCGCCAACCAGAGTTCGAGTGGCTGCGCCATTGCGGCCTTCATACTTTCCAGCGCTGAGAAAGTTTGTGAGATTCGTGAGGTAATCCAGGATGTCGTTGTGGGCTGGGGTTTCGTATAAAAAGCCAGGTCGTTGCTGACGCACTTGTTGTGTCGTACAAAAGGCAGCGCAGGGGGATGATGTGCATTGCGGGAAGGTGCGCGCAACATACAAACCGCGCTCCGCGTTGCGCCTCGCTTCTTTATTGGCTACCGGGAGAGAAGTGGTGGACATCAAGGGAGGTGATAGCGAGTCAAAGTGACCTGGCACGGATGCGACTGAGCTGGACGAGGGTGCAATGGCCGGTGCAGCTAGGTTGGACGCTGTTGGGTGTGCAGTGGTCGATCGCCAAGGAAGCTTGAACTTGGGGAACTTTATGGGCTTCATGGAACTTTGAGAATGAAACGCAGTTAGCCGAACTGAAAGCACCAAGCTGTCTGATTTGTGCGCCTACTGCATGCCTCAACAATCATACTTGTCATCCGGTACGTTGCACGACGCAGTGTGTTGCGTCTTACCACCTCATAACGCGAGAACAAGTAAGCTGAAGAAGTCTAAAGAACACAAACGCATTTTGGCGCAATTTTGAAATTGTTCTCAAGTCTACCCAACCTCACAGAACCACAAGCCGCGATCGACTGGTTCCAACGCGAAGTATTTGAATGCATGCGATGGCAGAATCCAGCAGCAGCTCAACTCTGTACATTGCCTGGCTGTGCAAATTTGCATCACACCAAACAAAACTATCTTTCTTTCTACTGTCTCAACTTCTTTCTGTTTGAGCTCGCCCTCGCCCTCCAGTGTTTTATAGATATCTCAAGTCGTGTATACCCGACACGGCGAAAGCAGCGCGAGATGGCTCTGATGATGCGAGCCGAACAGACACGCCTTGCTTGATTCACAAATGAACAATCGAACAACTCAAACAACTCACTGTCAAGATGAACAATACAACAACTCACTGTCAGACGAGAATCACACAGCAGCTGGAGACGGAAAAAGGCGGGCAGAAAAAGAAGGAATGGATTTCTCAGCAGGCGCAATTCTAGCAGGTCGCCTTTCTTCTTACCCTGACCCCCGTCGCTTTGCACAATTAGGTTTTGATCAATTTGCTACCGATTAAAGTGGAAGACTCCTCTTGGCAACTTTTTTTTTTTGGGGGGGGGGGTTCTGGCTCGGTTGGTTGTGACCCGGACCAAAAAAAATGACCTTCCCCTCCCTTCCTCGCAGTGTTTCAGCATCCCAACGTGGAAACCTGCCTAGTATGATGCTATTGCACCCTCTGCATCGATTTACTGAGGAGGAGGGGCGAAAAGTCAAGATCACCATTGCGGTCTGATCGCATTCTCAGCGAGTTTGAGATTTTCAGCCATTCAGTCTTTTTTTTTTGCTTATTCTTTTGGCGATCGACTTCATTCTTTATAGATTGCTGTTGTTGTTGTCATCGAGTTGAGCTTTTGTTAGAGTGGTGCTGTTCCAGAGATGATGAGGATGATGATGGCGACGCCTGCCGCTGCTCTCATCGCCAAGACCGCTTCTCCACTCCGGCGGCGACCGTTCGTGTCTGCATTGGCTGCATCGTGCACATTGATGCATGCACAACAGACGCCGAGTTTGACAACGGGGAGGCGATCTGCTTCAACATCTGCGTCCATGCAGCCTGCTACAACCACCGCAGCGACCAGGGCTGATACCGACTGGCTCGCACTGCGACCGAGCTTCAAGATCAATGCCAGCAACGTCCGCGTGCTGCATGAGCCGTCCGACTTTTTCTCAACGCTGCTGGTATGTGTAGAGCGCCTTATTCTGCGAGCATCCTCGTGTTGCGTTCATCCAATCATCATCGTGACCATCGTGATCATGCTGCTATATGGGTGGTAACAGTAGTAGTAGTAGTATTGGAATCTCATTTGTGTGTATTTGTGTTGCAGAAAGGCGTTGCCCAAGCAAAACGACAAATCACTCTTGCTTCGCTCTATTTAGGCACCGGCGCGCGAGAACGCGAGCTAGTAAGGAAGCACGACCTGGCTTTTGTGCACCCAATGTGTGCAAGCCCGTGTTTGGCTTATGATTCTACTCTGTTTCAATCGCGACCAAAGGCCTCACATTCAACATTTGTTTTCCCGCTCGACAGATTGAAGCACTTCATCTTGCCCTCTCCACACGACCTGAACTGCGTGTGAATATTCTGCTCGACTGCATGCGAGGATCTCGTGGCGAGAACGAAAAGAAGAGCAGCCGTGCCATGCTGCTGCCTCTTCTGGAACGTTTTGGAGATCGCATCACACTGTCGCTCTATCACACGCCGTTGCTTCGATCTCTGAAGAAGAAGCTCATCCCAGCCAAGTTTGATGAAACAATCAGTGTTCAGCACATGAAGCTGTACATGTGGGACGACACCATTTTGTTAAGCGGGTAAGGGTTTTTGGGTCGACATCCAATCGAGTCAAAGTTGTGTCCCACTCACTCACACACACACATGATTTGTCTGATTCCCCTCTCCTCAGAGCCAACCTGAGTCAGGACTACTTTACCAATCGTCAGGATCGTTACATGCTGTTTGAAGACTGCCCAGAAGTTGTCGGATTCTTCCAAAAAGTCAGCCGAGTGGTTGAGGAGCACTCATACCGCGTGAGCAGCAAGAATACCCTCGAAGCGCGCCGATTCGATCCCCTCGCATGCTCTATTGATGAATTTGGTGCAAGTATGGCCGCAGGCATGCGTGCCATTCTCGCTCAAGCGCCGCAACATTCGCCCGCGCAGCGTCCGGCCTCCACGGAAGCATTGGTGCTCCCGTCCATCCAACTTGGTTGCTTTGGATTCAAGCACGACCAGGCCATCACGTCGCATATTTTGAGCTCAACCCCGACGGACTGCGCTGTTTGGGTTGCGTCGGGCTATTTCAACTTTCCCGAATCGTATCAGCAACTGGTTCTCGGCCAAAGCCAAGGTGCCACCAAGACTGAGTTTAAGATTCTGACAGCTGCTCCGTTGGTAAGCTTGCTGCTATTAAGCACAAGAGAGGAGAAGCGAAGACTGGGAGAATGTTCGGTCTGACTTTCTTTGCCTTGGCCCGCTTCTCACATCCGTTTCCTCCACTCCACGCTGTCGTCTCACTGCTAGGCGAATGGATTTTTCGGCGCGCGTGGTATTCCAGGACTGGTTCCGGCCGCCTACACCAGTATTGAGCGCGCCTTCTTGCGACGCGTGGAAGCACTGAATGCACCCGATAGAGTGCAACTGTTTGAATGGATGAAGCCTCAGTGGACCTTCCATGCGAAAGGCATGTGGTTTTACCATGCATCTGCACCGACCCCACACATGACGCTTGTCGGATCTTCCAACTTTGGTGAGTTTGGTGGTCGCTTCTGACTTTTTCATTGTTTCTTTGTTTTGTTTGTTTTGCTTTGTTTGCTTGAAGGTTATCTACTGTCCCTATGTCTAACACTTGCTTTCGTGTGATCTTGTGCAGGAATTCGGTCGATATTGCGAGATATCGAGGCACAGGTAGCGCTAGTCACCGACAATGGCCAGCTCCAACAGCAACTGCATGTGGAACGCGAGCGACTCTTCGGAGCCAGTACCCGCGTCACCTTAGCGAGTTTGAATAGTCAGCCAGAGAGAGCAGTGTCCACCAGTGTGGCACTAACGACGCAGGTCATCAAGACATTCTTTTGATTCGAATATTCTGGTTTTCAATAAACACTACAATCTCCGACTAGATCCGCTCCAATAATGTCAATGAAGTGATTAATTGACTTGTATGTGCTTGTTGGTGCTTTCGAGGCTGACATGGAGATGCTGGGTGCACTTTCCCCGAGTTGTCAAAGTGTCGCCGTTCGAACGATTTCTTGGGACTAGGACCTGTCTGCTTTGCCGATCTCGAGTTTAATTAGATGACAAAAATGATTGTTTATGCCTTGAAATGTCGCAGAGCCTGTTGTTCCTGTTGGTAAAGAGATCGGGTTTTCGAGAAAAAGTCGAGTTTTCGAAACTTTGCACGGGGTTGGCTCTTGGAGCTACTGGCCAAATAACGTCTGCTGATTGATGTTCAATATGCTATTGTATCTATCCTTGTGTATCTTGATGAATTCAGGGACGCAAAAAATCTTTAGGGCTGGACAAGCTGAACTTTGTGTTTGGCAAGGTAAGGAAGAGTGAACGAATGCAGCACGAAACCAAAAAACGAAGGTCGACCTGACTTCTTTTCGGGATCGCAACTCTCACATGTCCGAGACGGGAAAAAAAAAGCGTTAGAGCAATGTACTCAGTCATGTGAGTGGTGTGTTCGCTTGCGTCGGGAGCTAGAAGGAAGAAAAAAAAACAAACAAAAAAAAGCAAAACAAAAACAAGAAAAAAAAAACGTGCGAACGCCGAGAATCGGACTCGGGTCAAGTCGTTGGCAACGACCTATTCTGCCACTGAACCACGTTCGCATTTCTTGATGCATTACGGTGGGGCAAAAGAGCATCCGACTAAATCGACATGGGATTGAAAAATTGGTGCAAAGGGGAAAGCAGAGGCGGACTGCTACTCGTTCAATGTCATGTCGAGCCACTACACGCATAGACATCAATTGTTTTCAATTGGTCCGTCCCCTCGTCTTCGACTCCTCTGGTTTCCGTTTTTTTTTTGTTTTGTTTTTTTTTTTTCCGTTTTCTGGCTGAAAGCTGCAAACATCGGGTAAAATCACGCCACTTCAGAGTAAACGATATGTGCTAAAATGGGCCATGCAAAAGACTTGACTTGTTGGATATTACATCAGACGACGCTTCAGCTCTAGCTGCCCAATCTGCTGCAAATGCACTTCGGTGGGACCGTCGGCAAACTTGAGAACACGACTCCACGCGTACATTTGCGCAAGTGGAATGTCGTTGCTCAGACCCATAGCGCCGAACGCTTGCATGGCGCGATCAATGACGCGGAGCGCCATTTCGGGCGCAGCAACCTTGATCATGCCAATCTCCATCTTGGCGCCCTTGTTGCCGACCGTGTCCATCGCATGTGCAGCCTGAAGCGTCAGCAAACGTGCCTGGTCAATGTCGATGCGCGACTGAGCAATGCCATGCACAATCGAGTTGAACGCTGCGAGTGGCTGGTCGCCAATTTTGCGAGACAGCACGCGCTGCTTCATCAAGTCAAGACAGCGCTCGGCGTGGCCGATCAGTCGCATGCAGTGGTGGATGCGACCGGGACCCAGTCTGCCCTGTGCAATCTCAAACCCACGACCCTCGCCAAGGAGCAAATTGGACGCCGGCACACGCACGTTCGTAAACGTCATTTCAGCATGGCCGTGCGGCGAATCGTCATATCCAAACACGGTCAAAGGGCGCTTGATGACCACACCAGGCGTGTCCATTGGCACGAGGATCATGCTGTGGCGGCTGTGTCGAGGTTGGGTGCCATTAATGTCGCTTTTGCCCAAGACGATGGCGATTGAGCACCGCGGATCCAATGCGCCTGCTCGTGCGGGGAAAGTAAAAGCGATGGAAGCAAAACAGTGGCGAAAATGCAATGGGCGGAGCAGGTTTGAAAAGTTAAAAACACAAACCAAAACAAAACGCCCAATCAAGTGTCCTTTGACTCACCTGAAATCCACCACTTGTGACCATTCACAACGTAATCAGAGCCATCGCGAACAATAGTAGTGCCAATGTTTGTCGCATCGGAAGAGGCCACGTTGGGCTCGGTCATGGCAAAACACGAGCGAATCGTTCCAGCAAGCAACGGTTGCAGCCAGCGACTCTGCTGCTCTGGAGTACCGTAGCGGATTAACACCTCCATGTTGCCAGTGTCCGGAGCGGAGCAATTGAAGATTTCGGGAGCAAAGAGCGACCGACCCATCACTTCGCACAGGTGCGCGTACTCAAAGTTGGACAACCCTGCCCCAAACTTTCCCAGAGGATCCGCCTCGCGAGGAATGAACAAGTTCCACAAGCCGCGTTCCCGAGCTGCCGCTTTCAGCTCTTGCATCTGATGAAGTACAGTCCAGCGCTTGTCGGAGAACTGGTGCTTGGCAGTGGCGCTTTCACAGGGGAAGACAAATTCGTTCATGAAATCGAGAAGCTTGGCACGCAATGGCTGAACGGACGCAGGAACTCCAACAAGAGACGGAACACCCACGTGAGAAGAAGCGGCGGACTTGGAGTGTTCACTGGCTGCGGCCGGTTCAGACTGTGCACGATGAGGTGCGGTCGCGGCACGATGCGCGGTCGCACTCTGCCAGCCCAGATTGGCACCAACCATGGCCGCACTGCCAACCGCAAGAGCATTCTGGGAGCTCGCATTCCCGCCGACAGCGCGCTTGTGGACTCCTTGCAGAATGGAAGCAACGCGAAACCATGCGAACGCCATGTAAAAGTTCCAGTGCCGAAGCAGGTGCTCTGTCTGCGATGCATCAAGCGCCCGGTTGCGGCAGTAAAGCTTGACATAGTCCTGCTCAGTTGGAATCCCCTGGTTGGCAAAGTCGCTGCTGCGTGCAACGAGTTCTTTCATCCCAATGACGCCGGGAAACGTCTCGGGCAGGTGGTATGGTAAGCAATTGTAGGCAAGATCAGAAATGGTATCACCAAGCGTGGACAGCTCCCAGTCCAGCACGGCCAGCACCTGGGGCTTTGTGGGGTGCAGAATGAGATTGTCCAGTCTGCCATTAGCAACAAGTGAGTTGAATTCCGTGCCTGTTTTCACTCCCGCAAACACGTTGCAAATCATCAGCCTTTCCCCTTCCCCTTCCCCTCCCTCCCCCAACATTACCGAAAGTCGCCATGCACAACGCCGGCTGGCACGACGGTCGAGGGAATGTTGGCAGGCAGCCAATCCGCCAACCGCAGCATGGTTTCGTTTGGTTTGTCCACAATCGAGGCTTGATACTGCTTGGTCCACCGCGCAATCTGTCGCTCGTAGTAGTTTTCGGTCGGTCCATACCCTTGCAAGATGTCGTGTTGGTCCACGTTGACCGAGTGCAAGCGAGCCAAAATGCGATTCATTTCGGCGTAGATTTCTCGGCGTTCTTGAGCCGTAGACACTTCTGGTAGCTTCGGATCCTTGAAGATGCGGCCGTTGACCAGCTCTACAAGCTGTGGGATGAGTCAAAATGTTGTCATTCATCCAGACATGGCAAGCATCAATGAGGCGTTTGCACAATCCCAAAAACAAAAAGTTATAACATCCATTCCCAATTGCTCCCAACCCACTCCAACACAAGCGCAACACCACGCTAATGCAAGCAGCAAGAACTTACATAAAAGCTGGTGCCAATCACGCGCTGGTCCTGGCAGAGCAAGAGCGGTTTGGCAACCGGCATGTTGCTTTGCGCAAGGCCGAGAGTCACCCGGAATTCTCGGTCAAGCCGGTGTGCCGATGGCAAAAGCTTGCCCGGCGGTTGTTTGCGCAGCACAAACTGCCGAGACTCTGCGCTTGTTGAGGACGAGGGGTTGCTGACAATCAGAAGGAAGGTCGGGTTGGACTGGCCGTGAGCAAACTGCCGCACCTCGATGGCCGATTCCGGTGTAAGACCAATGCTCTGCAGGAATGCATCACCCGAATGGTGGTTCAGCACGGTGACTGTGTCCAGACTTGCAATCTGCGACCAATCCAATTTGCGATGATCCTGGTGCGCCAGGACGAGATTTGGCGTGGCAATATCCAGTGTCTGTCCTGCAGTCCCGGTAGAATGGACTCTGGGGCCCATTGTAGAAACACTCGCATCGGCAGATGAGGCGGATTGGCTGGCAGCGAGTCCCAGCAGGAACGCCTTGAGGCGGTCAACGTCAAATTGGTGCCCGGGTCGGATTGGCGTCGTCCCGCTCTTGGAGCTGCTCACGCCGGCCATCGCAGTGAAAACGGTGCGTGTAGCCATGGCTTGATGTCTGAGTGCACGGGCGCGCACGGAGGCCACACATGATGGGAGCAAGATTGCAGCAGAGCGGAACATGATTCGGCGTGGTGCTGCGGAATGACTGCGTTAGACGCCCAATATCAAGATTAGGCCCCAAATGATATTCAATGCTGGAGGTTGAGTGAGTGCGATCGCGTTGACAATTTCGGGGGGAAAACGCGATCTGAAGTCCTGTGGCTGCTCTGTTGCTCTTCAACCCTGAGCAAATCCCGATTGTCGACCATCTGTGCCTTCGTGACTTTTTGTACTCGAAATACAGTACATGCTACGACATCTAGATCTGAGATGACAATATTATTGCTTCCATTTCCAGTCTTCTTATTCTTTTGTGTTTGTGTGCGATGAGCGACCAGCAGGTGAGCCAGGACACCCGAGCACTTTGAATCCCCCCCCCTTCAAAAGAACCATCGCAGCGACGCCGATCTCGAAGCAACAGAACAGAGCGAGATCGGCAGAGCAATGCAAAGTGGGGGATCAGACAGCAGAGAATGCAAATCCCAGCCAAAAAAAAAAAAAAAAAAAAAAAAAAAAAAAAAAAAAAAAAGCTGCATTGCTTGCTGATCTTCCAAAGCTGATTCCACTCACTCTTTGTTGCAAACACTGTTGAAACACCCTGACGACTCACACAGACGACGAAGGGCGTCGCTGCTGCCCAGGCCGGAGCACCGCTGGGACCGCGCGGGTTTCTGTTCAAGCAAGGCGAGATCAACCGCGGCTGGAAGCGAAGGTACTTTGCAATGGGCCAGTTTGACCGCCTGTGCTACTTTCGCTCTGGTCCAGCGTCGTCATCAGCGACGACCAGCAGCACTAGTAGCAGTAGTGGTAGTAGCAGTAGTAGTAGTAGTAGTGCTACTACGACTGGCGGTGGATTGAGTGCTGGTGCTGCGGGTGCCGCCGTCACTGAGGTCGCTGCAGACGTCATTGGCCATGTCGCGCTGCTCGACGCTCAGTCCATCCACTCGGCAATCCCGCCACATCCGCCAAAGAAGCACATGGTCAATTGTGCATTCGACATCCAGACATCCACTCGCACCTGGCACTTCATCACAGAGGTAAAAACGAACAGCGCAGCCATTTTGGCATTGTTCAGGAAGAAGGAATTTGCTCACTCAGGGCGACTCATCGCTGGCTCTCGTCTGGCTCTGCTCATCGTTGGTGTGTACAGACGAGCGAGGAGGTAGACCGCTGGGTCAAGGAGCTGCAGGCCGTTCGTGCTTACTGGCTCAAGCAGATCGAGCTGGGCAACGTTACCGCGGAAGAGTTGGGTGCCGAGCCGGCTGAGGAAGACAAGCCCGAGGTCCACAAGGTCTGTACCATGACTCTTTTGCTGTCACTCGAGTCTTGGCATTTGGAAGAGAGTTCGATGTTGGTGACAAAGGGGGGGGGAAAAAAAGTGGCTGACCGATCTCGTTTGTCCCCAAAAATTCTGCAGACTGGATTGCACCTGCCATTCCTCAAGAGCAAGAAGAAGCAAGCCGCGGCAGCTGCAGCTGCAGCTGCTACCGCCACGACTCCTACGCCCGCGAACGGCGGACACCCTACTTTATCGAAAACACCCTCGGGGCAGTTCACGGGCAGCTCGCCAGTTTCGTCCGAGCCAACGTCGATCAGTTCGTCGCCGCCTGGGGACGGATTGGTCCACAGTTCTGACTCCATCTCGAGTACAGGTGCCATCATTGTCAAAATTCACTTGCTGGGCGCGGGCGAGTTCCGAACCATGCCCATCACCTCGACCAGCACGGCCGAGCAGCTGGCGAGCAAGCTTGCGAGCAAGCTCCATGTCGGTTCTGATCAGCGCGAGCAATACTCGCTTGTCGCTGTTCCAGCGAGCGCTTCTGGCGAAAGCACCGTGTCCGTTCACAACCCGCCCGAGCCGCTTTCGTGCGAAACGAGTGCTCAAACATTGGTGCTGGACGAAGATGACAACATCTCCTCGCTCAAGACCAATGGTTTCAAGCTCTACTATCTGGATCGCATGAAATGTGTAGTGCAGCCGATCGGCATGCCCGATGGGTCGTTCGTCTCCCTTCCACTGACGTACGAGATGACTGCCGCTGAAATTTGCGGCTTGCCTGTCCTCGCGGCTCGCTTTGCACAAATCTATGCTGTGCTATCCTCTGCAACAGACGCAACTACTCCTTCGATTGGGCTGTTCTTGCGCACCGTCGACGAAAGCGGCGCTGTCTCGCAGCAGCTGTTTTCTCAGTACGACAAGCCGCTCGAAACTCTGTTTGAATCGCCCGACAGTGATGCGATTCCTGTTGCCAAATCGCAGGGAGAAGGCACGTCTGTTGCACTGTACTTGCTGAACAAGACTGCGCACGAAACGGTGCACAGTGCGACGCCGGCTGCAGGTCGCGACAGCATCGGAGACGAGCTCTTCCTCCGACCAGGCCTTCGAAACTCTGTTTTCGTGCGACCCGACGCCGACGATGAAGATGACTACCTCGAGAAGGACGAGGCCGCGGCGATCGAGCGCGATGCTGCTTTGGGCTTGTTTTCCAAACATGCCGTTGATGAAGCCGAAGCCTCTGCAGCGCCAGCGGCAGTCTCTGCAGATGTGCATCAAGACGATTCCAGCTCCGAAGAGCAGCATGTCGAAACACATTTGGAAATTCCTGCGACAACGCTTCCGCAAGTTGATTCAACTGTGCCGTCTGCGACTGAGAGCTCGGTCGTTTCAGTCACCTCACCCGGTTTGCCAAGCAACGAGGCTGCTGCTGCTGCTGCTGTTGTAACTGCCAAAGTGACGTCGCGTCCAGGGAGCGCGGGCGCATCACAATCTACCTCCAACTCCAGCACACCTTCGAGTTTGAACGCATCAAGTCAGCTTTCTTCGGCCGCGAACGCCGAGCCTGTAGACGAGCTTCCTCCGAAAGGCAGTGTGCGGGATGCGCTCAAAGTATTTGGAGGCTCAGGCTCGTCTTCTACTCCCTCGCCTGCAGGCCAAGGCAAGAAGAAGGGCGCTGCCAAGAACGCAGCCGCGGCTGCCGCCCCAGCGAAGGCGAAAGCCTCCTCCCCACCAGTGGAGCCTGCGGCGGAACCGGCTGCTTCCTTGGCCACTTCAGCGCCGCCATCCACGGAGAATGTTGCGACGCCTTCTTCTTCGTCGGCCCCAGCTGTTGCTGAGAACGTTGCGACGGTTTCTTCATCCACCCCGTCAGCCGGCGCTGCCGACACAACCGCTGCACCCAACAAGCAACCTGCGACCAGTGCGGCCGCCTCCTCGTCCACTCCAACCAAAGGCGCTGCAGGAAAGTCGAAAAAGCAACAAAAGCAGCAACAAAAGCAGCACGCTGCATCCGAACCAGCACCCGAACAACCAAAATCTGAGGTTCCGACCTCGACCTCCACCGCTACGCCTGTCAAGCCAACGGTTGCGCAGCAGAATGGCGAGAAGGCAGCTCCCTTGGTCGCAGAGTCGCAGTCATCTCATGCCAACCGTGCCTCACCGCTCCCGTCTGCTGACTCGGACAGCATGCGACCGCGTGCAGGAACCATCCAGTCCGCCTTGTACTTTGACCCCGCCGCCAAGGTGCCGCGTCAACAAACACTCGATTCCCGCAGCAGCGATTTTGGAGTGCAGATTTCAGACCAGCCCACCACTTACAACTCGACTGCAAGCGAGGCCCTCAAGGAGCAGGCTGTCTCTGGTCAGCTCGACGACGCAGACTTGGCCGTTGAGTTTGCGCGCCAGGCCAACACTTTCCAACGTGACGTTGATGGGGGCGTGAGCCGGCCAGACGACAGTGACATCTTTTCGAATGGCGATGCTGACACGGCACCCACCAACGACGAAGTTTTGGAAGATCTTGCGCTGAAGGCTGCGCAAGCCGACGAGCTTCAAGCGGCGGATGACTCTCCTGCCCCGGCTGTGGACCTGACCAGCCCCGTGCCCATGTTTGTTTCCAAGTCTCGCGCAACCGCTTCACTGATTAGCAGTGCTTCTTCCAGTCCGTCGCCGGCTCCAGGGGAAACCACAGTCTCGCCGTTCGCCAGTGAGACGACGCCCGTTTCGCATTCGCTGTCGAGGGCACCCTTGGAGGCGAAACGCGAGCCGTTCGTCATTCCATCCCCATCCGTTCTCAAGATTGTGCTGTTGCAGTCTTCTTCGGCCGCCTCCACAGCGACCAACGCTGCAATGGACACAATCTCTCTCTCTGGCACGGTGCTGCACAACACTGCGGGAGTTTGGCGAATTGTCCTGGATGCCCAGTCATCTGGGCGAGTGGAGCCTGTTTCCGCGAGCGAGGTTTGTAGTTGTGTTCGCTCGTTTTTTTGTTTAATGCTTGTTGTGTGCATTGGCCCCAAGCGACTCATCGTTTTTTGATTTTTGATTTTCTGTTATTCTTGGTTGCAACTTTGCAGCTCGGTCATATTGAAAGCTTCACACTTCCCGGAGGAGTGCGAGCGATTTTCCACCACACCAGCAAACGCTGGCAAGTCATTCCAGTGATTTCGATGGACGATGAACCACATGCGCTGAGCAGTGGCATTGTGCGCGGGACTGTCGAGGAACCCGCAGCTGCGCCGGAAGCACCAGCGGCGCCGGCGCCTGCAGAGCCTCAATTGGCCAAGCTGGACATTGCACGCGCCCAGGCCCATCGCAACGCCGTCCCTGGTGCCCCGTTCATGATTGCCACCAAGAGCAGCTCGACGGTTGCTCCGGTTGCGGAGACGGAGCATTCGAGCTCCACCGCGACGACCGACTCCTTGGCTGATTCGGTTGTTCTCAGCAGCAGCGTGTCTCTGCCTACTCGCCCGCAGCCTGGCCCGGCGGCGGCGGCAGGAGCAGCTGCGTCAATCCACGCACTGGGTCCTCCGCAGCCCTTTGCATCCTTGGCGACCAAGCAACCGTCTCTCAAGTCCCTTTCTGCGACTTCGACCACGCAGCGCGCGCCAGCGCCTTCGCAAGACCTGCATCACCCCATGTCCTATGCGTTTGCCGACGAATCTGGTCGCGGAGTGACTCGCGACGAGTTGCTTGAGCTTCAGAGTACGTCCATACCGTTATCTGGTCCAAAAAGTTTTGTTGAGATCAGTCGCTTACTTTTTTTTGTGAAATGCCATGCGTTTGACAGATCACACCATCAAACTACACACTGTTGTCGGGAGCATTGTTCGGCTGTTTTCCCAGAATGCGCTCGAATCGAACGAGGTACGGAGTTGTTCAAGCTGCACGTTTTGAAGTCGTGTGTGCGCTTTTGATCTCCTACTGACCAACGCGCTTTCATCCTCTCTTCACCTCTGCTCTGACATCAAATCGTTACAGAGTGACGCTGCAGATGACACCAAAAACCCGGCCATGGGTAGTCTGGTCCGTGGGTCGCTTTGTTCTGCGCTCGCCGGGTTCCTGCTGCATGGCCTCAAGCAGTACAGAGGTTTCATGATGAGTCGGCTGGACTTGTGGCAAGTGGTTGAAGCCTCCACCGTCTCACAAAGTATGACAGCTTGCGATCCCAGTGTTGATAGTTCTTGCGGGTTGGACTCGAGCTTAATTTTTTTTGTGCACGCCCTTTTCTCTCTAACGTTCACAGCATCGCCCAACAATCCGGTGCAGCGCCAAACCCATCGCATCGTTTCCTTCCTGAATGGCCACGCATTGATGGCAAAGGACTCGAGCATGAAGTACCGATCTTTTGTCTGCGCGCTGCTCAAGTATGTCTGTTTTTTTTTTTTGTGATGCATTTGTTTGCTTGGTAGCTCAACTCACCCATGAACCCAAATCTTACCCCAACCCTCCACCCCCGCACGCGCGCACCTCCCACAGTGATTCCTTGCTCGAGTCATGGCTGCTGCAGTTGCATTGCAGCGACGACATTTTGCCAAAGTTCTACGAGCCAAACGCCCTGCTTCGGTCTGCCTCGCGCGCGCAAATGAAGGAGCTCGCCACCACAGTGCATCCGCTGACAGCGGTTCGCTTCAAGCTGCATCTGCAGTTTGAGGTTCGACAGCAAGCCGTTCCGTCCTCCCCGGCGCACGTTCAACCGTCCCACCAACCGCTTGTGCAAGATGCCGCTTCCGACTCTTCCTCGTCCAGCTCTCTTGCCTCACGCTCGCTGACCAGTCAGGGCTCTGTCAACATTGACATGTCCAGCTCGCATCCCGAAGTCATGCCTGCGATGGCCAGCAGTGCCATGGTGAATGTCGAGGCCGGCGATGCTACGCATGCGCTCCAGCGCACGCTTGCAGGTCGCTCACACTCGAGTTTTGCGCAGCCCGAGTCTCCGGCTCCCCGCAGCACCCAGTCGTCCAGCAGCAGCCCATTCAGCTTGTTCCGCCAGCAGTCTTCTGGATTTGGTTCCGGGTTTTTGCGCGGCACTCTCGAGTCGGTGCGTGCAAAGGTGGTTGAAAACGTCAATTCGCTGCTCGGCGAGGTTGGAATTGAGGCCGCCGATGCCCCGCCCCGACCGCGGCCTGCCGTGCCTGAAGATGACTATGATGACAATTCCGCCGTTGACGGACTGACCTCGGTGTCTGCTGCGGCTGTTCGCCCAGGAATGCGAGTGATTGCCCTCTCGCACTTTGTCGCGCATGACATGGAGCAGCTTGCATTCTGCAAAGGCGACGAAATGGTCGTTTCCGACCGTGTTGACGACCGCTGGGCGCTGTGCACGCTCAATTCCATCACCGGGTTGGTTCCCTTGTCGTTGATTGCGCAGCTGGATTGATCGACTCGACCGCGAGCCCCTCGCAAACGACACCACAAATTGTCGACACGTATTGTCACTGAACAGAGCGAAATTGTCAAATCATTTAATGGCGAAAATATCACGAAATCAAATTTTTTCCACCCGGCATCTATGAATACAGTGGTGAGAACAAGAAGGAAGGAAAACGAGGAGGAGGAGGAGGAGGAGGAGGAGGAGGAGGAGGAGGAGGAGGAGAGTAGACGCAAGCATGCAAATGACGACTCGACCGCGAGCCCCTCGCAAACGACACCACAAATTGTCGACACGTATTGTCACTGAACAGAGCGAAATTGTCAAATCATTTAATGGCGAAAATATCACGAAATCAAATTTTTTCCACCCGGCATCTATGAATACAGTGGTGAGAACAAGAAGGAAGGAAAACGAGGAGGAGGAGGAGGAGGAGGAGGAGGAGGAGGAGGAGGAGGAGGAGAGTAGACGCAAGCATGCAAATGACCACTCAAGTCTGTCCAACCAAAAGAACAGCCTTGAAGCAGTGTGAAAGTGGCAGTTCTCAAACGAGAACAGAAACTAGCTCGCCGAGCCTGCGTCACGGATTAACCAAGAAAATGCCTTCAGACCGGACTTAGTCTTCCAAGAAGAAGAAGTTGCCGGCAGTCTTTTGCTCGCGATCCTTGACAGAGTCAAGCTTGTTGATGCGCGGGCGGAAGTTGGTCGGATCACGACGGAAGGTAATGTCGAGCGACTTGAGGAAGGAGTTCATCCCGTTAAGCAGAGATTGAGGACTGTGGCCCAAAAAAAAAAAAACACGAAAGCGCATGAAAAAGTGAGTGATTTTAGCTCAACTTGCCTGCTGGCAACAACAAGCGAGTCTCTCTTCGCAAAAACCAAGTGTGAACATACGTGTTGGCGCGAGTAGCAACAGATGGCTGGCCGTCAAAGACAATAACGCGATCAGCCATGTAAGTGGCCATGATGAAATCGTGCTCGACAATGAAACCAGTCTTCTTGGCGTGCAAAATAAATCTGCAGTGAAGCAAGGATGAGGAGGCGGAAAAATACACAATCCAAAGCGTGAGCGATTTTTGTTTAAAAAACCCCCCAAACCAGGAATCTCACAACACCAGTTTACAAAAACAACAAACCCCTCCACTTACCGCTTAATGACCTTGGCGGTGATGATACGCTGCTCGGAATCGAGGTAGGCAGAGGGCTCGTCAATGAGGTAGATATCGGCAGGGGTGCCGAGGCAGAGGGTGATGGCGACGCGTTGGAGCTCACCACCAGAGAGGTTGACAACCTCCTGGTCCATGAGCGACTCGAGCTCGAGTGGCTTGAGGACGTCAGTGTTGAACTGAGGGTGGATGGATGCCTCGCGAATCTTCTTGTGGAGCAGCTGGCGGACCGAGCCGGTGAACTTGGGCGCAATCTTTTGGGGCTTGTAGCTGACGTTGAGGGCGGGGACTTGCTCCTCAGTGTCGGCTTGCAAGAGACCGGCAAGCATGCGAATGAAGGTGGTCTTGCCCGTGCCGTTCTCGCCGAGCATGACGAGAATTTCGGAATCTGAAAAGTCACCCGCCTCCACTTGGAGCGAGAAGTCGCCCAAGGTCTTCTTCATCTTGGGGTATTGGAAGCGGCTGAAGCGCTTGATCGACTCCTCCTTGTCGGCAGTCTCAAACATCTTGAAGGTGAGCGCAGACTCGCGGAATCGCAGGTTTTCAGTGGGGATGACACCGTCGAGGAAAATGTTGATGCCTTCACGGACCGAGAAGGGCATGGTGACGACACCGTAGGCACCGGGGACGCCGTAGAGAACGCAGATAAAGTCCGAAAGGTAATCGAGGACGGACAAATCGTGCTCGACAACGATAATGTAGTTCTTGGCGGTGATGAGGTGACGAATCATCCGGGCGGCGTTGAGACGCTGCTTGACATCGAGGTAGGACGAAGGCTCGTCAAACATGTAGACGTCGGCGTTCTGCACGGCGACGACACCAATGGCAAAGCGCTGGAGCTCACCACCAGAGAGGTCTTCAATGTTGCGCTCGGTGAGGTTGGTCAGATCCAACATGGGCTTGACAACGTCCTGGTTTTTGCGATCGTCCTTCTTGTCCAGAATCTCCTGCACCTTGCCTTGAACAGCCTTGGGCAGGTTGTCGACGTACTGGGGCTTGATGATGGCCTTGAGGTTGTCCTCGAGAATCTTTTGAAAGTAGTTCTGGAGCTCAGAGCCGCGGAAGCGGGTGAGAATGTCAGCCCAGTCCGGCGGGTTTTCAAAGCGACCGAGGTTGGGCTTCTGCTTGCCCGCAAGAATCTTGAGTGCGGTCGACTTGCCGATACCGTTCTTGCCGACAAGACCGAGGACCTGGCCAGCGCGCGGCGTGGGCAGGCGATGCAGCTTGAACGAGTTGGCAGAGTAACGGTGGGTCGTTTCCTTCGAGAGGTTGGACGGCAGGTTGATAATGCTGATGGCCTCGAACGGGCACTTCTTGACGCAGATGCCGCAACCAATGCACAGCTCTTCTGAAATGTACGAAATCTTGTCGGTCGGCGCGACTTCAATGCACAGCTTGCCCATGCGGACGACCGGGCACGACTTTTTGCACTCTTGCCGGCACTTTTTCGGCTTGCACTTGTCCGAGGACACGATGGCGATACGCGTAAGTCGTTCGTCGTCCGACATTTGTGCGTGTGTGTGTGTCTGTTGTAGGAATGGCGGTGAGAGTATGTTGCATTGCATTGAACGAGGTCCATTGTTGCTCAATAGCACAGCACGATCAAAGTGCAAAAGGGAAGGGGAAGGGCTGAATTTCGTGTTCTTGCGCTCTTGTGTGCGTGTGGCTGATCATCAGATCGAGTCATCGACTCAGGAGAGAGACAGCCATCGAGCGATAGAGAGTGAGTGAGTGAGAGTTGAGGGGAAAGAGGAACGAGATCTTTTTTTTTTTTTTTTTTTGGGTTTTGGTTTTGATTGCTGGTCGCTTTGGTTTCAGCAAGTCCCTGCCGCCCCCCGACCCCAATCGACTGCACTTGCACCAAGCAGCAAGCAAGTCAAAGACGCCAGCCCCCACCGCCTTGAGCAGTGCGGTTGTGCGACGAGCGTGAAGGCCGGCTCAAAATCGCGCGGGAGACAAAGCACATGGCGCCTGCGTCCTCTTCACTTCCCGCTTTGCCCCCCCCCCGCTTTCGCTCCTTTCTGCTTGTGCCGCTGACCGAGCATCCCACAAACAGACCAGCGCAATGTTAAGTGTGTGTGTGTGTGACTGAATGCTGAAGTGTGTCTGACTTTTGAGCGGCACACAAAAAGCTCAACGTTCAACATTTCTGTTTCAATGCAAAATGCAGCGCATCTTTTTTTTTTTTTTTTTTTTTTTCCTTACAATAAAAGAACAATGAACGAGGAGTTTTTTTTATTTTTTTATGTTTTGGTTTTATTTTTTTCCAATGAATTTTGCTTTGTTGATACCAAAGCATTCGATTTTTTCTGAGACATTGTCAAGTTTTGTTTTAATGAAAAAAGCTTCCTTGGTTCAAATTTGGAAAAGCCAGTCGTCAGAATTGCTCAGATTTTTGTGATTTGATCGTGGCACCAATGTCTGAGACTGGAACGACCACTACGACTCCTACGACGACTGCTATTACTACCACTACTACTACTACCATCACTACTACTGCTAGCAATGCAAGCGAGTGGTCGCCACAGGCCGTCGGGATTGCAGCCGGCGTCGCGTTTACAGTGGGCTTTGTCGGGCGCCTCGTCGTCGTGACACGCAAGCAGAGCCGCCAGCTCAAGGAGCAGATGCGCACAGCGCACGAACAAGTTGCCCAGACGCGGCTGCGGCCAGCCCAGGCGTATCAGACCGCCGCGAGGACGCCGTCGTCGCGCACGTCGCACGTGCCGCTGCGAGACATGCTCTCGCTGTCATCGCACCCAACGTCACCTTCCGCATTCGCTGCCAAGGCGCTCATCTTTGGGACTGTGCTTTGCGGCACGGTCGCAGGCATTTCCGTGTTTGCCGTTGCGAAATCAATGGGCGTTTCATCGGTGAGTTTTGTTGTTGAACGATCGAGGTTTACAAATCGTTGTTGGTTGACCTCTGATCCTCTCCAATGAGGGTTTTCACGAAGTGCTTGCTTGATGTCCTTGTGTTGTGGGCGAAGCGAGTGCATGCATCACTGCGTGACCAGGAGCTAAATCTCGTTTTGGTTCTTTGATTTGGTTTTACTTGTCCGCCGAATGACAGATGGAAGAGTTTGCCCACCGAATGCGCGTCATCGTACCGGAATACTCTGCCTCGATTTCCTCCAGTATTCGCGGACTGGGACTGGCATCCACGCGAAACCAGCCGTCCGACGATGCCAACGCTGCAAAACCCGCTGCATCGCACGAAGCAACACCCACCACCACCGCCAAAGTCGCCCTTCCTCCATCATCTATCCCTCAAGAAGACGAAACATTTGAGCAACGGATGCGGCGGATTTTTGGCCGACGAGCAGCCGAACCAGCGTCTTCACCGTCGAGTCCGAGTTCTGCTTCTTAGTTTTGAGCCTTCATATCATTTTTCTCGCCCTTTGTAAAATAATCCCCATTCTGTATCATTTTGTTCAACTCATTGCTCTTTTCTTTTGTACTAGTGAAGTGGTTTCAAGCTCAGTCGTTGATCCCTTCGCAGAGGATGAGTGCTGCTGATTCTCCATTGGCGTCTCCATTGCCGCGAACGAGCTCCCTCTCGAGCAGCAGCGCCAACGCGCAACACCAGAGCACCAGCCGTAGCGTGACGCCTGCCACTCCAATCGCACCCAACAGCAGCAGTGGGACTGGCAGCGGCAGCAATAGCAGCAATGGCGGTGAAGCAGCAGCCACCGGCCAGTATCCCACTCGCATTGGCCTGAGGTGCGTTCAAGTGCTCTTACAGGCTTGAGCGAGTGACGACGGTGGTGGTGATGGTGATGATAGTGGTGGTGGTGTTGTTGTTTTCGGAGTCGCACTGGTTTGAACAGGGAGCTGCATCCGTCTTTGACTGGCGTTGCATTGCCAAAACTCACGTCGTCCCCGTCGTCCCATCATCGGTCACTCTCGGCCAACACAAAAAATCAACATTCACAGCGAGGAAGCATTCAAGAACGTTGTTCATGGCGGATCGCGGCCCAAAACCATTCAAGTGAGCCCGGACATCTTCAAAGACTCGTCACTGAGGAACGATCTCGTTCGGTTGATCATTCAGTATCTCCAGGACGAAGGCTACTCCATATCGCAAATGGTCCTGCAAGATGAAGCCAATACGAAACTGAACGAGCAACGTGCGGATCAGTCGCATGTCAAGCGCATGCGCAAGGCAATTCTAGGTAAGATTGTGATAAATTTGACCATGGTTTCAGTGCTACACTTCCGAGTCAGACAGCTCTCTCTCTCTATCTCTCTCTCTCTCTCTATATATATATATATATCTTGATGGTTCAAAAGAAGAGAGCCTCGCGTTGGCTCGGACTTGAAATGCGAGCGTGCGCACAAGGCATCAACTTCAACTGCAAACAACAGCTCCTCACTCGATTGTTTTGTGTTTCTCCTCGCTTGATCTGCAGACGGAGACTGGCCAGAAGTCGAAAAGCTCTGCACCCGCGGCATCTTTAGCGGACATAGCAGCTTTCTACATGCCATTTACCGCCAGCAGTTCCTCGAGATGGTCGAGCGATCCGAGTACCAGAATGCCTTTTCGTTTCTAACCAAGCGACTCAAGCCGTTGGAGCACGTCAACCCGGACGAGTTCAAGGACATGTGCTACGTGCTCACTGCCAAGTCAGTGCAGGATGCACCTTCGTTTTCGACTTGGGAGGGCAGCGCTGCGCGGCGAAAGCTCGTCAAGCACTTCCAAACGCTCTTGGACTATGAAGTCACGAGTAGCAGTCTCGTGCAAGTGCCGCCGACGCGCTTGCTCGAGCTCTTGCGTCAGGCCATTGCGTACCAGATTGAGTTTAGTCGATACCACCCCAAGGTGATTCCGAAAATCGAAACCCTGATGCAGGATTACACATCGTTCGTCCTTCCAAACGCCTGTCGAACAACGCTCAAAGGCCACACTGACAGCGTCAAGTGCGTCGACTGGTGCGGCGACGAAGGCTTGCGCATTGTCTCGGGGTCGAGTGACAACACGGTGCGCTTGTGGTGGACGGAAACGGGCCAGTGCTTGGGCGTGCTGCGTGGGCACTTGGGCCGTGTGTGGGATGTGTGTGCCTCCCGGGACGGCAACATGGTTGCAAGTGCGTCCGCGGACGGCACTGTTCGCATCTGGAATGTCTCGCACGAAGACTTGCACTTGCCAGTTGCAGCATCCGCTTCTAGCGCTGCCTTGTCGGCTGCGGGGTCGCAACATCTGACAGGCACCTCGCCCGTCCCTGCGCCTGCAATCGATGTGGCTCCGTATGTTGACCCGTCTTCGCTGCACGAGCGAGACCCGGAGGTCGTTCAAACGTTCAATCTCTGCCGTTCCGTGTTGTCTGGTACTGGTGGTGATTTGTACTCGGTCAAGATCCATCCGGGTGAGTCGTTTGAACAGCATATTGAACGGCTCCTGACAAGTACTTTTAATAAGGGTGCGTTGTGACTTATGTTTGTTGATGGGATTTTTTTTTTTTTTTTTTAGGCGGCAATCACGTTGCTTTCGGTGGCTACGATAAGGTTGTGCACCTGTACGACCTCCGCAGCAGCACTAGTGCCAAGACGTTTGTTGGCCACGAACTGTCCGTTTCGTGCGTCTCCTTCAACAGCTATGGCAATCTCGTGATTTCTGGGTAAGAAGCACAGAAGGAATTCTTCATGACTTCGCTGGTGTTAGTACGGGTGGCGTGATGTTGACTCTTTTGTTGTTTGATTGCTGTTCTGCAGATCCAAGGACCGCACCGTTCGATTCTGGGATATCGGCAGCGGGCTGTGTGTTCATACCTTTTCTGGCGGATTGGGCGAGGTGACGTCTGTCGAATCCAGCTCCAGTGGCTCTCAGCTCGTCGTTGCTTTCAAAGACAACTCCAATCGGCTCTTTGATTTGCGCATGGTAACCGAGTCGTTTCGTGTGAAGTGCATTCTGAATGGGATTTATGCTCACATTGTCTTGCTGTGCCGTTTTCTTTGTTCTTTTCCAGATGCGGCCTGTTCGGCGCTTCCGTGGACACCAGAACACGTCCAAGAGCTTTATTCGAGCCGGCTTTGGTCCAACCCAGGATTTGATAGCGAGCGGTTCCGAGGTTTGTGGGCGTTTTTGCTGTTACACGAGTTGCTCCGATGGTTTTGACCTTAACGTTGCTTTTGCAACATCTTGCTTTTATCCCTTTGACTTGAGCAGGAAGGCAGCATTCACATCTGGGACCTAAAGAGTGGCAATGTGCTTCAGCGATTGGAGGGACATTCTGGAGTTGTGTATAGCGCACGCTGGAACGCGCGACAGTCGCTGATTGCCAGGTACGATGATTTTTGATGCAATGGCATGTTGACTGATGCGAGGTTTTAGTCTCATTCGTTCAACGTCCTGTTTGGTTTTGGCAGTTGCTCTGACGATTATACCGTGAAAACCTGGTGGTATGACGACACGCGACCAGTGTTCATTGACAATAACTGAAACGTTGATGATATTGTACAATAGTGCAGATTCGAACAAATCCAAATGTTAAAAATTCCAGATTGCTGCAAGATGAATTACTCCAATCATAATTCATTCCCGATCGTCACCCAATAGTTGCGCAGGTTGTTTCTTCGTCCAAATATCTCCAAGTATTTGCCTACGATTGGAAACCAAAAAACAATAAAAAACATGGGGTTTGAATGAGTTGAAGCAAAACACCGCCACGCACAACGGAAGCGCCAAACGAGACATACCATTTGGAACGAGCGCTTCGACCAGCTCGTACATTTCGTCGGGTTTCTGGGAATTACCACGTCGTTCGGAGAATATCACGTCAGACGCCACGTTGCCAACACATCCCGGTGGTGGATCCCCTTTGAGCCCGATGAGGCAGGTTTCTTTGGCGTGCTGCAGGTAAAACCCATGACACTTGGCAAGGCGTCGGTTGACTGTAAACTTGACCCAATCAATAGAATCAACAAATCGATATCCCCAGCGCTTTAGCATGTCAAACGCCTTGGCGTAACGGTTGTTGATGACCCAAACAAAGACAAAACCGCCATTTCGCTGTAGCGACGCGATGGGAATGTCTTCGATGGCTGCGTCGGGCAGCTGGTTGTATGTGAGTGCAATCTAATAGAGATGGGGACAGTAGGAGATGGGGACAGTAATAGAGGGGTCAGTAAATATGGGAAATAGATGCAAAAAGAGCAACTGCCACAAATTTCTCGCTCGCCCAGCCCAAACGTGTTCTACTCACACCGCGCGTTGGAGCATTGCTTGCGAGTTGCCATGGAGGGTCCATCATGATAACGTCAAACTGGCAATGGGCAGCGAGTGACGCCCAATCGAATTCGAGGACGTTGGCTTTGATTGGCACGCAGTGCGGCGGAGGTTCAAAATCGACCTCAATCGCATCGGCCTCATCGGCTTCTGGGTCATCTTCCACAGCGGCTGCTGTTGGCACTCCCCGCCCGATTGGCGAAAAAGAGCCATTCGTCGATTCCAACAATCGGCGTGAATGAGCGACAACATCGGGGGGTGACGTGGTAGTCCCGGCACGTGTGATACCAGTCAACGAGTCGCCAGAAATGCTAGACGGAATCGCCATCGAACCATGAGTCGTGTTCAAGGGATTGGAGGCGGTAGCGGTGATTGCGACTGGATTGACGATCGCGATTGGAACGCCCAGCTCAATGGCACTGACGTCCGTGGCGGGGCCTGTGACACTCGACGCATTTTCTCCTAGTAGTTCTTCCATCGAGTTGCTCGACGAGTACGCACCCGTGGCAGCAGGTCCTCGTGCAGGATCGGTTTTGGCGGGAATGAGCGCCAACGCGTCGCTTGCGATTTCTCCAGCTCTGTCCAACCCAGCCACCGCACATATTGGTGGTGCAGATGAGGACGACGACGACGATGACGATGACGGCTTGGTTGCATGCGGGCTGATCACGGGCTGCTGCTGCAGAAGGTCTTGCTGCAGCTGGATGGCATTCTCGAGCTCTTCCACTTCGCGTTCAAGCTGCACCCGGATCCGTGTCAAGCAAACAAAGTGAGTCACAAATGCAAGACAATACTATCTTGACAAACAAGGCGCGATTCACACGGCCGCGCCACCTGCAATGGTCAAGAGCGAGAAATGGCGGGAAAACTTGCCTTTGCGATTCGAGCTCGGACATCCTCGGCCGTGCGCACGAGAAAGTGCCGCGACTGTCTCCGCTTCATGCAGTGTTCGTGTTAACGAAGGATGGGGAGGTGTTACGGCGCTGGATGGATGACGGCGGGGAATGAGCGACTCTTTGAAACAAGATGACTGGGTTTTGGCGGGAATCAGTTTTTGCTTGGAATTGCAGCACTGTCAGCCATTTGTGTCGTTTGGCCCATCTTTACCATTGAACGTCGTTGTTATTCATTCTATCAATGAGTGTCACTCTTTTTTTTTTCTTTGTTTCAGTGGTGTCATTCAACGTAGAAGCCATTCGCATTGGAGGCGCCATTGAAGCGACATGAGCGGACTTCCTCAGGATCCGCTTGGCGAGAGCGATCGCGATAGAGGCCAATGGAGTCAAGCGCAAGCAAGGTCACAGTCATCCAGTAGCCATCGGGTGCAGCAGCAACCGCAGCAGCAGCAACCGCAGCAGCAGCAGCAGCAGTATCAGCCGCAGCAGGGCAATGGGAGTCGCGCGGGACTTGGCCACCCTTCCGCTGCTCCGGGTCGCGCTTCCGCTACTTCCAGCGCCGTGGTGATGGACACGAGCCATGGGAGTGCTTTCGGCGCTGGGTCGGGTGGCAACAACAGCCGCGCAGTACCCTCCGCCGTCACCAGAATGCCTGTTGGCTGGCTTTTGTATTTTCCCAACGAAGGTAGGGGAGGAGCTGACGAGGGGCGGCTGGGCGAACACTGGTGTGCTTTTCAGATTGAACTGAGCTTGGAGACCTGTGCGAGTCCAGTCACGAGCTCTGGGACGGTGCTGTGTTGTGTGGAGAACGAGGAGAAGGAGATTGCCTGCAACTTCATTGTTTCAGATTTTTGGCGGGAAAACACAACTGTCTGTTTCACTTTGGTGCCGACTGGCGTTCATTTTTCTGTTGGTCAGATTTCGAGCCGGCACATCCATTTATTCGTCCGTTTGTAGCATTTCGTCAATTTTTCAAGAGTCGCCGGTTGCCTCGGGTAGGTCGAGTTCCGTTCTGTCTCTCTCGCAATCGGCGCGCAGGCTTCACGTTCCAACTCACTCTGCAATCTGATTCACGCGCAGGATCGTATCGAGGCCCGCAAAGCAATGACAATCGATGCGAACGAGCTTGTCTCGGCTTGTTTGGTTGATTTGCCAAACCTTGCCACAGACTTGCGCGAGCAACCGTCACTCACTCTGGCCACCCTCAGTCTCGCCCTCTACGAGGTACAGTTTCGCTTTGAGCCATGCACAACTCAGTTCAGCGCGATGGTTTTCTGCCAGGCTCATGTGCAAATCTCGTGGCTGCAGGTCATGTACGGCGAGGTGGACCAGGACGTGCACCTTCACGCTGTTGGCAATCGAGTCTTTGCGCGTGTTGTGAATGTCGAGCCCGTCTCGGCAATTCGATCCCTTCTCAAGTCCAACGCCGTTGGTATGTCAAAGACCCAACAAAAGCAACAATTTCAATGTGAAAGCTTGCAGCACACAATTCCTCATTTGGTCTATTGTTCTTGTTGCACAGGGCGATTGGTATCCCTCCGAGGAACGGTCGTGCGAGTTGGAAACATCAAACCCCAGGTCGTGCGTCTGGCCTTCACCTGCAGCAAGTGCGACGGCACCACGGTCATTGCACTCGCGGATGGGCGCTACGCCGTTCCGTCACGTTGCACAACACCGCAGTGTCGCGGTAGTTCATTTGTCCCCCGGCGCAGTGATCCAGACACGATCATGGTGGACTGGCAAACTATTCGGTAAGGATTGTGCTTTCTTATTTGTGCAAACGGTACGCGGCCAGCATTTGACTTGTTCTGCGCGTTTGGTGCCCAGAGTGCAAGAAATTCTCGATGATGGTGACCGCGAGGCCGGTCGGATTCCTCCGACGATCGAATGCGAACTGAGCTCCGATTTGGTGGATGCGTGCGTTCCAGGAGACGTTGTGACCGTGGTCGGCGAAGTCAAAATGACCAGCGTGGATACCGGGCGCGGCAAGCGGCAGTTCATGTTCTCGCGCTATGTCGAGGCCAACTCGGTGTGTAGCACCAAGAATAACAATGGCGCGCTCGACCTACTCGAGTTCTCGTTGAAAGAACTGTACGCCATTCAGCAAATCCAAGCTCATGAGCACTTGTTTCATCTTCTCGTGAACTCGCTCAGCCCGGGCATCTATGGTCATGAACTCGTCAAAGCCGGCCTGCTCTTGTCACTGTTCGGTGGATGTCAACGGTACGGCGAGCTTTCAGGTGAAACGCCGTTCTGGTTGACGAATCTCATTCAATATTTTTACTTGGTGCTCGGCGTTTGGACTCTGCTGAACGAATGAGCAGATTCACGAATGATCGCAATCGCATCCCAGTACGAGGAGATCCACACATTCTCGTTGTGGGTGATCCAGGTCTGGGCAAGAGGTATGCAACTTGTGTGAATCCAAAATCTGCAGCTTGCTTCCGAACACCACCTCACTTCTCATGCCGCTCAATCTACGCCTCCTTAGTCAAATGCTTCAAGCAGTGAACGCCATTGTGCCTCGAGGGGTGTACGTCTGCGGAAATACCACCACAACATCCGGACTCACTGTCACGTTGTTGCGCGACGGTGCGTCGGGAGACTATGCTCTGGAAGCTGGCGCGCTTGTGCTGAGCGACCAAGGCTGCTGTTGCATTGACGAATTTGACAAAATGAGCTCAGAGCACCAGGCCTTGCTTGAGGCGATGGAACAACAGAGCGTCAGCATTGCCAAGGCTGGCATCGTTTGCACTCTGCCCGCGCGCGCGTCCATCATTGCGGCTGCCAATCCAGTCGGCGGGCACTACAATAAGGCAAAGACAGTGGCTGAAAACTTGCGAATGGGCAGCGCGCTTTTATCGCGGTTTGACCTGGTATTTATTCTGCTGGACAAGCCGGACATTGAAATGGTACGTTCTTCCATCCTGAGTTTTCGCCTTTTTTAGTTTTGCTCGCTCTGCTCGTCGGTGCTCATTTTTTTGATCTCCTTGATGTTCAGGACCGACTGCTGTCCGAGCACGTCATGGCACTGCATTCAAGCTCAAACGATGCAGCTCTACGCGCTCGGCAGCTCCAGTTGGCAAGGAAGCTTGCCGTTCCAGGGTTTGTTGCGTCTCCATCAAACTCGCAACTCGCTGGAAGCCAGCCCACTCAACCGCTCGTTGAGCGGTTGCGAATCGCCGCTGTGCCAGACTTTGACCCCATTCCTCCACCTCTGCTGCGCAAGTATGTTGGATACGCGCGCAAGTACGTGCACCCGAAACTGACCAATGAAGCGGCGTCCGTCATTCAGGAGTTCTACCTCGCTCTGCGGAAGAAGCACCACAGTCTCGACTCGACCCCAATCACGACGCGACAACTCGAGTCCATCATTCGCCTCAGCGAGGCCCGTGCGAGGATGGAGCTGCGCGAGATTGTCACGGCGGACGACGCCCGAGACGTCATTGAGATTATGCGATTCAGCATGATTGACACGAATTCAGACGAGGTCGGGAATCTCGACTTTGCGCGCTCCCAGAACGGCTCTGGAATGAGTCGCAAGGCGCAGGGAAAGCGGTTTATCGCCGAGCTCCGTCGCATCTCCGAGGAAACGTTCAACACGCTCTTCTCGATGCAGCAACTTCGCGAGACGGCCAACCTCCTGTGCATCCGAGTCGAGAGCTTTCCCGATTTTATTCAAGCGCTCAACAATGAGAATTATCTGCTCAAGAAGAGCAACGGCATTTACCAGCTTCAAATATGAAGCAGCTTGGTGTTGAGCATTGGTTGTGAATTACTGTAGATCTACTGGACAAGCGTTTTTACTTCCAAAGTTACTCCATTTGCGATGCGATTCGTTATGATTCAGTCTTGATTTTGCCATTTGTTCATTTTTCAACATGGAGCGTCAGCAAGTCGTGGAGCTGTTGCTGCAGTTTCTGAACGAGAACGGATTTGTGCGCACGCAGGCTGCCCTCGAGGCTGAAAGGTCAGTTGGTCCTCACTTTGAGCCTTGGGCTGCTGATTCACTCGGCGTGCAACATCAGTTTCTGTGCACTCGTGCGCAATCGAGTTTGGTGGTGGTGGTGGTAGCGAGGGACTGAGGCTGGTAGGGTGACTGACCTGCATTGACAGTCGCCTCCGCTTTGAGCCCGATCAAGTCAAGGTCGCAAGCCAGCTCCAAGTCATTCTGGGTAAACGCCTGCTGTTGTACTTGCTTGGCTGTTGGGTTGAGTTGGGTTGCTGTAGTGGGACGAACTCGCTCCAAGAGACCATTCGGGAGTTTCCCACTATACTGCTCGTTCTTCCCCGCCCTCCCCCTCCCGGAGTCGTTCAATCTGCTGACCTAGAAAAGTGACTCACATTGAATTTCCTCCCCCCCCCAGACTTGTACGAAGCGACGCATGGTGACCCGAGCAAGAAGCCTCGCAAGATGGACATTTCCGATTTGGTGAGTTGACTGCTCGCAAACTCAGACCTGTGCTGCCATTGTTGGTCAAAAGCCGTCACTGTACTCACATCGTGCTCTGGTAAAACCATCGCAATTTGAACATGACAGCTGGTTCAGCCAACGGCAACCATTCCAACTCAGGTGAGTTGTCCTCTCTGAAGATTGTTGCGATGTGTTCAACTGCGAAACCAACGTGTGCTCTCGGTTGTTGAACAGAACGTCTTTACTGTCCAAGACTTGCACACGGGCCCAGTGCTTGCAGCTCGACTCCGCGACGATATGAGTAAGTGAGGACTGTTTTATCCTTTTTTGACTGACAACGGCGCTCAATTGTCAACCACAATCTTGGTTTCCCTTTGCTAGAGTTGTTCACCGGATCTTCCGACAAAACCGCGGCTCTGGCGCAGTTCTCAGACTTGGACGACGAGTATCGGTGGTACCGGGACAACACGCTCACACACCACTCTGGCGCTGTTCTCGCGGTCGAGTTCCACCCTCTTCTCAAGCAAGTGACCCTCCCCCCCCCTTGTGCTATTGTCACTTGACGCGGGGAAGCCCTTTCCTGACTGTTCTTTGTCTTGCAACCTCTTATAGGAACATCGCCCTGACCTCGTCCATGGATCGATCACATCAAATTGTGGATATCGAGACTGGCGATGTCCTTCAAACCTTCGCCGACCACACCAAATTCGTGGTGCGCGTGCAGTGGTCGCCAAACGGAGAATATTTCGCAACAGCGTCATACGACCACCATGTTGGTTTGTATCGGTACGTTCCTCGAACCATGGGCTGCTTGGCTGCTGCAGGGCTCACACTGTGTTTGTCGACTTTATTCTTTCTCTCGCATAGCCGTGTGCAAAAAGTCTCCAAGCCCGTCGAGGATGATGATGACAGCGACGCAGAAGAGGAACCAGCGCCTTTCAAGTTTGAGCGCGTCGGCCACTTCCTCTTTGAGGGCTATGCCGAAGCACTCTGCTTCTCACCGGTATGTCAAGTTGTTTCACATAATGGCTCTGAAAGTTTTCTTGAGCCAGCATTATTGACGACATTTGACTTTGGGTGGTGTTTCGCTCACTTTGAGCAGGAAGGCGACGAGCTCTGCATGGCCGCTCGAAACGACTGTTTCCTGCATTTTGTTGAGCTGACCAGCGGCAATTACGAGGTGAGGGTTCAAGCTCAGGTCTCTTGCACAGGGAAAATAGTGCCGAAACACCTCACCGATGAACTAACTGATTCCCTTGGAAAACAGCGGTCCAAGATGAACATGAACGCGCTGGGCGACACGCACGTCAGCTTCACCGCCTTGGACGTGTCTTACTCGCCGTTTGGCAAAAAGTACCTTCTTGTCTGCACAGACAAAAACCGACTGATTTTGTATGCTCGGGAGACGGGCGAGCAGCTGCGCCACTTTTACGGCACCAACAATGACGAGTGGAGCACACCTCGCCACTGCTGGCATCCGTCCGGACAGTACATTTTTGCTGTAAGGGGTTGGCATTATCGTTCTCGTTGGAGGGTTTCTCTTCTGTTGTGCGTTCATTTGTTTAACCCGCTCGTCTCTACCCCGTTTGTAGACCTCGCAAGACCGATGCATCTACATTTGGGAAATGTGCTCTCAAAAGCTGGTTGGCAAACTCACCGGACACACGGAGAATATTCGCGACCTGTCTTTCAACGACAAGCACAAAATTCTTGTTTCGACTGGTTTCGACAAGGTCGTTCGTTTTTGGAAGTAACCCCACCAACGTCGTCCCGTGTATGGATTGTCACAACAACAAAAGCAATGTATTTTTTCATCCGCTCAAACAACAGTTTTGCAGTGGACGGTCTATTGAAGGAAGTGCAGTTCTAGTACGTGTCACGCAGTGATCGCACATGCAGCGAGTTTGAGAAGGCGGAAAGATCCAAGGGGGTCGTCGATGTAAAGGTCAAGACCGCCACTTCACTAGGCAGGAGCGTAAAGCCATTGTCGGAAAAGTACCCAGCGTCGACAATGGTGGTCTCAATGAAGACAAACAGGGCGACCGTTGATGCGCTGAGACGAACCTCAGCCACCGTGCTGTTCACCAGACTCACAGAGGTGATGGTAATAGTGGGCTGGGGCAAGGTGACTTGCGAGAATTCAGCCAAGAAGGCGTGCGCAGTCACGTTGAGGCCGCTGTTGGTCTCGCCCAGCATTCGCACAAAGCAGCTCGTGATGGTGCAGCCGCTCTTCTTGAGCAAGTTCGAGACAGCATCGGCGTAGATTTCAACACTGCCGAGCGCTCCCACCGAAAAGCTCACAGACGAGCTGGAGTCCAAGGCGCCGGTCGAGTATGCACGAAGTTCGAGCACGACGGATCCCGACTCTGCCGTCAGCAGATCGCTAGTGACGTGAACATGCAGGCTGTTTGACGCGTCCACTGATCATAGCAAGCCGATTCAACACAAGTGAGTCAAAAAGCGCAAAACTCTCATGCTCCAAAAAAAAAAACCATCGCTGCCTTGTTGTACCATAGCTGGAAACCATGAATGGTGCGAAAAACCTCTTGGCATGGTAATGAAGCATCTTCCAGCGACCCGACCACTCGATCGATGACCAGGTGGGTCCTTGCCAGATATCATTCAGCTGCCAATCTATCCACGTCGAGGAAAAGTTGCACAAAGAAGTGACAGAATGAGCTCAAATGAAGCAGACCTCCAAAATCAGTTTCATCAACGAAATCTCCCCATAAACACTTACACAAAACACCCATGGTGTGCGCATCCTCGCCCTTCAAGCGACGCCAGTTTGAAATGGCAGTCTCATAGCAAAGCGACTGCTGGATTTGAGTAAGATAGCACCATTGCTCGAAATGCTCTTGCTGCGTGGCCTGATCGCTGGTCGCATTCGGGGTCGGCGTGCGGAAGTGGCGCTTGAGTTGAGCAACGAGCTGGTCGGTACCCTGGGGATGGCGCTGACGGAACTGCATCAGCGCGGAATCGTAGCTCCAATCCTCGCTTGTGGTGACTGCAAGCCATGTCTGGAATGAAGGGAAGCTCTGGAAGCCAAACTCGGAGACAAAGCGTGCCTGAGGGTAAATGGCAACGCTCTGACAATCGTCGGCATAGTCGTAAAAGTGCACATCGCCATAGGCCGTGCCGCCGACATCACCCCAGCGCTTCACATAAGGAGATTCGGACAGCAAGCCCTTCGATGGCGACGAGTCGACAAACGGGCGGTTGGGATCGGCCTTCAAGACAGCAGTGCGGACGACGTCGGCAAAGAGTTGCCAATAGTCGACCGAGTACACTTGCGGTGCGACATTCGGCACGTCGTACCAGTTGAGCGCAGCTTCGACCTCGTTGTTGCCGCCCCAAATGATAATTGAGGGGTGAGTAGACAGGCGCTGGACTTGCTGCTGGACCTCGACAGTGACGAGAGACGTAAAGATGGCACTGCGCGGATACAGGGCGCAGGCAAACATGAGCTCCTGCCAAACGAGCAGGCCCTTCTGGTCGCACAGGTCGTAGAAAATTTCGGGCTGGTAAATGCCGCCGCCCCAGACGCGGACCATGTTCATGTTTGCGGCAACGGCACTTTGCAGGAGATGGTTGATCTTGGCAGGCGTGACGCGGGTGTGGAAGGCATCTGCAGGAATCCAATTGGCGCCCTTGGCGTAAATGGCCAGACCGTTGATGACAAAGTAGAACGACAGGCCGGTTTGGTTGGCAAGCGGCTCTTCGACGAGCTGGACCGAGCGAACGCCAATCGAACGGGAGCGCGCATAGTATGGCATCTCGTGCAGGGGAGAAGCATTCGTCACGCTGCCATCGCTCGAGGTGTCTTCGGGACGAAGCGGTCGAGCAACCAGCGCGTCAATATCGGCAGGATCGGCCTTCAACGGGTACAGAGTGAGGGTGATGTTGTACAGGTGCTGCGCACCATAGCCCACGGGCCACCACAAGATGGGCGAGGCAATGTTCACGGTTGTCTCGACGTTGTTGACGCCATGGTCGAGGAAAATGGGCACCGTCGTTGCCGTGACTTGGTCGATGGCGACGTAGAGCACGGCCGCAACCTTGTCTGCAGCCGACAGCAATGTCGCTGAAATGATGAGCGTCACTGGCGATGCCGCAAGACGACGTGCTTCAGCAAGCGAGGCATCGTGATCCGACTCGCTATTGCCCGGAAACACGCCTTGCTCGTCCTGCTCTTGTTGTTGTTGAGCACCGTTCGCGTCGAAACCAGCGTACGCCTGCTCAGCATGCGATCGGCTGCCATCGTGCGCAGGGGACCGGTGCGGTGGCCGTGCGCCTGCCTGGAAGAGCTGCGACACGCCGAACGCGTCAATCAGACAATCTGAGAAGCCTTGCAAGTAGATTCCGCCATTGATGCCCGGCGGAGCGAACGCGGGACCCCAGTCCCAGCCAAAGTCGGACTGGGCCTTGCGGATGAAGTTTGCGTGCGGGAAGCTGCCAAGCTGGCCGCTGTCTGGCACGACATACGGGTACGCCTGGGACTGCTGGGAGGCGTAGTTGACTGCGGACGAAATGGCAATCTTGATCTGGTTGGACCCGAGCACAAAGACGCCGCGGTCGACCGCAATGCCGTGGCGCAAGTGCTGCGACTGGACGGACGCAATGGTCTTGCCGTTGATCATGATCGAGGCGACCGTGTCGACGCCCTCGAGGGTCAGCCAGTACTGCTTCTCCTGCAGCGTGACGGCGGTCATTGCGAACGATTTCGAGTACGTCCAAGTGTCCATCGCAATCCAGCGGTACGCAGCCTCGTTGAAGCGATAGTACGGGTCGCTAATCACCTTGGCCACGTCCTGCAGATCGACGTGCACATTGCCGGGCACAGACGCGCCGCTGAAGGTGACGTTCGCGCCGTTCGAAAGCGTCCAATCTCGCCCGTTCAAGCGAACTTCCGTGTACGCGAGCACACCACCACCACCACCACGGCCACCGACGGCACACAGGGCGAGCACAGCCACCGTCGCAACAGCCAGCAAGCGCAGCAGCCGCGCACGACGCACTCGACAATCCGGTTGGTTGAAACGTATCATCAAAAGCACAACTTGGAAGTTGGAAAAAAAAAAAAAAACGAACACAAAAAAAAGCAACTGAGCCAAGCAAGAGTACAGTACTCCATTCATTGAATCTGCGACTTGTCATTGAAACCGAAGCACCATTGCAAAAGAAATAAGATTGTAATGTAAAATACAACACAAAAATCAACAATAACAACAAATAAAACACCAAATAAAACAACAACAACACCAAATAAAACAACAACAACAACAACAACAACAGCAACAAGTCGCTATCAGCAGCAGCTCCCTCAAGTCAGACTCCCCCCAAAACAGACTAATCGTCAGCAGAAATCAGACTGTTTCGGTTGCTGGAAGGATTGGAATCTTCAACAAACGAATCGGACTGGGTGGAGTGCTGCTGGAACAGGAACGTATTGCGACGACGACTGCCGCCCAACGAGAGGCGGGAGCCAGCCGACAGGGACGCTGCTGCTGCCGCCGCCGCTGCTGCTGCAGGACCAACAAACGCAGGACCAGGGCTATTGGCAGCAACACTGGTCGAGGCACCGGCAGCAGCGGCAGAATTACCATTGGCAGCAGGCGGCGCGACAAAAGGGATGCCCGAGCCAGACGAAACATCCTTTCCGAGATCGGCGAGCCGAGTGGTGGAGCCATTGACGCTGTCAGCCGGCGAGCCAGAGACGGACTCTTCCACCACGGGGAGCATGATGGTGGGTGGCGCAAGTGAGCGTGTGTCGTGTCGCTTGAGCGAATCTCGGCGAGAGTTTTTGCGCTGCTCGCTGAGCTGGTCGCGAATCTCACCCAGCTGCTGGGACAGGCTCACGACAAGCGCGTTCGTGGACGTGAGCTGCGTGCGGAGCTGGCGCAGCTCGTTTGTGTCTGTTTCGTCCGTGTCTTGCGTCAGGGAGATGGTGCGCAGACGCGGGAACCAGTCCAAGTTGCGCAAGCCAATCATGTTGCTCACATAGCTCTCCGGGCCGGTAAACTCGGTCGGGTCCTGGCCCTTGATGTGAACAATAAAGTAGAGGTAATTCCACAAGTTGTGCTCGTCCTTGATGTGCTCCTCGAACGTGACGCCGCGGTTGTCGAACGCCGACCGATCCAGGCCGCAAATGAAGCACGTGTTGCGACGGTTTTCTTCCTTTTCGTTCTTCTCGGCGCGCAAGTCGGCGAACGTGTCGATAATGACACCAAAGATGAGGTTGAGCACAATGATAATGACCACGAAGAAGAACATGAGGTCGTAAAAGACACGCGCAGTGAAGAGCGGCTCGTCCTTTGACTTTTGGCGCAGCACGTCACCGATGCCGCCGCCGTTGCGCAAGCCATGGTTGAGCGTCGTGACGATACAAAGGAGCAGCGAATCACACGACCGCTCCATCTCGCCGCCATCCACATCCGTCTCGACCACGAAGTCGTCGCGGAAGATGAGGAAGCCGACAATCGAAAACATGTAGACGACAATCAGCGCAAAAACAGCCGTGAGCACGATACTCTTGCCGTTGCGTGTGACGGAGCGAATCACGTTCTTGAGCGTTTCTTCGCGCACGACAATGTCGAGCAGCAGCAGCGAGTAGACAAAGTGGTTGAACAGGAGACCGATGATGCAGATACCCAGGTACGAGGCATAGTACAAGAGCATGCCGTCCGTCAGCAGCTGCCGCATTCCGCCCTTCTTGAGCAGGAGCATGCCATAGTTGCCGAGGTAGGACACCAGAATGGTCACAGAGTTGACAATCTGAACAATGCCGAGCACTGTGATCAAAATCAGAATAAGCAGGCCGAGGAAGGGGGACAGGCTGCTCATGCTGCCAGAGGCAGCCGCGGCAGCAGCGGCAGCGGCGGCAGCTGCAGCCGTGGGAGAGAGTGATGCAAAGCCGCCGCTACCAGCGTACCCTGACGACTCGGCAGCGGAATCGGAACAGAGTTCTCCACCTCCCACAGCGTCAGTATAGCACTCGGCGACCACAGCCGAGCCAAACTCGTCCATAACGACCGGGATGTCCTTGCCCATAAAGTTCTCCAGCGGGTAGAAGAGCGCAATCAGAACGTTGATCAGAATGGCAAGCACAAAGGACAGGGTTGTCCAGCGCGCAAAGTTGCGACTAAACCAGTACAAGACGCGTTTCTTTTGCAGCTCGTTTTGCCACATCATCTCGTGATACAGGTCATCGGTGCGCGAGAAAAAGTCGGCCACCTTGGAGCCTTGCTCGTCACGCTGGACATTCATGAGAATGTCAACCATGCTCTCCTCAGTCAGGAAGCGGCACACCGGGGGGATGGGGAAGTAGATGCGCTCGAGCTTGTCGCTCTTGACAATCTCCACTTGACCAGTGTGCTCCGGGAAGTACTTGAACGCCTCGCCAACGTTGTCGCGCATGGCGGTCGCGAGTGCGGGCGAGTGTTGGGCCAGCTTGTGAGCGAGCACAAACAAGTTGTGACCGACTTCACGCACCTCTTCTGCTGCCAGATGACGATGCGACGGGTTGGCCGCCCACGCCTGCGACAGCCGGAAGACGTGGTTGACCATGTTGAGCAGCTGGGGCGCGTCCAGGTTGAAGAGAATCCGATCAATCATTTCGGTCGTTTGTCTCGACTCCATGACGGCAAGCAGGAGCTTGGCCGCATTGTTCTTGAGCGTCACGACCAAATCCATGCGTTCTTTGCCCAGCGGATTGATCTCGTTGAGAATGAGCGCAAGCACAATGTCAATGCCGTGCGTCTCGTGCGACGCAATGCAGTCCTGGTTTTCTGGGCATGGACCCTGGCAGTACTCTGTGAGCGAAATGAGACACTGGTTGATGATGCCAATGTTGCTCTCGTTGATAAACAAGCCAAGCAGACCGAGACCGCCCGAGGTCGAGCCACAAATGCAGTCCAGATACTGCAGCGTCTCGTGCACGAGGTTGTACGAGGTGCGAGAGTGCTGCTGCCGGCGAATGCAGTGCTGCAGCTCAATGTTGTGGTTTTCGCAGAGCAGCTGCAAAAATCGCAAAATGGACTCAATCACCACGTATTCGTTCGGCCCAGCGGCAGCCACCTCCGCAGGGTCGGCAGACTCGGTGCGGCTCATGTTGTAGCCACTCTTGAGCTCCACCATGGAATGGCCCATGCGGTTTTGGATTTGTCGGAAGAACGCCTCGGCTCCAGCAGAGTTGAAGCGGTGCAGGAAGGACGTCTGGATGGTGTGGTTGCCGCCTTCCAGCAGCGCAATGCCCAAACGAAGCGACTCGAGGAAGACCATCGGATCGTCGTTCGCCGTCACCAGGTCAATCACAAGGCTGGACGCGCCGTTGGCATCGAGGGCGTTTTGGGTTTCTGACTGGGTTGTGTGACGCAGACGAGGCTCGCCAAAGTACTTTGTCGACTCGCGCTGGATGAGCAACTGAGCACGACCGTCAAAGCGTTGGGGAGCCATCATGCGGCGAAGTGTCGTCAACACGTGCACGCACAGCTGCTTCTCCTTCTGCCCGAGCGTCTTGGTGTGGTTGATGAGCTTGGTGGCAAGCTTGCTCGAAGACAGGGGCTGTTGCGTGCTCGTGAGCCGGAAGGGATGTTGGAGAATTTCAACCAGAACGGCAAACTCGGCGGCCACCAAGCTGCGCATCTCCTTCTCCAGCGCCTCCACGTACTCTTGGAGCCCTTCGACAATGTGGCGAGCCTTTTCGGCTTCCTGGGATTTGGCAGAAAAGCTGGGCGATCGCTTGCGGGTGCGAAGTGCCTTCAGGAAACCATCGACGCCCTTCTTGGCCACCTTGCTCTGCGACAGGCACTCTGCAACGCCAGACTCGAGCGCGTCCCCAAGTGGGATGCGTTCTTCCTGCGCAAGAAGGGTGACGACGCGAAGAGTATCCTCAACACGGCCCTTGTAGCGGCCGTAAATCCAGGGCGCCTTGACAATGAGGTACAGAGAGCGAATCATTTCGACAAACAGCGCGTGTCGGGTCGTAATGCCGAGCGCCGTGCCGGCGTTCTGCGGGCTGAAGCAGAATGACACGCAGAAGCAGAGGGGTTCGCAAATGTACGCGTTCAAGATGCCATTGTCGCCTTCGTACGCTGCATCGCCAGCTCGGGCCAAATCCCGGACGAACGCGTCAAACAGCGTCCACATGTGCGGCGACGTGGCAATGTCCTTGACCTCGACCTCCGTGTCAGAGTAGCAGTGGTTGAGGAACTCGACGTACGCACGCTTCACCTCGAGAATGGTCGCCTCGTGCGAAACAATGCGCACAATGTCGTCGAGCGGCACGAGCGACTGGCACTTGATCTCGGTGTTGGCATTCTTGCCCTCCGTACAGGCAGCCAGCAGCTCAATCAGCGCAATGTGGTAGGACAGCTCGCTACGCTCATTCGTCAGATGGTCGCGCGTCTGCATGAGCTCCACCAGGTACTGGAAGGAGACGTTGTCGTTGAAAAAGACCAAAACATCCTCGCCAGCATTGACGAGGGCGCTCATGACCAAATCTTGCGTCCGCCGGAGCGCCATGCCGTCGACGCGCACAAGGTCTTTGAGGAATTGCAAGAACTGGACCTGCCGGCCCATATGCTCAATGCAGCTCACAAAATGACCAACCACCTTCTCGCTCACGTTGCTGCAGAGGGCCAGATTGTTGAGGTAGATGTGGCGGATGGTCTCACCAGCGTAGCGCGAGTGCGACATTTCGTCCATGAAAAAGTCCACAAACGGATGCAGGTGCGCCTGGTTTTGCGGGTTGCTAAAGCAGAAATCTTGCAGAAACTCGTGCGCAACGCCAAACAAGTCCTTCATCTGATCGTCCTGCACGTCGTGCGGAATGCGCAGCAGTTCCAGCACTTGCATGTGCGCGCCAAGGTTGCGCAGCAATCGCTGGTTTTGCTTGTTGTTGCGCTTGACGGGCGCGCTCGGCACGCTCATCTTGGGCCGCTCGAGGGTGGGATTGGGCGAGGGAGGACCAGAGCCGCTCGGGGACGAGGACGACGACAACGACGTGGGAGACACTGCGAGCGTGTCATCGGTCGACAAGCCCGCCGAGCCCGAGCCAGGAACGAGAAGAGAAGCGTTGCCAGAGTTGGACTCGGAGGACGCCGAGCGCGACAAGGGAGCGTGGCCGGTTCCAGAAGCGGTCGCCGACAGAGTACCGGCGGCAGAGGCCGGAGCAGTCTTGGACGCTTGCGCAGCAAGGCTCAGCAGAGAGGCAGGAGACGGCTTACTTCCAAAGAAGGCGTTGCCTGACGTCGTCGCCGTCGTCGGCTTGCTTGACGAGTCGCCTGCAGTGTCAGAGACAACAGTGACGCACAACGCCTTGAGCCGGGTGAGGATTTTCTTGATCTTGGTGTAGTTGTCCTCGCCTGCCTTCTTTCCGCCTTCCGACTTGGAGCTGCCGAGTTTGGCGTCGGTTGTGGCAGCCGAGGCAGCTGCGGACGGGTCACTCTTCAGTGGATCGCCTGAAGCGGCCTGGTCCGCATCGGCGATTTTGGTCTTGCCGCTGCTTGTGGAACCGCCACCACTGCCGCCTTCAGCCTTGTCGTCGTCCGCGTCAGGATTGGACGTGGCCTTAAACACCCAGAGCTCTGACTTTTCGACCATGACGCGAAGACGGTCGAGATCGGCCTTGATCTGCTTGTAGTTGTCAACGTCCTCGGACGAGACGAGCAGCTGCACCTGCTTGAATGAAAGCAGCACCTCGTCACGCTGGTTGAAGTGGCGGAAGAGCAGCCGGAGGGCGCCTGACGCGAGCGGGCGGAAGTCGTGCATGCACAAGTCCAACAAGACGCGAACGAGCATCGTGCCGTCCTTGCCGTCGAAATCCAAAATGGAGCCGATCGTGCACGTCGTGTCAAACATTTTTTCGGCATCCTCAACAATCTTGGACTCGGGAATGGCGGAAATCTCGGCGAGCGCTTCTTCCTTGTCTGCAGGCTGGACGGCGCTGCGCACGTCCTGCCAGAGGTCGCGCACTGCCTGCGAGAAATGCCCGGCAGGAGCAGGCGGAGCCACACCAGCTGGCTTACCAGCGGCACTGGACGACGACGACGATGATGCCGACGATGATGCCGACGACGTGGCCGGCGTGGTGCCCGGCAGCAGGGCCGGCGCAGTGGTGGCAAACAAGTTGGATTCAGAGGTGCTACGGCTTTGGCCACCCTGTGCCTTGGCCTTGGCTGAGAGAGCTGCAAAACTTGGCTTGGCAGGCGATGGTGGCGCGGCAGTTGCAGTTGCAGTTGGGCCGGTGACTGGCACGGGGACTGGAGTGGCCGAATCCGGACCTTCCACCGACACAGACGGAAGGCGAGGGGGAGGGGCAAGGGACGTAGTAAAGGGAGTTTCCACGCCAATACCCACTGCGCCTTCGTGAGCCACGCCAAGCCCAGAGGTGCTGCGAGCACGCTTCATTTCAAACGGCGGCGGACGACCGGCACGCTCACGCGCACGAAGGAGCGAAGGCAGCAGCTGCGCGTTCTCATCCATACCAGCCTCGCCAGCCGACTCCTTGCGCCGGGCATCCTGCGACTTGAAAATGACCAGCAGGTTGGAAATGCGAAAGTCGAGCCGAACATCGCTGATGAATTCGAGAATCTCGATAATCTTCAGCTTGGTGTTCATCACGGTGACATCCTTCTCGTTGCTTTCTTCCTTCGGTCCGGAAAACCCAACCTTTTTGGCACCCACAAGAGCCAATGGGCCGCCAATCAATGCACCCAGACCTGCCGACCGCACTCCGGCCGCGATGGAGGGTGTCGAGGTCACCGACGTGGAAGGTGATTGGCCGCGCACATTTTCAGAAGAGGTGTCGGGTGACAAGGGAGAGGTTGCTGGCGAAGGCGACGTTCGCCCCTTGAAAGGGGTGGACGGGGAAGCGGGTGCAGATTCGGCGACGGTTGCCGAAGTAGCAGCGCTACTGGTCGAGGCCGCCGGAAGACCAAAGAATACGTCCGAGCCGTTGTTGGAGGACGAGCGGGAGCGCGACGCAGATGTGTCGGGGCTGTGATTCTGGAGCGGGAGCGGCGATGGCGGAGCGATGGACACGGACGGCAACTGCAAGCTGTTGAGGGCTTGTGAAGGAGCGCTTTTGCTGTCTGAGGCACCCGAAGCCGAGGCAGAAGTCGAAGGAGCAGAAGCAAAAGCAGAAGAAGAAGCAGAGCCAGACAACTTGCGCTCGCCGGCAGCAGTCACGACAGAAGCTGCAGCATGCATGGTTTTGGAAACTGCCGACGTCACAAAGTTGGCAGCGGACGCGCGCCGACTGCCGCTGGTCGTTCCATTTGCATTGGTTGTGGCTGGCCCAGGACTGCCGGTGCCGCTGCGACCGTCAAGAATCGACAACAGGACTTTGGTGAGCTGAATGAGCTCGCGGAAGTTGTAGAATCCAAAGTAGACGAGGTAGCGGGTCAGCGTGATGACTTCCAGGGTGAGCTTGTTCTTGTCCCGAGAGTGGAACGGGTGCTGGTCTGCCTCGAGGAGCTTGAGGTACTGACCGACAAACTGCTTGGTGCCTCCGAAAATTTCGCTCGAGCCGGCGGCAGAGGGCATCAGATACGTGTCGATGGTGATGCCTTCGGGAATGTCCGACCACAGACGAGCATACTTGACAGGCGTCACGGTCTCCTGCGGGTCGCAGTCGACATGCATGTGCAGCATGAGCTGGCAGAAGGACGCGCGCAGGTCGCTTGGAAGGCGCTCGTTCGAAATGCAGCGCAGCAGCAAGCCGACATGCATCTTGTCCTTGAGGTGGTTGATGGCAATGTACTGGCGATCGAGACACATCTGGGCAAAGAGGTCGAGCTGGACGCGATAGTATGCGAGGCTATCCCGAGCCTCGTGGCTCGTCTCGGCGTCGCGCGCCAAGTCGCCAAGGCGCTTCGCAACGAGCCGTGGATACGCGGACGGGCCCAGAGATGCTGTGGCAGTGCCGGCGGCGGCGGCGGCGGCGGCTGGAGAGACGGTGGTGGTGGTGGTGGTGCGGGGAGAGTGCTGCAAAGGCGTGCCAGAGAACGGGCTCGAGGATGCTGACGACGAAGACGACACATTGCCGTCCTTGACGGGTTGGAGCCAATGGAGCCACACTTCCCCATCCTTGTCCAGGGTTGTATCGATGAAAATGTCCTTGTTTTCGTCAGCCAGCACGGCAATGCAGATCAGCTCCTGCGTCACAGGAATGGCCGTGTTGTTGCTCGAGCAGAGATCGGTCAGGTATTGCACGTAGCGGCACTCGCGATTCTTGCGCAGCAGATTCAAAAAGGTATCAATCTCCTTCTGCTTGATGTTGGCTTCGAGCAGCTTGCGGTTGTTGTTGAGCAGCGCCGTGATGGTGTCTTCGGCCAGCAAGTCGTAGCCAATCTGGCTTTGCATAAAGCCAAACCACTTGGCAATGTACTCTTGGTTTTTTCGGTAGGCCTGTTGCGAAAAGCGGAGCGTGCGGTAGCAAAGCTTACACATCATGCGGATGGGACTGTGCTGCTTGTCGCCCACCTCGGAGAGCGGCAGCATGACGCCGCCGCTTTCGACGAACGGCGCCTTGAGCAACGCGAAAATTTCCTTCAAAATGTTCTGCTCGCGCATCAGCTTTTGCCGATCACGGTCGGGCTTGCCAGTGGCGGTCAGCGGATCCATGCCAATGTTCTCCTGGTTGAGCACGAAAAAGATGAGGTCGGAAAGAATCTTGGTGGCGAGCTTGGCTTCGCGTTGCGTGAGGTCTCCCTTGGCGAGGCGCTTGGAAATGCCCTTGAGCAGCTTGCTGGCGTCGTTGGCAAAGTCCAGGTCGCGCACTTCGGCGGCAGCAACGGGCACCACGGCAAACGCCTCCTTGTCCTCGCGGATGGAGGCGGCGCCGACTTTTTGCATGATTGGCTTTTCCTGGTCCTTGTCAATGGGAATGGCGGTCGAATGGACCCACGTGTTGGAGTAGAAATGCTTGAGCCGGACGTAGGCAGACTTGCCCACCTCTTCGTCTGCCTTTTGGATGGTCGTCGGGTCGAGCTCAAAGATGGAGGCGAGATCGTGCCGGTCGCGCGTGGTGACGAGGTGGTGGGCCACGTCTCGCGTGCCCCGGAGCTTTTCGCGCGTCGAATCAAACGTCGGATCGTTGTCCTCCTGGGCGGCCAGATACTCGCCAGAGGCGAGGTGCTTGATGCGAAACAGACTGTTCCATGTGGCTACACCGCCGCGACACGGGTCTTCGTGCACGACTTCAATTTCCCACAGCGCCTGCGACGTGGTTGCAGCCGTTTTCGAGGTTCGACCGGTCGTACGCAAGAAGACGCACAACGAGTTTTCGTACTGGTCGCACGTCAAGAATTTCTCTTGCTCGGCATGGAACAGACGCACAACATCGCCTCCTTTCAGCACGTTCTCGGCGTTGGGGTGGTGCTCGAGAAACAGCGAGACCTTCCACGGTGTCTTGACGTTGGCAATATTCACCTCCAAGCAAGACTCGTGGTCGGGCAAGTTGCAGCTGCTCGCATGCAATGGCTGCTGGGCGTTCGTAGACACCAGCAAGACCTTGTCGCCAATCAGAATTTCGTCGCCGACCGAGCGCAGCTTGTAAAAGGGCATGATGGTAAACCACGAGCCTTCATTTCCGACCGTGTCCAGCACCACGCGCATGGCGTTCTTTTCCAGTAATGCGGGCAGTCGCTGATTTACCGTGACAAACTTGTTGCTTTTTGTGTGCAGGAGCTACGACGAGGAGGGGACGCAGAAAGGTGAACAAACAAAATAAAAAAGGACATCAACAAAACGTCAGTCAACCTCAAACCACAGCCGCACAAACAAAAGGCATTCAACAATACCTGAATACACTGGCCGTATTGAATGACTTGACCAAGAGCCCGATCGTCTTCTTGCTCGTTTTGCTTTCGCTCAAGCTCGGCTGCGTGCTGCAGCTTTTTCAACAGCACAATGTCCGATAGAGTGTTCGAGCTGGCCTTGGCTTTCTTCCATTGGCGCTGGGCATTGTAGCGATGCATGGGGTAGATTTTAAAGTGACAGTCTAAAATGATTGAGGTGTGCAGGATGGGAAGAGAGTGAGTCCAAATAGGAAAGTTGGGACGAGCATCGGATTTGTCGGATCCTAAGCGGAGATACACACCTCGAAACTTCTTGGGAATGTTATTGGTGTCGCCGGCAGTGGGTTGAATCACACAGCGGTCATCAATGAGGCTGATCAGGGGGAGTGAGCATTGCGAATGGAACCTCCCCACCTCAGATACCCCACACACGCATGACAGCAAACCAGCCGACCAAAACAAGACAAAAACAAGCAAAAATGTTCAAAGAACCAATCCGGATTGGATCGGATGAAAGAAACAAGAAAACCCAAAAGTAACGAGCTGGCGGTTTTGATGTTTCAGCGAACCACTGCCTGAATCCCAGAAACCGCCTACCACACTTGCACAACATGACTGGAGCACTGAGCCGAGCTGGCTGAATACATACCCTAGAGTGCTGATAAAGCCATTGACTTGGCCCTCGGCATACAGCGACACGACATCGCCGAGCCGCAAGTAACGAGGCGAGCTCATGCTGAGAACACCAAGCTTTGCGCGCGTTCACGCAGACAGGTCCCTCGGGGGTGTACTTGGAGTAGCTAGCGTGTGCTCGCTGGTGAAAGTCGGGTCAAAGAGAGACTCGGGAAGCGCGAGACGGGGGTGGGAGGGAAGGGGGAAAAGTGTCCGAGCGCGCGATTGGAATGGAAGCGAGCTTGATCAAGAAATTGAGTCGCCTCCTACCGCAGCAGCAGAGCCGGGCCAAGTAGCAAAGCACAACAAGCAAAAACAAAAAGGTGAGATGGCGTGTTGAATCAAGATGGTTGGTTGTGACATTGGATGCGAGGGAAGAGGGTGGAAGAGATTGGGAGATGGGACAAGGCACAATCTTCATCCATAAAGGCGCATCCAATCCTTCGCCGCTCACCGCGCGTCGGATGTCGTCCAAAAGGAGTGACGAATGACTGAGCACAAAATCCACACAATCAACGTGGCCAAAAACACACGAGACTTGGACTGAAAAGTGAACGTGATTGGAATCGAAATCGAAATGAAATAAAGCAAAAAACCGCCAAAAATCCAATAAAATAAAATAAAATAAAAGTTGTCAAAATCGGAGAAAAAAAAAACACCAAAGAAAGCAAACCGATTGACAAACAACTCAAAAAAAAAACTAGAAGAAGAGCTCGATAATAACGAGAATCAAAAATCAAAAGGCACAGACAATAAGAGGCGGGAGGGGGGGGGAGAGAATGGACGAACGCACATAAAGCTGTGCGTTTCACTTTTGCTTCCCGCCAAAAAAAAAAAAAGAAAAAAGAAAAAAAAGCATTCTCGACACACTTGTTGGCTGCACGCGCACTCTGGGCCAGTTCAGCACGCCTCCGTCTGGTGTCGGATGGGCAGCCTCCAGAGTTGCCTTCAACCTTTTGCTCTGATTACCATGCGAGAACTGCAACTCGACCGTGGCAATTCGCTTCCATTTCCATCCCATTGAAAAAACCAACAAAAAAAAAAAAAAAAAAAAGGCAACGATCTCGGATTTTTGTTACTGTGACGTGGATTGCACTGTACAAAAGTCAAAGCGAACTGCTCGCTTGGCCTCCAATGACCCGACGCACACAAGACGCATTTGCAACGGAAACTTGTCCAACACGACGCAAGCTGACGGAGGGACACGCGGAGCACAGCGCGCTTTGGGGAGGCACACTGGATTGAGAGGAGCACAAAAGCGAAGAAGGGCCAATCCATTCCACACGCCCTCGCTTTCGCTCCCTTTCGCTTCACCCCCACTCCCCGCTCGCTTCCCAAAGCGAACACCCAGAGCACCAACGATGCTCTGCGCAGAAACGGTACACAAAAACTGACCGGCTGCGTCGAACAAAAAGCGAGCACAACAACAAAGTCGAACGAAACGAAGAAATTTGGTCGAATCATCAATCAAAAGGCAAAGGCAAAGGCAAAGGCAAATTGAAGGGTGGAAAACAAAACCTTACTGACTTTGACGAAGGAGTGAGTGAAGAAAAGACTGGAGAGCGCAAAACGAGAACATGGCTCGGATGGAAGGAAGGAAGAGTTGCCGAAGTGGCATCATTGCAACAAAACCAAAACCAAAAACGAAGCTCAAGTTGATTGCGGATTGTGTCACCATCGGGGCTGCAAGGAACAATCACCCAGAATCGCAAACTGGAAGGCATGTTGCAAGTGTGAATGTGAGTGCGTGGAAAGGATGTGCGCACTGTGGCAGCAGGATAGGATTTGGTGGTCTCAGATTGAGGATTACCGCAGCAATTGCAATCCCAAATCATCAACCGCACAACGTATCACATTTGCAGACATTTCATCTCCTCATTCTTTGTTTCTTTGTTCTTCTTTTTCTTGTTCTTTCGTGACAATGATGGCGCGCGTGGCATCATCGTTGTCGGCATTGCTTGTCCTGGGACTCGTCCTCGCAGTTTCAGCAGCGCCGCAGTGCAACCCCGGCGGTGTGCGCAACGACTGCGGTAACAAACACAAGCATTGCTTGTTCTTTGCTGCATGCGTTGATGATTGCTGGCGACGTTCTCGTTCGCGTTCTCGCACTGGAAGGGACGAGCGAGACGAGGGAACAAACCATGCCCAATCCTCAATGCGCACTCACTTTGCACTCCCAACTCGCTCTCCATGCACACGCTCTTCTCTGTACACAACCCACAGGCTATGTTGGCATTACGCAGCAGCAGTGCGAGGCGAAAGGGTGCTGCTGGAGCCCGCTCGACAACAACCCGTGGTGCTTTAACTCTGTAAGCGGCGTTTTCATTGATCTCGCGCTCTACCTCTGCAACACGAACTCTTCCATCGCCACGGCTTTTGACTGTGTGCTCTGGGTCTCAGAGTCAAGTTGTTGATTTGGCTTGCGCAGTGTGTGGTTTGAAGTCGAAAGCGAGGGGGGGGAAACAATCATGTGCTGTTGCCCCTCTTTGAGGCTTCATGGCAGCCACACGCACACACTCGCTCGTGAACGCGAATGGCACCCTTGCTCATTCTGCTGTTTTGCAACAATCTCACGGTGGCTGATGCGACGATGACCCTTCTCAGCGCAACAAAATGGCCGCGTGCGCTGCGCCAATCATTCAATCAATCGTGAACGGAGCATTATTTTTAATGTTTTTGCGTTTCGTTTTTAACGCTTGTTTCATTTTTTTAACGCCCCGCTTTTGTTTTTCTTATTCTCAATGATTCGAGTGTCGAAATTCAATGACCAGGGTCGAAAAAACAAAAATCAAACATGTCTCGTGTTTGGATGAATCTCAAATGAATCTGCTTTTGTTTTTGCCCAGAACCCGCCTCAATCCAACTACGTCGTCAAGAGCATTGCGCAGACAAGCGTCGGATATGACATTACACTCACGCTGGTGAGCGCTCCAGCAACGTTCGGCCCGGACGTGGTCAACCCGAAGGTGTCGGTGTCGTACGACACGGCAGACCAGCTGCGTGTGCGCATTGTCGACTCGGACGACAGCTCGCGCTGGGAGGTTCCGACGTGGCTCTCGCCCCTGCCCCCGCCGCCGACCAAGCCAGCGGCCAACCCCAACTATGTCTTCTCGACGGCCCCGATTGGCCAGCCGTTCTGGTTTGCCGTCTCGCGTGCGTCGGACGGCAAGCCCCTCTTCAACACGTCGTCGACCGACGCCACCCCGTTCAACAACATGGTGTTTGAGGACCAGTACCTCGAAATCTCCACCCAGCTGCCTTCGACCAACTACATTTACGGCATTGGCGAGCACGTGCAGTCGATGCGCCTGACCCCCGACACGTACACGCTGTGGGCGTACGACACGCCGACCCCCGTGCTGAACAACTTGTACGGCGCTCACCCGTTCTACATTGAGCAGCGCGCAGACACTGGCAAGGCCCACGGCGTCTTCTTCCGCAACAGCAACGGCCAGGACGTGACGCTCTCTGGCACCTCGCTCACCTTCCGCTCGATTGGTGGCATTTTCGACTTTTTCTTCTTCATGGGCCCCACCCCCGAGGCCATCGTGCAGCAGTACACCAGCGTCATCGGTCGCCCCCACATGCCGCCGTTCTGGGGCCTCGGGTTCCACCAGTGCCGCTACGGCTACAAGTCGCTCAGCGACCTGCAGACGGTTGTCGCCCAGTACAAGGCCAACCAAATCCCCCTCGACACCATGTGGACGGACATTGACTACATGGACAGCTTCAAGGACTTTACCTGGGATCCCGTCAACTTCCCGCAGTCGGGCATGCTGTCGTTTGTCAATTCGCTCCACGCCAACAAGATGCAGTATGTCGTCATTGTCGACCCCGGCCTCGCCAACCAGCCTGGCTACGCTCCGTACGACCAAGGCGAGAAGCTCAATCTCTTTGTCAAGACTGGCGACGGCGTCACCGACTTTGTCGGCAAGGTTTGGCCCGGTCTCTCCGTCTTCCCAGACTTTTTCAACCCTTCGACCGCGCAGTTTTGGCAAACCCAAATCCAGACCTTCCTGGCTGGCGTGCCCGTGGATGGTCTCTGGATTGACATGAACGAGATTAGCAACTTTTGCAACGGCGAGTGCGACTCGGCCACCTCCACCACTCCCGCCCAAGCCGCCCAGCTGCTCGAGCGTCTCGCCACCTCCCCGCCTGCCGGCCACATGGCTGGCTTCAACCCGGTCTCCCCACCCTACGCCATCGACAACCAGCAGCAGCACCAGCCCTTGAACATCAAGACCCTTGACATGACCGTTCAGCACTACGGCGGCGTGCTCGAGTACGACGCGCACAACCTGTTTGGCCTGAGCGAGGCCCTTGCGACGGACGCGGCGCTCGAAGTCGTGCGCAAGCAGCGCTCGTTTGTCATTTCCCGCTCGACCTTCCCCGGCTCGGGTCGCGCGACCGGCCACTGGACGGGCGACAACCACGCCACCTGGGACGACCTGTACTACTCGATTCCCGGCATGATCAACTTCCAGATGTTTGGCATTCCCCTGGTTGGCTCGGATATCTGCGGCTTTTTGGATGACACGACGGAGGAGCTCTGCGGTCGCTGGATGCAGCTTGGCGCCTTCTACCCGTTCTCGCGCAACCACAACACGCTCGGCGCAGCCCCACAGGAGCCTTACACTTGGCCGTCTGTGGCCGCGATCAGCCGCACCGTGCTGGGCATCCGCTACTCGCTCCTGTCCTACTACTACTCGCTCTTCTATCTTGCCCACGTCCAGGGCACCACGGTCATCCGTCCCTTGTTCTTTGAGTTTGGCAACGACACCACGACGTACACGATCGACCGCCAGTTCCTTGTCGGCAACGCTTTGCTCGTCACACCCGTTCTGACCCAGGGCGCCTCCACCGTGTCGGGCTACTTCCCCCAGGGCGTGTGGTACGATTGGTACACGCTGAGCCCTGCTGTCGGCTATTCCAGCATTGGCTCGTGGCAGACGTTGAACGCGCCGTTCAACACCATTCCGCTGCACTTGCGCGGTGGCTCCATCGTTCCCATTCAAAATCCCGCCCTGGTTTCCGCGGATGCGCACTCCTCGGACTTTACGCTCTTGGTGGCCACCAACTCTACCGGCTCGGCACAGGGCTTCCTGTTCCTCGACGATGGCACCAACCTGGCCATGACTTCTTACGTCTCTGTGACGTACTCTGCGGCGTTCGGCGGCGCCGGCGCTTCTGGCCAGCTCACCAACCAAGTGACTGACACCGGCTACGGCAGCGTTGCCACACAGCGTCTCGCCACCGTCAAAGTGCTGGGCGTGACCAGGCAAACCACGGTTGTCTCCCTCAACTCGGCTCTGTACTACAACTTTACCTGGGACGCCCCGACGCAAGTGCTGACCATTACCAACCTGCAGCTGCCTATCAGTGCTCCGTTTGTGCTGTACTGGGCTCCATCGACCATGACTGAGGCTGCGGATGCTGAAAATCATGAAAATGGCCAGAGCACCAGTCTCCAAGCACCCGCGATTGCTGGCATTGTTGTCGGATGTCTTGCTGTTGTGGCGCTTGCCAAGGTGATTGTCCGTCGCCGCAAGTCCGTTGTTGTTGGCGAGTACACCAGCATCTGAGATGTTTGTGCTGCAGCGTTTGCGGTTTTTGATTCGCTTGTGATTTGTGTTTTTGTTGTTGTTGTTGTTTGTTGATGATTGTTTGGTTGTGCTTCATCATTGAATTCCGATATGATGATTCTCGGTTTTTTTATTTTCCATTTCAGGAGGGGATGTGTCAGTCTGATTTCTCAGAAAGCAAGCCATCTTTCTTTTGTTTGAAACAAAGCCAAATGTCCCAGCCTTCCACTTCACCCGAACGCGTTCTGGGCAGATTGCCAGGCCTTGTCCTGGTGGATGTTCAACTTGGCCTGACAGATCCCGCGAACGAAGCGCACTGGGGCGGGAATCGCAACAACCGAAACGCCGAGCAAGTGATTGGGCGACTGCTGCAACTCTGGCGAGCACGCAATCTTCCGGTCTTCCACGTCAAGCACGACTCGATTGAAGCTCAGTCGCCGTTGCGTCCCGACCAGCGTGAGTGGCGATCAGAGCGGTGTTCGGCGGGGGGGGGGAAAGTAATGAGTGTAAGAGGCTGATTATTCACTGTTGGAATTGTTTTCAGCCGGCAACGCCTTCCATCCTGTCGCCGTGCCTCTTCCCAACGAACCAGTCTTCCCCAAGTCGGTCAACTCAGGCTTCATTGGCACTGATCTGCAGGCGCGTCTTGAGCAGGTCAGCGAATTGCATTGAAAGCTTGGTTGTCGGAGTTTCGATTTCGCCGTGTTTGAATCATTTCGCCGTGCTCTGACTGCGCAATGCTCATCCTATCGTTTTTCTCGATTGTTTCGTATGATTTCGTGGATTACTTTGGCACTGTTGTCCAATCTGCGCTGGGGTAGCGAGGCGTAACTTCCGTCGTGATTGTCGGAATCACAACCGATCACTGCGTGAGCACGACAACGCGCATGGCGGGCAATCTGGGATTTGTCTGCTTCTTGGTCGAAGACGCCGTCGCAACTGTGAGTGATGTCATGTTGGAGCGAGCTTGACAAGTGGAAGTTGATTCGATGGCGAAACCTGAACTGACTCATCTGAGCGCGCGTTGGACTGATTTTGTTCAGTTTGACAAGACTGGTTACAACGGTGTCAAGTACCCTGCACAGCTGATTCACGACACTGCCCTTGCTAGTTTGCACGACGAGTTTGCGACAGTGCTCCAATCCCAGACACTTGAGCAAAAGTTGGCCGCGATCTTTGCTTGAGGATTGATTGTCCGTTCGTTTTGTTGTTGTCGTTGTTAGAGTCAAGCACTATTAGAACTCGTCGAGCATGAAAGCAAGCAAGCATGCCTTCAAACGTTCCAAAATTCAAACGACCAGACAAAAACAAAACCACATGTATTGGAACAACAGCAGGCAGCCTCAACAACGCATTATTCATCGTCGTCCTCAACTCGACCCTTCGACGCTTGACGACGATCGCGGTTTTTGTTGCGGTACATGCTGCGAGCCTTCGACACGGCGGCAAAGTATGCGGCCTTGTTTCGCTGTTTTTGAACGCGCATATGTGAGTGAATCTCATAGTTTTCGCCATGGTTCAGACGACACAACACTTGCACCACTCCATCCTACCTTGTCATCGCCGGCGTTTCGACCGCCATCAGCAGCATCATTGGCGACAGGACTGAGATCAAACATATCTCGTAGAAGCGGGTTGGACTAGACAACAAAGTGACGAGAATTTTGAGCAGACAGAAACGACAATGAACAAACTGGCGGTGCAAGAGACATTTCTGAATATGAACATACCATCAGCTGAGGCTGGAACCCGCTGTGAAGGATTGCTCGGAGCTGATTCAAACGATTGAACGACTCCCATGTGTCAACCACAAAGCGTTCCTTCAGCAGCTTGACGGTCTCCTCGACGCCTTCATGCGCCTATATGGACATTGAACAACCAAAAGGACGTTCAGTAAAAAAGGTAAGAATGTCGAACGCGCCCTCAAACAAAGACCACAAAACAACCTCACCTCGAGTGTGTCCTTGACTTGGCGCAACACGCTGCGTTCGCGCGTGCGCTCTGCCTTGGCACGGCTCTTGACAGAGTCCGAGCAGAGGGCATCGAGCTGCTCGCAAATGTCGTCCACTTGGAAGTGGGAGTCGAACGACTTGGAGCGACCACCCTCGGCCACGGTGGCGTCGACGAGGGCACGACCCAGCTCAAACACCGCGGCCAGAGTCTCAGAAGCAGCGAGGCGGATGTGGTGGTCAGAGGAGGCCAGCAGGGTGGTGAGTGGTCGAACGACCTCGCGAGAGAGCTCGACGATGCGGGCTGTCGACGGGACGCGTGGCAGCAGCAATCCCCACGCCACGATGGCAGCGGCGACCATGTCCGGGTCGCTGACCGTGTGGGCCTGACCGTTCTGCGCCAACTGAGCCTCTGTCTGGTGCTGGGCACGGCTGAACAGTTCCTGGGCCAGCTGCATGGTGGACGTGACTTCGGTGGGATCTTCGCTCGTGATGAAGACAGTCCAGGACAGTGCAGCCACGCAAGCGGCGCGGGTGCTGCTATTCGTCTGCCATAGGCACGTGGAAGATTGAGAAGCATAGGACAAGTGAGCAATAGCGAAAAAAAAAAACGACAAACGACAAAAAGAAACTCAACGACCGCAACAACAAAGACTCGTACAGCAGCCGCAGATGCATAAGTCCGGAGCGCCGTGATAATGTCACCAAGCTCGCCTGAGACCTCCGAGCCTAGCTGGAGCACGACAAGCGTCACGGCAGAGGCGGCAGTTGCTCGGATGTTGTCCTCGCTGCCTTTGAGGCACTTTTCAATTCCATCCAGCAGAGATACTTTGCTATTGTTTCGGAAAAAAAAAAAAAAAAAGAAAGCGGACGGCGATGGTCAGCACGTTTGGGCATTGTGTGTGAACGAAGGCAGCCAAAAACAAAACGTACTGGGTGGCAAACACGGCGGGCAAGTAGAACTTTTGCAGCAGCTGGATCAGCTTGGACAGGCCCGCCGAGCGCAGGATGGATCGACGCTCACGAAGGGCATCCAGGACCTGCTGCAAGTGGCTCTCAACTGCACTCGCGCCATGTTCTGGTTCGCCGGATCCCGCGTCTTCGTCGTCGGACATTGCGCCTACAAGGCAACAAAAAAGCAAGACGACAGAATGAACAACTCGAGATCATACATTGGATACATTGGTCAAGTCAAGGAGGTGCACACTGTTTATCGACGTACCTGAGCGACCACTGGTGACACTGCCAGGCAAATCAGAAACCAAAGAACAGACAGCAGTGAGCAACAATTGGCGAATGCGAGATCACTTTCCCAACCGCTCGATGGAACAAGCCTCAAAAGCGTTTTTGTGCCAGAGTCCAACGCATGACGAGTGTGTCAGCATGCTTTCGCAGACGACTGTGGAGGGAGCAACGTTACCTGGAAGCGTCGTCATCGCTGTCATCGACCGAGGCAGCACGGCCACCGCCACCGCGGCGCGCGTTCCGCTTGTTGCTCTGCTTGGCAGACGAGCCTTGGTGGTCTTCGCCGTTGGCGTCGTCCCCGTCGTCGTCGTTCTGGCCGCCGCGTCGACCCGCTGCACTCGGCATGTCCGCAGTGATGCGCGCCGCTGCAGCCGCCGCCGCGTTGCTCTTCCTCTCGCGGGACTTGAGGCCAGACATTTGCTTTGGTGTGTGGGGGCTAGGGTTGGATGTTCAAAGTGTTTGACTCTGATGAAACAAGTGAGTTTTGCTGCATCAACGCAAAACCGTTCATTCAGCGATTCTAAGCCTTTCCCTGCTCTCTCTCCCCTGATGAGCTTCAAAGACGGATGCCCAAAAAAAAAAACACCTCAAAAGCTTTGCATGAGATTTTCGAAAACACCCGCTGTAATACTCACAACTGCGCAGAACAGCAATCGACTGATTCAACACCCAAAAACACAAAAAAGCAGACTGCGTATTTGCGATCCAAGCGAAAACTGAGATTCGAAATGACAGGCAGTTTGACTGTGCGACGATGAAGGTGAAGTTGACATTCGAAGCGAAGCGAAGCCGATCAACAAAAAGAGAAAAAGAAAGAAGAAAGAAGAGAAAGAAGAAAACGCAGTCTTTTTCTTAACAGCGCAGTAGCACCAAAACCCCCTTTTCTTTCTTTGAATAGCACATTAAAACAAAGAAAAAAGGATGTCGTTTCGCTACGAAGTGGTACGCTTTTTTTTTTTTTTTTTCGCTTTTTCTTTCTCTTCTTTTGGTTTCCTCTTCCCTTGTTTTTCACTCTCCCCTTTCGCACTGAGTGACCGAGCGATACTGAGTCGGTTGGACAGAGTGTGCGAGAGGGTTAGGGAGAGGGTTGGGAGAGGGAGAGAGCAAAGCAATGGCGGAGAGTTGGCTTTTGTTCACGTCCCCGTTTCCCCAAAGGTTCCACTTCACTCATGCGTCCTTCCCCCTTGTTGTTGTTGTTGGTTGTTGACTGCAGCTGCGCGACGAGAGCGACATGCCTGCAACACCGCACGAGGAAATCCAGCTGACCCCGGTCTCCTCTTCCTCCACGGCTGCGGCGGCGGCGGCGGTTGTTGAGGAGGAGCCGCTGCCGGTCTACCAGCCAAACCCGACCTTCTCCGACGCAGGCACGCCGCACATGCCGCTCCCAACCTACGAACAGGTCCAGTCCGACAAGGCCCGCGAATTCGCTGTAAGCCGAGCCTTCAGAGGAGAGGGGGGAGGGCAAGAGCGAGGCCGAGCAAGAGCGGGGCGTTGTTTTGGCCTCTTTTTTTTTTTTTTTTTTTTTTCCTTTTCCTGTTTTCTGACGTGTTTGCCATCATTGTTGACAGGCGTCGTCTGCGGCTGCCGTGGCCGCAACTAATGCTGAATTGATGCACGAAGGTAAGCAGGGCATGTTTCTTTGATTCCTGCCAGCAACAGCAACAATCAGCATATAAAAAAAAAAAAAAGGAAAAAAAAAAGGAAAAAAAAAAAGCTCGCGCTATTCCACCAATCGGCGTGAGGCAGAACCGGACCCCGAAAAACGATCGCCATTGTATTGTATTCTATTGGATTGTATTGTATTGCATCCATTTGTTGAGAGTCGACCCACTTTCCGCTTGTGCCATCCATGCCGAGCCATGCATTGGATGCAAGCAACAGCATCCAAGCATCCAGGAGGAGGGGGTTGTGTCTGAGGGTTTGGAGAGGGTTTCCTAATCGTTTTGATTTGACTTGTTTTTTTGTATTTTGTTGTGGATGGTTGTTGTTGTTGTTGTTGTTGTTGTTTTTTTATATCTTGACTTTTGTGTTCCGTCTTCTTGGTGTTTGCAGCTGAAGCACTGGTCGGCACCGACTCTACTTTCCTGATGTCCTTCTTTGGTAAGCCGAGCAACAACAATTCTTGCCGTTTTGACTTTGATCTTTATTATTGTTTCTCACTATTTTTTGCATTCCTCCGTCGAAATTGTCACGTTTCGTGCAGTCTGCTTGATTTTCGACATCCTCGGCGTCATTTTCTGCATGTGCTTTGGCTCTTCCGCGGCCACCAAGTTTGGCGTCGTTGCTGGCTTGGGCAGCGCATTGCTGGCTCGTTGCGCCTTTGTCATGTACCAGGCGTTTTCGCCCGCAGTCGTGCCCGAGGATGACAAGTACCACCAGTCATATGTCAAAAACACCTTCCCAATCATTGCCTTGTTGGGCTTCCTGCTCATGATCTACGGCTTTGGCTCGTATCGCCGAGCAAAGCTCGCTCTCCGGAGACGCATTGAGCAGCTGTCCTCCGCCGTCGTGAATGCCTGATGATGGATGCGTATCTGAGATGCGTTGTATGTATTTTATGCTTTTTTCAGTTTGCCCTGTTCTCAGTTTTTGTTGTTGTTGTTGTTGTGCAAAACTTGTCTTGGTGTTTTCAACGATAAATACCATTTCGGTTGATTCCTGTTGTTTGATTACTGTTTGGGTTTTTTTCGTGAGTCTGGCTGTGAACAAAACTTGCAACAAAACTCGCATGGTCGAGCTAGGGTGTTTGGAGTATTTAATTGATGATAACTATTATTATTGTGATGGCAGCAGCGCATTATTACAACCCCGTCAATCGTGATCAATGGCACACAAGCCCTGTTCAAGACTGAGCAGCAGCCTCGTCGATTGCCGCTTTGATGAACGTAACGAAGCTGAGCGGATCCGTGTACATGGAAACAACGCCAAGCGTACGGAGAGTCTTGCTAAAGCACGTCATCGGATAGATGGACTCGGACTCTCGCCAAACTTCATAACAATTGACCGAGGGCAACAGCGCGCCCAACAGTGTGTCCACATGCTCAATCAAGGATGCCTGAATGGTCGCATCGCTCTTGGGCTAGAAGCAAGGATGACACAAAACCATAGGAAAGGAGAGGTGAGTTGGAGTTTCAACCAACAAAAGCTCAATCGCAACAAACGAATGCAAGTTCCGAAAAAAAAAAAGCCTTACTGGTTTGCCGTCGGGAGAGGCACTGATAGCGGCGGCTTCACCTTCCGTAGTGCTGGCGGTGGCAGGGGCAGCAGCGCCAGTACCGGTACGAGCACCAGCACGAGTTCCAGCGGTTGCTGTTGCACTCGCAGTCTGCTGTTTGATCTGCTGATGCCGGTCGTGTTGCACAAAAAAGACAGCGCGACGAATCGTATCGAGCCTGATTGTCAGCATGCGAGACATCATGTACGACCGGCATTTCAATCTGGCAAGGTGAAGCAAAAAAAAAAAACCGTCAGCGTTTCTCTTCATCATCATCACACGAAAGCAGCTGAATTGTCAAAGTGCAACTGACAGGAGGGAATGCAACGCCTTTTCTTGAATGCTGGGATTAGGGGTATTGAACTTGCCCAACAGGAGCGTGAGATACTTGTCGGTCTCAGAGTAGAATTTGACGGGCTCGAGGGGTGTGTCGGATTCCTTGAGGCGCTCTTTAGCAGGAACCGCGCCATTGCCGATAACAGCGCCCAGAGAATCCAGCTGCAATGACGTCAGGGAAGGTGGGGAGGGGGGGGAAAGAAGAGAGAAACAAAGACAATAATCAGCAAACACATGCCAAACCGCAAAGGCGATCACCACACTGGTTGGGACCGTACCTCTGAATAATACCCAAACTCCAAAAACGCAGCAATAGAACGTGCGCTCATGAAGCGGGATTCTATTCCTGTCATTGTCTGAGCTCGGTGCTTGAGCTCACGCGCGATTGTGTGATATGCATAGAATGTCCTGTTCGAAAAGAAAAAAGAAGAAGAAAGAAAGAAACAGGGTCAAAGGTGAGCATTTGGAAAAACAACGACGCGAATAACAAAACACACACTTGGTCTGGGTTTTCGGCGGGATGGTAACCATCATGGGCCCAGAAAAGAGCTTTGGACCAGCGGCACCCGAAGACGCGCGCGACGGTCTCGGCGTTCTCGCTCGCGTTCTTGGTCAGTGTCGACATCGCTCTCGGCACTGCGCTTGAGGGCCTTTGATTTCTTGTCGTCCTTTTGGTCCTTGCGCTTGTGAGGTGCTTCTTCTTCGATCTTCTCCCGCTTCTTTGGAGGCTTGTTGTCCTCGTCCGCCGTTTTGCGCTTTTCCGTCTTGGCGACAGGAGGAGACGGGGTAGCCTCAAGAGGAGCACCGGCGGACGAGGACGAGGACGAGGACGAGGACGCTGGCTTGACAGCCGCAGCTGTTGTGGTCTTGATGCCATGATCAACGGCTTTGAGTGCAGCCTTGCCGTTCACTTGCACGACCTTGTAGTGCACGTTCAACAGACTGAGAGGGATCTTGACCACGGCGGGTGCCACCACAGCAGGCGCAATGCGAGCCTCGGGTTGGATTGCCGCCAGAGCTGTCGACGAGCTGTTGCTGGCAGGTGCTGGAGCCGACGGCACTTGCGAGACAGGCGCAGCAACAGCAGCAGCAGGCACTTGCACTTGCGAAAGAGGGGCAGCAGCTACAACAGCAGGAGTAACGCTGGGGACGGCGGGGCTTGCATCCGAAGGTCGCTGGAGCAGAGCGCTGGTCCGGCGTCGTGTGCTGCGCGGGGTGGTCGACTCTTCTTGCTGCTCGACAGCACTGGTGGCAAAGGTCGGAAGATCTGCGAGCAACGGTTGAGAAGAAGACTCTGGGGGAGGGGTAGCCTTGACAGCCGCAGCAGCAGCAGCAGCAGCGACAGGAGACACGAGGACAGCATCCGAGAACGCAACCTTCTTTCGAGCACTCTCAGTTTCGGCTTCGTCAGAATCAGAAGACGACGAGCTACCGCTGCTATCACTGCTGCTGCTACTGCTGCTACTGCTATTACTGCTACTGCTGCTCGAGCTGCCGCTGCTACTACTGCTACTGCTGCTGCTGCTGCTACTACTGCTGCTACTGCTCGAGCTCGCCTTCTTCTTTTTCTGGGCGGCAGAGGCAGAGGGTGAGGCGGCGATAATTCCATCGACAATGCTGGTGGGCACACCGACATTGACCGCAGGGCTGGGGGCAACCGAAGATGCATTCGGTCTGCTGGCGACGGCCGCCGCCGAGAGGGGCGCGGAAGACGACGACGCGGCATGCTGGGACTCGACCATTGCCTGCTCCAGCATGCTGCTAAATTCGGCCAACTCCGCAGTGCTGTCTTGCCGTGCAATTGGTTTTCGGCCATTCGACTTGGGGTGATTCGCGTCAGGTATGGCGGCAGCGGCAGAAGCGGGTTGCTTCTTGTTGCGATTGGTGGCGGCGCTTCCGCTCGCGGCTGGCGGCGTTGCTACGGGTTTGCTGGCATTGGTTGCAGAGGCAAGTGCTTGCTGCTGTTGCTGTGCCGCCGCCGCTGTTGCTGCTGCTGCGGCTGCTGCTGGTGTTGTCAGCGAAGCGTCTCGCTTGGGATTGAGTGAGGAAGGGCGCCGGCTGGCGGCTTGGCGTGACGGGGGCGTGGCCAGGTGTCCACCAAACGGGTCGGCAAGCGGTGTGACGATGCTGGATGCTGAGAGCGGCGCATGTGCCACAACCTGAACATTGGGGGCGGGGGAGAGAGAGAGTAGGTGTGTTGTGGTGTGCGCGCGTCAGCATACAAGTTGCACCACAATCTTCCTAACTGCCAAACTGTACAAGTCCCTCTTTCCCGCCCCCCTCCTTCGTATTACCTTCAAGATCTCATCCGCGGACATGCCCGGAAGTGGAGGTAGCGCAGGAAGCGGCGCTACAGAGATGTTGGAGGACGGAATGGCGAGCCGAGGAAGCGAGGCGGGTATTGGCGGAGCAAGCGGACGCGCCGGGGCGGGAGCGGCTGGTGGTGGCAAACTGAATGGGGGAGGTGGTGGTAGGGATGCAACCGGTGACATTAATAGTGTTCCGGGGGATAATGGACTGAACATTTCGCGCGAGCCGGATTGGGACAGCCGCGAGCTTCGTCGGGGAGTGCTGGCATACGCGGCATTCAACATTTCAAGCGACGGAATGTCACTCGAGAGGAAAAGCTGCGAGCCCGGCCCGAGGTTGGAGCCATGCGTGTCGAACAGCAGCTCGCTCTCATCGAGGAGCTGGGGCTCGGAGCGAATTTGCATTTGGCGTTTTCGCCGCTCCTCATCCCGCTGGCGTTGCAGCTCTGGCGGAATGCCGCTGCCCTGCACCTTCTGGCTGTTCAAGATTGTGTCGATGAAGCTGCTGGTCATCTTGACTCGGCGGTTGCGGGCTTAGAGGACTGGTGTTTTTGTGTTGGCTCTCGTGAGCGCCAACCAAACAAAAGTGGACAAAAAAAAAACTCAGACAAAGTGCTCCTCGGAAATTGAAAAAGGACTCGAATGGGCGAACGAAACAGCAGATGGAAAGGGCGTAGTCACTCCTTGCGAAACACCCTGAACAGTTGCCACAAACCAGATATACCCGAGGTGAGTGCAGAGCAAAGTAAGTCAGCAGGTGATCAAAACAATCGGAAAACGTCTTGAATGTTTTTGCCGATCGGCTTCCCGGAATTCAAGCTCTCGTGCGATTCAAGTCCTCGTGCGAATGAGGTGATGTTTTGTTCTCATTTGAGGTTTCTGCAATTCAAGCTGGAATCGCATTCAAAGCCTCAAAACGAACACAAGGTCACAGTAAAAAATACAAAGAATAAGGAAATTGTAACGTAATCAAAAAAAAAAAAAAAAAAAAAGTTGGCAAGCATGATGACCAAAAGAAATGAAAATAAAAAAAAATAAAAAAAGAGAGAAGAGAAGAGAAGAGAAGAGCGAACGGCGGAAATGCGACGATCTCAGGCCGACTGAGCAACGAGCAAGAGCAAAGGGTCGAGCACGACAAAGCAAAAGATCTCTGAGAAAAGCCAAGATGGCCGCAGTGTGGCTCGCGCGTGTGTGTGCAGCGCGGCGGTAAGACCAAAAAAAAAAAAAAAAAAAAATCCCACACGACTTTTTCGGAACTAGACAGGCTAGGCGACAGACACCACACATCGTTGAGCGGATATCAGGCGGATGGATTTGGGGGATGAGGTTGGAGTGAGAGAATCGCATTGACAAGCAAAAGGGCAAGAATGCCAGGCCTTGATCGAGCAAAAGCCCCTCGAGGCGGAGCTGCAGCCACGCGAGAAGAAGAGCGGAAGATGCAGCAGAGCGACCAAAAAAAAAAAAAAAAAAAAAAAAAAAAGCTTCGTTTCAAGGAAAAAAGCAAAAAGCACAAAAGAAAACGCAAGAAACGAACGAGAAACAAAGGGAGCGAAAAACAACAACACAAAGAGAAAGCGGAAGAGGAATATCATGGGAGGAAAGGAGAGGAAAACAAGGTGGAAATAAGGAAAGCACGGCAAAAAGAGCGACGTGCCACCGCTGATGTGTTGAGCGGTGAGACACAGTAAAATAAAAAGTAAAAAATAAAATCAAATAAAATAAAATAATCGAAAAAAAAAAAAAAAAAAAAGAGCGACGAACAAACAGCATTCGCACCAGCCACGGCTACGGCTACGGGCTGTGGCGAGCAGCGAGAACCGGAGGGCGGGCCAGCGAGCGGAATGGAGATGGAGGGAGACGTGTCAGATACGGATGAGCTGCTAAATGGACAACTCGGCATCCACAGCTCGAGGCCCGAGTCGCCGAAAAAAAAAAAAAAAAAAAAGCCCTACCGCCAACAACCGGCAAAAAAAAAAAAAAAAAAAAAAAAAAAAAGCCAAACAGAATTTTCCAACCTCAATTGATGAGAGACGAGTGAGGTGTTGATCGTTTGGGTTGGGTTGGTTGAGGGGTGTATTTAGTTGGAGGGAAGGTGGTTGAAGTGTTGAGCAGTGAAAATCCATTCGTACTGCTGCGGCGTTGTCTGGTTGCCGGCTTACAGGATTTGTTCCAAAAAGTGCTGCTCGCTCGTTTCTCAGTGATTGCTGACTGGCTTGCCTGAGCTTGGAACAAAACCTCGATCTAATACAAAAAGAACCACTTTGACTCCTTGCGATTTTGCGATGGAAAGAGAAGCAAACAGACACACTGAGAAACGCCGGCCGGATCGCAGTCTTACTTTTTGTTGTTGCTTTGGTTCATTCTCAGAAAACCCCCGAGGCATGATTACCGTTCGACCAGGTCTACCAAAGGATCTCCCGGCCGTGCTCGGCTTGATCAATGAGCTCGCCGTGTTTGAACGCTGTGGCAAGGAGGTCGAGACGACCGTCGAGCAGATGCACCGCGATGCGTTTGAACGCCCCGAGCCGGTGTTTCGCTTTTTCGTCGCGATCGACACGAGCGCCGCTTCCGCGACAGCTGGATCCAACGCACCGCAGCAAGCGTCGTCGTCGGCGGCGGAGGACGGGACGGTGGTCGGAACGGCCATCTACTTTTACACATACTCTACCTGGAAGGGTCGGTGCCTGTACCTCGAGGATCTCGTCATCACCGAGTCGCGCCGGCGTCAGGGCATTGGCCGCCACTTGTTTGATGCCGTGATGGCCCAGGCCAAGCAGGACGACGTTGCGCGCGTCATGTGGCAAGTCCTCGACTGGAACGAGCCCGCCATCTGCTTTTACAAGTCGCTGAGCGCGGATCTCGACAGCACCTGGGTGAACTGCCGGCTGGTGCGCGATCAAATCCAGAGTTACAAGCCAACGGCTCGGCCTCAGCCACAGTAGCACAGCTCGCTCGAAAGGGGTGGCACTTTTTAGTTGAGGGACGTATTCTACAGTAGCCGCAGTGATGACCCGTTCGCCGTCGTTTTGTACTGTGCTCTCCTTTGAATAATAGCTCGCTCTTTTGGAAGTTCGCTTGATGCTGCACCATGCATGTTCAGTGTTGCTTGTGTCGTGATTTGTGCTGGATTTGGGATTGAGTGAAGTGGGTAACAGGATCAGTCATCGTTTTCTCCTTTTGGCTGTTCCACACTGAATCCCCAGCAGCAGCCGCGCTTCTCTCTTCACAACTCGAACTCTCCTGCCCTTTTCCGATTTCAAAGATCAGATCCACGATGGTGAGCAGGACCTCTCGCTCTGGGCATGTCCTACCAAACGCTGTGCCATACAAATGGACTCGTTCACACATTCCTTCCCTCTCCCTCCCTCCCCTCCCCTCACTGACATTTGCAAACCCTTCTTCTGCGTGCTTGGTGCAGGCATCCAATAAGAAGCGCCCGGCATCGCTGTCGACACAGGCCGCAGCGTCCTTCCAGTCAAGCCAAGTCAACCAGCAGCCCGCCGTCGCCGCGTCTGCCGCTGCCGTCAGCGATGAGGTTCGCGCGCAAGTCCAGGAAGCGTTTGAGCTCTTTAATTCGTCCGGGCGTGATGCCATTGACGAGAAGGAGCTCGAGGTGAGGGTCTTAGCCGCGCCTGCGTGAAATGACCATTGAAAAGCCCTTTCAAGTACCTCACTTCACTGCCATTTACGGCTGGGGGTGTTTTTGTGGTCCTAGTTGGCACTTTCGGCTCTCGGAATTGACATTACCAAGGAGGCTGCAAAGAAATTGATCGCAGATGTGGATACGGAGGGCTCCAAAACCATCAAATTTGCAGACTTTAGCACGTATGCGATTGCTCGACTGGTACGTCCGTTGTTGCTGGGGGGTCGACAACCTGGAGAGAGAGAGAGTTTGCGCTTGCCCTAACGTTGCTTTCTCAATCAACAGAGCGAGCGGAGCATCGACGATGAAATCATCAAGGCATTCCGGCTGTTTGACCCCGAAAATACTGGTCGAATCACCGCGAAAAACCTCAAACACATTGCCACCGTGCTTGGTGAGGAAGCGTCCGATCAATTGCTGCAAGACATGATTGCAGAGGCGGATAGCACACACACTGGGTCGGTATCACAGGCAGATTTTGTTCGTATTTTGAAGCGTGCTGGGTTGTAACGAATGAAGTTTGCTTTTGTCTTGTGGTTTTCTTTCTTTTGGGGGGGGGGGAATTACCACGCCTCTATTGCCCTCCTTGCGAAAACTACCATCCTCGATCCGTCAAGTCGGAAACGGATCGATCAACAACCAAGTCAAAAGCAGGGGAACCGCAAAAACCAAAAACAGACAAACCCAAAAAAAAAAAAACCTCTAGTTTATCAAACAACTCTCAAGAATCATCATCACGCTCGCGGAATTGCATCGATCGCGGGGATCTTTTGGATGTAGACGGCAGAGACGTGCGTGCAGGCGGTGGTGCACCGCTTGCTGGGTTGGAATCATCGTCATCCAAAATAACAACCCCTTTATCCACGTGAACAGAGCTTTCTTTCAGGCTGTCAGAAGTGGACGCGGGCACTGCTTCCTTGCTCGGAGCTCTTGTTCTCCCAGTCGACTTGCCAGCATTGCTCGTGCCTGTTGGTTGCTTGGGACGAGCTGCTGTCGATGTTGTCATTGGGACTGGAGATGCAGGCTTCGACGATGCACTTGCACTGGACGGTGCGGTTGCTACAGAGACATGAGCGGCCGGTGCTTTCGGTTGGATTGGGCGCGCGGCCGGTTTCGCGCCAGAACCGGTCGCAGCTTTCTTTGCGTCCGCAGCCGCGTCTGCCGTCGATGCGGGGGTTTCCGCTGGTTTTCGTGCGGTCGGGACGATGGGAATGGGAGCGGCAACAGCCTGCTGGTTTGGAGCTGCTGAGGAGGGTGCACTGCTTTCGAGAATCACTTTTTTGGTGGCAGGCGCCGGCACGCTCGCAGAGTTGCCTGCATCCGACGACGCGGATCGTTTGGCACCCTTGGATCCACCCGCGCCACCGCCACCGCTGGAGCGCGAGGAAGAGTTGGACGACTGGGACGACGCCTGACCACCGGACTGCAACGATGCAGCAACAGCAGCATCAAAGTCTGCGGCCGCAGGGATTTGGTGCTCACACATGCGCAACATGTTGTCGGCAGACAGAATCCAAGACGCAGTCGCTTGTGTAATCAGGTTCTGCAATCCAAGCGAGGAAGTGAGCGAAGCCACATCAGCACCATTGCTATCCAGACAACAACCAACCTCGCTAATCCAATTGGTCTTCATCTCGCGACGCGCTTGTTCTGACGAGCTCTCTCGCGACATGCCCTGTAATTGAGAACTGCAAGAGTCATGCTCAGTGAGAAAAAAAAAACCCCAACAACAAAACAGTTTTTAAAAAAAACAGTCGCAACTTTTTCGTCGTTGCCCAACGAAACCACAACTTACGCAGAGCCGATGCGATCAAGAGCAGCCACTGCCAGTTCCACAATCGACAAGAGCTCGGGATAGTTGTTCAGGGGAAACGGGATTGTACTAGGAGCGTCGGGCTGGCGGAGTCGCTCGACAATGCTGCAATGCGAAAACTGCTTGGCAAAATCCAAGGCAAGACGAGCCAAGAAGGCTTGGATATCCTCCTGGCTGAACACCTGGGCAACATAGGACGCACTTGACGCCGGCATCCGAGCAGTGGTGGTTGTACCGGGTCTGCGGGCGAGTGGCGCTGTCGTTGTGCTCTTACTGCTGGTCGCTTTCTGGGTTGAAGGCTGGGCGGCAGCGTCACGCGGGTCAATCGCCATGGGAGCAGTCTGCGACAAACCCGAGGGCGAGCCATCGCTAGGTTTAAGCATGGCAACCATCTGTGACACGCTGAGTGCGACCCCGCTCGCCGGTGCAGTTGATCGTGGTTGGTCTGGTGCGTTAGAATCCTCTGTATCCATAGGACGCGCCAAAGCCCCTCCTTGCAGCTCCACTTGGCGCTTTTGAATGCGGGCAAAACGCGCCTTGACACTTGCCATCTGGGAGTGCAAAATGGCCTGAAGACGCTGGTGCAACAGCCGGTATTGGCCTTCGTCGTTCAACAGCTGCGCGCGCAACGGCACGAGCTTGGCAATGAGTTGGGTGACATTCGCCGACTTTGAATTTTTCGAAGACCAGTTGTCGCCCGTGCCAACAAAGTTTTGCATTTCAACCAGAATGTCCTGCACCGCTGGTGGGAGGGAAGAAATGTCACTCGGGAAGCTGTCCCAGTCGATTTCGTCTTCGTCGTCCGACACGATCTGCCTGGACGGTCGCTTGGCCTGGGACGGGGTGGCAAAGTCTGCAGCATCGTCGTCGTCATCAGCCCCATCGTGCCCACCTCCGTATCGCTTGCCAGACGCGAGTTCTGCTTCGCCGGAAGCTATAAAAAAGCCACCAGCCGTGGTCTTCACCTGGCCATACGTGCGTTCGTCGTGCGCTTCCGAGTCGTCAATCCACGAGTCGTCCGTATCGTACCAGGACTCGTATCCGCTGGTCTTCTTCCCTGATATGTGGGTATCGTTCGTGTCCTCGTCGCTCAGCGCGTCAGCGTCAATACCGCCAGATCCCAGGCCAGAGCCCGAGCTGTGTTTTTTGGCTCCGTCAAGCGCGGCATTGCGGCGTTTGGCGTTCTTTTTCTTCTTTTTTGAGGCTGGATCTGCATTGGCTTCGTTGAGTTTCTTTTGCTTTTCTCGCTATTTCGCAGTGCAGCAAGAGGCGTGGGGGAAGCAACGTTGAGAACAAGGGGGAAAAATGAGTCAACAACACAAATCACGTCGCACAACTCGCGCCCACCCAAACACACATCCTCAAGCGGTCTCCAGCTCAACGCAGCTGCATCGCCGTGGCACTCACCTCCATAATGTTACGGATGACCGAGTCCATGCCGGAGAGGAGCGGGCCGCCGCTGTCGGCGTCCGGCATCATCATGTCATTTTGGGCGCCGCCGTCGTCGCCATCGTTCTCATCGTCGTCCTCGTCGTTGTCAGCGTCATCACCATCGTCCTCGCTCTCGTTGGAGGCGTCCTCGCCGTCATCCTCGTCTTCGTCGTCTTCATCGTCCTCGCCATCGTCGCCTTCGACCTCGGCCTCGCTGTTCTCGTCGTCGGACTTGAGCTGCGTTTCCTCGTCGTCGTCATCATCCTCACCGTCAGAATCGTCGGACGACGATGACGACGACGACGACGACGAGCTTGACTGCGTCCGCTCAGAACCATTGCCGCCCGCTTCGTCCATCTCGCCACTGTTGCTCGAGCCAGGTCGCTGCACTCCAAGCGTGCCCACCGTGGGGGATGCCGTGCCCGAGCCCCGCTGTCCTCCTGACTTGTCTGTCGCAGCAGCAGCAGCAGCAGCTGATGAAGAAGAAGAAGAAGAGGAAGCCTTGTTGGTCGACTTTTTGGCGCCAATTCCCGATTTCGCGCCACTGGCTTTGGACGCCGTTGCCCCTGCAGCAGCACCAGGTGCGGATGGTGAGGATGACGATGTGGATGTTGTGGATTGTTGTTGTTGTTGTTGCTGCTGCTGCTGCTGCTGTTGCTGGAGCTGCTTCTTGGCTTGGGCGGCGGTGGCACGCTTCAGCAGATGCTTGACGTCAAAGCTGCCATCCTTCTGGTAGCTGGCGAGGTTGATAGAGAGGCGGATGCACGGTGGGAACTGGCGTGCTTGCTGTTGGCGCTGCTGCTCCATGTCTGCGACGGCCGCCTTGGGATCCATGCCCATCATGCTGAGCATTGTGTGCGACATGGCTGAGAGCTGAAGCGTTGAGACTGAAAAAGTTGGATTGGGGGTTTTTTTTTATTTGGTTTTTTTTTATTTGTGCTGACTTGCTGAGTGTGAAGATGTGATGTGGAAATGAAACAGAAAAAAACAAAACAAAAGACTGAGCAACTTGAAACTCCCAAATCCAGCCTGAATGAATGGGATTCAGTGTATTTGTATCAATTCTCAGTAGAAAATAGTGCTGCAATCTACATGGTTACAAGTCTAGAATTGGAATTTGGAACTTTGGCGGCAATTGTTGGCCGCTTCCAAACAAACTGTAATCTTCCAAAAGTGCTGTCAAGGTGCTGTATTCAGCCGCCTCTAGAGACCAGTTCGAATCGCGTGCGGTGCGCCGGTCTCTCAATAAACAATGGAAAAAGTGATTTCTCAGCCATTCATGGTTTTTTGTGGCAATCAGAGACTGGATTCAGCTGTTGCAGGTATTTTTTCAAAATGGCCATCGAGTCGCGCGGACGTATGCTGCGACCCGTTTGATGCTCGAGCTTCTTTCTTTCAGAAATGAATGTATGAAATGTAATACGCGTTTTGCGATTAATCAATATATTGGTGATTGAAATTTGTCGCATGTTGATTATGTTTGGCAGAGTGATGCCTTCTTGAAACAATTACAGTTGCGTGCGGGGGACGGTTAGTCAATCGGCAATGAAAATTTTCATTTGTTTCGACTGGTTTCGGTCTCGCTGGAGCTGCCATACTCTGTCTGGATATTGCCCTTGCTATGCACATCACATGAGCTAGTCGATCGACTCGAAGGCACGTTTGTAGCTGTCGTTGGAGGACGAAAACCAGCGAGTGACAACGGTTTCCCGGAACAAAACCCCGAATCGTTCAAGTTGTGCTCTCCATTTTGTTTTCGATATGGGTGAGCGAGACAAGCTTTAAAGAAGAAATGAACGCGCTGCAAAAGTTGAGCTTTGAATGGATGAACGAGAGGTTTGTGAGTTTCAGAGAACTGAGCCAGTGCTCAGATTTGGACATTTAGATCTAGGTGATCAAGATGTGGTATTAGATAAAAAGAATATATAACAGAGGTACAGAGACCATGAGCGAGGGGGATGAGAGAACATTATAATGGATTGAATGACATTGACCAACTACAATTTTCAAGAAGGTCATCTCCACAGACACAAACTAGCTCAGCGCGGCTCCAGAAGCAGCCCGAATTCAACATGCAACACAACATACTTTCAAACATCAAACAACAGAGCAGCTCACTGAACAAAAGTCTGGTTGAATGCGCCCTCCTGGGCAGGATGACTGGTTGCATTTTGAGGGCGAGTGCGCTGATCTTCGGCCCTGGAATTGAAGCAAGTCAGAAAGACAGTCACGGCCACAAACACCCGCAAGACAAGGGCACTCACAAGAACTCGCATTTTGCCGGAAGATTTTGGGATGAAAGCTGAACGGCGCTTGCAGAGATCTGGTTGTCTGTCAGACTATTGCAAGCAAAGACGTTCAGTGTTCGACGGCTCATGTTGCTGCATCAAGTTGTTGGAAGACCCGCACACCCACACCCCTGTACCACAACAGAACATACTTCAGTTTCGACAGGTTAGCCTTGCTTCGAAGCGATCGCCTGGGCTCCTGCGTCGCCGATTTGATTGGCACCCATCCTATGCCATACAAACATCAGAAGCAAGCCATTCTTGAGCGAAACTTGAAATGCGACAGGAGGTCAACACGGGACTACAATACCAGAGCTCAGCGAGTGCAGTCGACGTCTGCATGCCTTCAGTGATGGCACGAGCTCCAATGTCACCAATCTTGTTCTCGCTCAAGCTGTGTCAACTCGATCAAGTTAGTGTCCCGCGCACCAGAACGTGCCGTTCTTGTTCTTACTCTTCGAGCTCAGAGCGTGCTTGTTTCAATCAGTGTTGTTTCGCCTTTTTGTTTCTCTTTTTGTTGCTTTTTTTCACTCATTTTTACCCTCTTCTCCCTTCAGATGGCCTCCAGTTCCAACTCGGCACACCCCGCAGCTGCGGCTGCTGGTTTATCTCCATTTGACTCGTCTGCTGCCTCCGAGGAGAGGACGGAGCAGGACGACTTCTTGAAACGCTTCGAGTCTTTCTCGCTTGCACTGGGCCCTGCCAAATCTGCGCCCCTGCTGCTCGACCCTGTGGCAACCAACAAGGCATATGATGAGCTGGCTAAAGCCGTGGCCAACCTCTCACTCGAGGAGGTGAAGACAAATGTCGAGGGTGTCGTCGAGAGGGTCAGGCAGCTTTACACCGCAGTTCAAATACCCGACAAGTGGGTAGAGCGAGTACTGCGCTTGCTGAACGGAGAAGACGAGGATGAACGACTTGACTCCATCCAAATATCCGTCGAGAGCTACCGCACGAAGGTTGAAGGTACGAACTCGCGCTTTGCCAAGACATTTCAAAAACAAAAAAAAAAAAAAAAAAAAAAAAGAAGAAAAAAAGGCGCCAAAAACAGCTGAGAAGTCCAAAAACTAACCTGTTGATAGCCCACCTTAAAGCCCGCCTGGCCGAGTCACTCCAACCAATGATTGCGGCCAAGTTAATGCATCCACATGCAAGCAAGGACCATAAACCAGCCACGTGTCAGCAGGCCGCCGAACCATTTGGGTGCTTTGAGCTCAACCTTGCCAAGCGGCCGACATTTCCACAGTGTGGCTATGCGAGCTCTGAGGCAGATGTGCATCTTGACGTGCACTCGACTCTGAAAACATCAATTTGAGTCTTGTTTTACCTATCAAAATGCGGGCAGAATGGCCTCATCCTTCGACAACAACAGCTGACGACGCTGCCTCATCTGATACTCCTTCATCCGCTGCTACATCGGACGCTGCTCCGTCATCCGCTGCTCCGGCACTTGCTCCGTCATACGCTGCTGTTGTTCTCACAGGGAAGGGCAAGCAACCGGCGTGTGCTTCGACCGCGGCTGTCGCTTCGTTGCCTGCTCCATCTTTCATGAGCCAAAAGAAGGGCAAGCAAGCAGAGGGCACGACAGGGTCTCTTGCCCCTGCGACTGCCGCTTCGGCACCTGTCATCCGACCGAATTTTGTCATCACAACCATGAACGGACAGCCGCTACTCGTGGTTGAAGTCAAGTGCCCGACGACCCATCGGGTCAAAGGCACGTATGAGTGCAAAGGTGGGAATTTGGAGCCCCGCGAGGTGTCGGAGAACAACCCCGATTCGGATGCTGTCAAGCACAATACAAGCCTCGGGCACCTGCAAGGCCAGCTGTATGACTACCTACGCTCGTTTCACAAGGACTTGGGCATGGTGCCGTACTTTGGCATCCTCACAACGTACCACGAGTGGGCGGTCTACTGGCTCGCCGATGACCAGGAACAACACCTTCAAGACCCTGTCTCCTGCACGTCCAAGTGCGCGGCTGTTTCGGACGTCGGCGAGTTCAAGAACATCATTCTTGATCTCGAGAGCCGAGCAACCGTCACGACAGACGCGCAGTGGCCATCGCTCAAAGTTGTTCCCACGTTTGGCAACGTGCACAACCTAGCAGCAACTTCAGCAAAGGCGATTCACCATGGCAACGCGACGCGCCACCTCATCCGCATGCGCGTGTTCAAGTGGAACGATCCCGACCTCGTCAACGTGTTGCAGAACGTCATTTTCAAGGCCTATCACCTGTCGCAACTGCGCTTCCACCCTCATTTCGGTGAAAGCTCCCCGTGCCTTCTCTATAGTGACGGGCAGCTTACACAGACCAAAACGCATGGCCGCGTTCAGTTGGACTTCAACACCTGCTCCAACCAGGTCGTTCGACCTGATGGGCAACTTCGAGGAGGCCAAAAGCCGACCAACGTTTACTGCTTTGTTGACCTCGGTCGCGGACGTGACGGCCATGCATGGCTTGCGAGCCCATACACCGAGAAAAACCACGGTGTTTGTGTCCTGAAGGTGCGCAACCCGGGCGTCACGTCTTCATTGTCCGCAACAGGAGAGGCGGCACTTTGGGGGATCCCGCCACAAAAACACGCCAAGTGCAAATCCTTTCCTTGAAACCCACAGCGTTAATGATGCCATTTACATGCCATACCTCAGGATGATCGAGCATGACCATGACAGGCCACGCGATGGCGATCCGATTCTGGTTGCAGCCGCGCGTGCAGTTGATCACATGGCATCGCTTGGCTACCGACACAAGGACGTGCGCTGGCGTCATGTCGGTCTCTACCGTATCATGGGCGACGACACGTTGTATGCGGTGCTGATCGACTTGTCCGATGTGGAAGTGGTCTCCGACAAAGCCGAAGCCAGAAACAGTATGCTTGCGAAACTTGACATTGACGAAAGCCTCTTAGAATAGGCAGGCCCGACAAAGTCGATCAAGCCCTGACAGCAGTGAGACAGTTTGTTTTTTTTGTGTCTACATCATCCCTTCTTGTTGTATGTGTGTGTCGCCACCTGTTACGACCTTTGGTTTTCTGTACAAAACCGAAAAAACAACAATAAACCGTTGGGTGCCTTCTTTTCCTCACTCACCACAAAACTATTTTTTACCACATCCATTCTCAGCCAACGCACCTTCCATCCACCCATCCATCCACTCAATCCCTTTTGCAGTCTTTCTTTCCGTTTCTTTTTTTTTTTTCTTCCATTTTCTTTCAGGTAACTCTTTCGCGTCCCTCTGCGCTGTCGTCTGCCCCTCTTCCTTGCACCAATCGGTTGCCCATCAGTTTCCTCATCCTACGCACGATCGTCGTTGACACACCGCTGTCCATTTCCGACAAACAACCCCAAAAACCAGAGCGAGGACAGCCAGAAAAACAACAAAAAACATAATGCTCTGGTCGCGAGCGGTGTGTGTGTATGAGTGTGTGAACTCGGAGCGAGGCTGTGCCGCCCATTCACTCAAGTATCAACTCGTTATTGCCTCACCCCCCCCCCACAATGTGGGAGATTGCAAAAGTCAGCCGCTCTTTCACTTGGAGTTCCCGCCAAAAACAAGGCAAAAGCTTCAATCATCGGTCAATGGTTTTGTCTCTGCTTTTTTTTTTTTTTTTTTTTTTGCGAGATCTTCCACTTATTTTTTTCTTTCTTCTGTTCCTCTGCTGTGGCGTCCCTCTCCCCGACTGCGGCGGCTGTGGTTGCTATTGTGTACACACCCTTCACGTTTTGCTTTTGCTCTTGCTTCGCTATTCCTGAAGAGGGAGACTCGGCCGAGGGGAGGCAAAGCGACGCTTTTGCTAACAACGAACAACATGGTTTCACTGTCTGCCTTTATTGCTTCATCCATCCAGGCCAGCGGCCCCCCTTTCCTCCACCTCCACCTCCACCTCTTGCGAGTCGATCAAGCAACACTCATCGTCATGGTGGACTGGCAACCCGATCCGCAAATCTACATGCGGCTGCGCGAGCTGCTGACGGCGAGCCACTTGAATCCAAACCAGCTGTCGGTGCGCCACGGCCTGGAGCAGCTCGTCCTGGTCCCGGACTGGAACAACTATCTCGCGACCGTGTTTGCCATCGACACGAGTGCCAACGAGCCAGACCGCACCCTCGCAGGGCTGATGCTCAAGAACGACATAACGGGGTTTATTTTCAACTCGCTGCGTCCACCGCAAGAGCAAGACAGCACCGTCCTGCCCATCTCCGATGCCTGCCTGGCCTATATTAAGCGAACGTGCATTTCCATGCTTGCCGCCCCGTCAAAGCAAGCGCGCACCACCTTTGCGATGATTGCATCGGCCATTATCGTGCACTCCGCGTCCCATCTCGACGCTTGGCCCGAGCTCGCATACGCCATTCCCAGTGCTCTCGAATCTGAAGACATAAATCTCCTTGATGTAAGTGTAGTTTTCCAGCAGTTCGTCTCTGTTGTATCTTTTTTGTTTTTGCAATTTGCTGACTTTGACTCCTCGGTTCGTGATGGTGGTAGGGCGCCATTACTTGTATCTCTGTATTGACCGAGGATGCAATCTCGTTCGCCAAGACGGAGCTGCTCGCTACTCTCGATGCACGCTTCGCGCTCAAGTTAATGCAGCTCTTCCAAGTCCCAGTCTCGCAAATTCAGTCCAGTTCCATTCAATGCATCAAGAGCATGATTGCAGCCGAGACTTCCGTAGTATCTCAACACACAGCGCTCTTGGTGCAGGTGAGTAGAAACTGGTTGACTGTGTGTTGTGAAAGTGGATGGTTGGTTTTTTTTGTTTCGCTTTTCCGGCTTTTTTTGGCTTTTTCTCAAAACTTGTTCCGTGTTTTTCTTTGTGGGATTTTGTTTTTGCCATCGCGTGACGGGTTGAGCAGAGCATTTTTGCCGCTGTTGGCTCCATGTCCGATCAAGTCATCACTCTGCTTGTGTGCCAACTGCTGGTGGAGCTGATTGAGAAGGATTTTGCCGCCGTGGCTGCTACCGAGCACTTCCAAACTGTGATCGAATTCATGCTACACTGCACCATGCAACCGCAAGAAGCGATTGCACTCGAGTCCTGCGAGTTTTGGATTGCAGCCATTGCCGATCATGCCGATCGAAATTCAGCCATTTCAGCAACCGCGCGCCAGGCGTTCCGTCTCTACTTGCCCAGGTATGTCTCGGATTGTGGGGGATGTAGTCGCTCCAGTGCAGATGACCAACTTGATTGTCTTCTTCGCATCTATCTTAGGCTGCTTCCTGCGCTGCTCTACCGAATGGAGTATTCAGCGCGAGAATTGCAAGAGCTGGAGCGGGCCATGGCAACTCCGGTCGCCGCCGAATATGGACATTTCGTGCGACCACGCACGCACGAGGCTGCGGTAAGACGACGGGGGCCCCTGTTTCTTTTTGGGCCGAGCGGTTTTTGTTTTTGGGAATGATGAATTGACTGTTTGTGTTTGTGTGCGCGCTTTCTGGTTGCCACCGGTAGCATTCTGGTGCTAACAATGCTGACGATGATGATGACGATGACGATGACGACGGTGACGATGACGACGATGAAGAATTCGGCGACAAGGACTGGACATTGCGTACGTTCCGAGATGTTGTGGAGTTGCTGCTGTGCTTTTTTTTGTTGTTTGCTGTTTTACAAACCCTGAACTCACTCTTCTTTTCTTTGTCCTTTCGTTTTGTCTGGTTGGTTTTTGTTGCAGGAAAATGCGCCGCTTCCGCGCTTGATCTGTTCGCACACCTCTTCTCGGGTACGCTTTGGGAGCAGCTTCTGCCTTTGCTGTACGACATGCTGCGATCACCCGAGTGGAAGCAGCGTGAAGTCGGCATTCTCGCCTTGGGTGCGGTTGCGGAGGGATGCCAAGGGAGCATGCAAAATGCCCTGCCGCAGCTGGTGCCTTTCCTGCTCGCGTCCTTGTCGGACCAACAGCCGCTGCTCATTCGGTCGATTAGCTGCTGGACGCTCATGCGATATAGCTCGTGGGTGGCTGACAATCACGCTGGCACTCCGGAAAACCCCAACATTTTCTTTGAGGTTTTGCAAGGCTTTTTGCACTGTGTCAACACGACCGCCAGGCGGTTGCAGGAGACTGCTTGCAGTGCGCTTGCGGCCTTCGAGGACAACGCGGGAGACTTGCTGGTGCCTCACTTGGAAATGATTATTTCAACGCTAGTCCATGTGCTTCCTTCCTACGAGGTTTGTGCTTTCTGCCGGAAAAACAAAAATCCCTCTGTTATTTGACTCGATTTTGATCTGGAGACATGTCATCTCACTTGTCTTGCTTTCCGTCAACGTGATAGGGTCGGGCGCTTACCATTCTATACGATGTCATTGGCTCTCTCGCGGAAGCCGTTGGCAGCGAACTAAATCAGCCGCATCTGGCCGAAATGCTCATGCGTCCGCTCATCCATCGCTGGCAGACCGTTGAACCCAGCGCACTTGAGCAGTGGTCGTTGCCGCTACTAGAGGTACGAGATGGTGTAGAGTTTTTTTTTCTTGGCTCTCGATGGGGGAAAATTTTGTGTTGATTTTTCGAATGATTGCTCACTTTACGCGAACATGACTCGATCCCATTTTTCAGTGCTTGGCTGCAACCTGCCGTGCACTTCAGACTGGCTTCATTCCGTTCGCACCGATGACACTGCAGAAATGCGTCGTCATCATCCAGTCGGGTCTTCGCGTGCTGGCGGTGAGTGCTTTGTTTTTTGCAATTTGTTTTGCTTTTCTAGTGCGATCGATCGTTGAAAGTTGAAAACTCACTGTACCGTTGCGCGCACGCTTTTTTGGTTTGTTGTTTTGGTTCTTGTTGTTGGTGGTTTTGCAGGAGATTCCGACGGAACAATTCGAACAAGACGCGGTCATTGCTGCGCTGGACATGCTTTCGGCTCTGGCCGAGGGCCTGGACACGCAGTTTGAGAGCACGCTCTCGGAGGGAATTCCTTTTGTTATTCAGCTTTTGCCGCTTTGCCACGGTAGCTTCAACCCGGACATTCAGCTTTCCGTCTTCTCGCTGATTGGCGATTTTGCACAAACGTGTTTCGGCCGCATCCAGCCGTCCGCCGTGCCCCTGATGCAGATGCTGCGAGAGGGCTTGAACCCGCAGTATCCGTCGACTTGCAACAATGCTGCGTGGGCCATTGGCGAGCTGGCGGTCAAACTTGAAGCCGACTTTGCACCGTTCGTTCCCACCATTCTTCCAGTGCTGATTAACATTCTTGCTCAAATCAAGTCGCCGCGCTCGCTCCCCGAGACTACCGCCTTGGCCATTGGCCGCATTGGCCTCGCCTGCCCCGATCTCGTTGCCCCTCACCTGCACTTGTTTGCCGAGAAGTGGTGCACGAGCACGCGTGGTATCAAGGACAATATGGAAAAGGACAGCGCCTTCCGAGGCATGTACGCGCTCGTGTCTCGCAACCCGCACGCCATCGTCCCTGTAAGTCATTGGCAGCCAGCAGCAGAAGGGTGTGGTTTTTCGTTGCAGGAGGTGTTTTAGGGACTTTGGGATTGACTTTTTTTTTTGAACTACTTGCCGCTTCCACATGCACACAGGCCTTTGCTTTCTTTTGTGATGCCATCGCGTCTTGGGACGAGGCCAACATTCAACCTGATCTCAAGCTGGCCTACTCACAGGTAACGTTTTTTTTTTTTAACAAATCCGGGTTCTTTGTGTTTGTGTTGTTTTTATTTTTTCCCCTTTGACTTTACTTTGTACTGACCGGCACACACATCATTTCTTTTGACATTAGGCTCTCTTAACATTTAAATCTGGCTTTGGTGACGGATGGCAGCAACTGTTTGCCCAATTCCCGCCTGCACTCCGAGAGCGACTTGCTCTTCAATGGGGACTTTAGTATTCTGTGATAGTACGACTCCTTCCGCTGCAATTTGTTTGCCACGAAGGTTCATTATGCAAGGATGCAATGCGGTAGCACCATTCTTTATCCGGTTTTCTTGTTCTGTGTGCTTCTTGTTCGTGGTTTTCTTTATGTCCTCCTTGTTGGGCCGTGCTCAACGTAGTAGCTGCGCCGCCCTGTCATTTTCTGAATAGATGCTTTTTTTGTTATTTTCTGAACAGTTGGCGTTTGACCATTAGATTTGTTCACCTTGTTAATGACCCGGCCGGTATCATCGATGGCTGCCATGTTATAAAATCAAAAGAAGCTCAAACACACACAAAAATAGCAAAGTTACTGATATTTTACAAGTTGCGAATTTGGCAATTCGTTGGTGGATGGCGGGCCTTGTGCTTTTTGGAAGACGGCGCGCAGCTGCTGAGCGTGCGCAGCATTGGTATAGTGAGGCACAATCCAACTGTACCACCAGCTAGGATGCACTCCGAGAACAGCCTGCAAATTCGCCTTGACGCCGAGGTCTTCGAATGCGGCGGAAGCAGTTTGGCGCCGGCGTTCGAGCACGGTTTGGCCTTGCACAATGGCCCGGAGCTGGTAGACGAGCATCAGCAGCGCGGCAATGCTACTCGTACAAGTGAGCGTCCGCAAAATCAAGAGAGACATTGGCACGACGGGCCCAGCTGCAGCAAGATTGAGAACGCCGAGCTGAACAAGTGCAATGCGAACCCAGGGCGCAAATCCAATCGCAACGGCAAGCCACCATGAATCGGCCGTCGGAATGGGCAGGCAAAATGTCAGCACCGCAACCCAGGTGCACGCCATCCAGCTGAACGCCAAGAAGCTCAAAAAGTAGCTGCACAGGAGGTAGAACGAAAAAAACCCCAGACATTGTCAGGAATAAAACCCAAACCCAAACAAAAACAAAACCAACGAAACAGCGACAAACACCAAACTCCTGCATCCGCACAATTTGATCGCTGTGACTGTGCCATCGCTTACCGATGATTTTCCTGGCCAATGCACGTGCCAACGAAGAAGCAGTGATGGTCGCGCCGAGCAATGCACCGGTTGCAAGCAGAGCAGTGGTGGGTGCGCAACGGCCGCTGTTGGCCACACGCTGCGCAGAACGTTCTTGAATGGGTTGCTTGATGGATTGCTGCTTCTCCATGAGCATGTTCATGAGAAGAAGCGTGGTTGCTGTCGGCTGCATCATGGGGATGGTTGAAGGACGTTGCCACGATCGACATGATCCAGTTGAAGGTCATGCTCACTCCGAGATAGAGCAGCGCAATCACATTGAACGCTTGCCCGAGCGTCGTTCCGAGCACGAGACGGCGGATGACGGAGCTTGAGGACGGCTGGGTGAGCGTCTCGGACAGCGTCGGGAGCAGGCACCAGAGCGTGGTCACTGCGCCATACACGATCGCCAACCCCATGAAGGTGACTGGGAGGCGGTCTGCGCGTACAACCATGGGATCCCCGGCTGGGTGGAAGCGCCCCCTTTGTAGCCGACGAGAGGTTTGTGTTTCAAAAGTCTCCGGTTTGTGTGAAACAGAGACTGAATTTGGGAAGAAGGAAAGAAAGGCTCTGAGAGTTTTCTCAAAACAGGGAGTTTGAGCAAAAAAAGCCAGAGTTTGTATTGGTAGTTTGGTGAGAGCGAGTGAGCCAGCGAGGGGTTTGAGCGTATGGTGCGTCAGTCGCACTGAGCAAGATTGCCATGCTTGGCTCGCAGCCGCATTGCGTACAAAAGCATGATCGCAGTGCACTTTGAATTCGAAGCAAACGCCGACTGCAGGGCTTTGCGTGAAGTTTGACCACAGTTTGATCAAAGAGTCGGCATGAATCATCGCTCAACAACAGGGCTCGTTTTATTTGAGCGGATTTAGGATTTAGGATCCAGTCTTTTTATTATTCCACATCCACAACCTTCAACAACAAACAAACCATGAGCACTCCTGCCAAGCAGCACATGCCCCATGCGAGCAGCAACACTGTGATTAGCTCGATTCTCACGTCGCTGACCAACGCGCCATCAGGCTCCACTCCCGCCAGCAACGCCGCCAGCAACAACAACAGCAACAACGGCAATGGCCATGACGTTGAACTCGGTCAGTAAGAACACACACACACACACTGGAGTGAAGTGAGAGGAGAGGGGGGCTGGACTGTGAGGCCACGCTCGTCACACTCTCGTTGTTTCTTGCTCTTTTCTCCAAACACAATGGTCATTCTGCTGCTTCTGTTGGCTGAGATGGGGGGTCAAGTCGAGGGTGGTATGACTGACCCACACGACGACGACGACGACGACGACGACGACAACGACGACGACAAATACAACTTGAGTGGTGGGCCATGTAGGAAGCAGAATCCTCCGCACTCCTTTGTCCTATCACTTTTTTGCTTGTTCGTCTCACCTCACAAAACGCCACGCCATACACACACACACACACGCACACACACACACACACGCACACACTCACACACATACACAATGGCGCAGTACGAACAACATATGATAAAACACTTCAATTCGCCAACTCGACCAAAAAAAAAAAAAAAAACAAAAAAAAAAACCGTGACAGAGATTGGGATTCAATTGTGGCCACACGGCTTTTTGGTTCGCTTTTTCGCTTTTTTCGTTTTTTTTTTTTTGCTTTTTTGGAGCGCTGAGGCGTTAGGAGGGTTTGAATAGTGGATGCTTGAGAGAGCGTTTTGTCATTGATAACAATGTGGGAGAGCGGGGCGCGGGGGGGGGGTGCAGCACCATTTGTGGACAAGATGTGCGCCACCGTCTCACTGCTTGCGTTCTCGCCTCCCTCGTGAGCACAGCAGCGTTTGCCACTACTTGAAAGAGTTTGGCTTGTTTCAGTGGTGAGGTTTCGGAGAGTGGATGAATGCATTCATCATTGACAGAGAGGCGGAGCGCGAGGAGCGGAGAGGGGAGTGCGAGCCAAACACGTGTTTGGATGTTGGCACACACACACACTGCGCACAGACACAATAGACACAGACACAGGGGACACATGGGGACACAGAGGACCACACTCATTGAACAATGGGCGAGAGTCAGGTCATCAGCAGCAGCAGCAGCCGACACAAAAATAACAAAAGCGCTTGCATTGTTCACCGCTCTTCTCCCACTTTTCCCAATTGCCGCTGTTCCTGTTGTAAAATGTGTTGCCAACGAAAACAAAAGTCGAAACGTGATTCACGTGCATCAGACTTCTACGAAAGCACAAACACGATGAAAAAAATGGCTCAGCTGCTGAGAAACGCTCACTTTTTTGTTGTTGTTGTTTGTTTTGGTTGTTTCTTTTTACAGACATTTGCAACGACCTCGAAAACTACGGTCTGCGCGCCCACTCGATCGCGTACAATGCATCGACTGCGTTCCTGTACGAGGAGGCCCTCATCAACGAGAAGGGCACCCACATCACCAGCAAGGGTGCGCTCGCCACCTTCTCTGGCGCCAAGACTGGCCGCTCGCCCAACGACAAGCGCGTCTGCACCAACGAGGACATTTGGTGGGGCCCCGTCAACATCAAGCTTGACGAGAGCTCGTTCATGATCAACCGCGAGCGCGCCGTCGACTACCTCAACATGAAGGACCGCCTCTATGTTGCCGACTGCTTTGCCGGCTGGGACGAGCGCTACCGCATCAAGATTCGCGTCATTTGCGCTCGCGCCTACCACGCGCTCTTCATGCAAAACATGCTCATCCGCCCCACCCCCGCCGAGCTCAAGAACTTTGGCGAGCCAGACTACACCATCTACAATGCCGGCGAGTTCTGCGCCAACCGTTACACCAAGGGCATGAGCTCTGCCACCAGCGTCTCGATCAACTTTGAGCGCAAGGAGATGGTCATCCTTGGCACCCAGTATGCTGGAGGTAGGGCCTGATGATGGGTGCTTGTTGCGATGGGAAGATTTCGCACGCTCACTTGGTTTTTTTTTTTGTTTCCCTTTCCGCCAATTCCCCTTTTTTTCGTGCTCGCGCAGAAATGAAGAAGGGCGTCTTCACCATCATGCACTACCTAATGCCCAAGCGCGGCGTCCTGTCGCTCCACTCGTCGGCCAACGAGGGCCCAGACGGCGACGTCACCCTCTTCCTCGGCCTGTCGGGCACTGGCAAGACCTCCCTGTCTGCCCATCCCTCGCGCAAGCTTATCGGCGACGACGAGCACTGCTGGACTGATCGCGGCGTCTTCAACATTGAGGGCGGCTGCTACGCCAAGGCCATCGATCTGTCCGAGGCCAAGGAACCCGAGATTTTCAACGCCATCCGCTTTGGTACTGTTGTCGAGAACGTGCGCTTTGACGAGTACTCGCGCGAGGTCGACTACTCGGACTCGTCCATCACCGAGAACACGCGCGCCGCCTACCCCATCGAGTTTATTCCCAACGCCAAGATCCCCTGCGTCGGCGGCCACCCTAGCAACATTATCCTGCTCACCTGCGACGCGTTCGGCGTTCTGCCGCCAGTATCGCTCCTCAACACGGAGCAGGCCATGTACCACTTCATCTCCGGCTACACCGCCAAGGTTGCCGGCACCGAGGAGGGCGTCACGGAACCCACCGCCACCTTCTCGGCCTGCTTCGGCCAGCCCTTCCTCGTCTGGCACCCGACCCGCTACGCCGCCATGCTTGCCGAGAAGATGAAGGAGCACAAGGTCAACTGCTGGCTCGTCAGCACCGGCTGGTCTGGCGGCAAGCACGGTGTTGGCAAGCGATTGAGCATTGCCTACTCGCGCGCCATCATTGACGCCATCCACTCTGGCGAGCTGGCCAAGGCAGAGTACGCCACCATGCCCGTTTTCAACCTGCGCATTCCCACAAAGTGCACTGGCGTCCCCGCCGAAATCCTCAACCCCATCAACACCTGGAGCGACAAGGCCGACTACAACAAGACTGTCGAGAAGCTTGCCAACCTCTTCATTGCCAACATGCAAAAGTACGCCTCGCAGGAGACCCCTGAGATTCTCAAGGCTGGCCCCGTTCTTCCTTAAAAGTGTGTTTTGGATGGTTTGTGTGAGATTTTTGTTTTGTGTGTTGTTGGGGTTGGTTTTATGATTTTCCGTAGCATCGAGCTTCGATTTACTACAGGTTGTTTCTTATTTTCAAACCCCTCGACTCTTTCACCAAATTGTAGTTCAGCAGTGTCCATATCCAGTCTTTGAAAACAGCATGAGCGAAAAGCGCGTTGAACTGGAAGAGAAGGTGAAACGCCGGATACGACGGGCGAAAAATCGCGGTCGCTCTGGTGAGACTATTTCAACTTCATGACAGTGTGATGATCATGATAACGAATGATCGAGAGGAGAGGAGAGTGGCTGAGGGGCCTGGAGAACCAAACGTTGAAAGACGATGACGATGAATTGACTTGCGCTTTTCTCTCTCTCTCTCTCTCTCTCGCACTGCACTGCAGAGCTCAAACAAGATGGGGGATGGACAAAGTACGGCTATGCACAGCCTGGCGTGCTGAGTCTCGCGCCGGAGCCGACCATCGCCAAGGACACCATCGAGCGAGTGCATGTGGACTCGTTGTCGGAGGCCGAGTTTATCGAGCGGTACGAGCGACCAGGCGTTCCGGTGGTCATTACTGGATGCGCTGATGATTGGCCTGCCACCAAGAACTGGACTGAAGAGGTAAACAGCCGGCGTGACGGGGTTGGATCTCATTGCGCCACATGTTGCTAAAGGGCACAGTCGGCGCAAATGGTCGCCGTCCACGTACGTACCGCTCCATCGCACTCGACTCATTTTTGAATGTGACTGTTTGTACAGAAACTGCTGCGCAAGTTTGGCGGACAGCGGTTCAAGTGTGGCGAGGACGACGAAGGCTATCCTGTCAAGCTGCGGTTTCGGTACTATGTGCAGTACATGAACCACGGCACTGGACGCGGCAACCGCGACGACAGTCCGATGTACGTGTTTGACTCGTCCTTTGGCAAGCATCGAAAGAAGAAGCAGCTGCTCGACGATTACACAGTCCCAAAGTTCTTCCGCGACGATCTCTTCAAGCATGCCGGCAGCCAACGCCCTCCATTCCGGTGGTTTGTGATGGGTCCGAAGCGTTCTGGCACCGGCATTCACATTGACCCGTTGTCCACGAGTGCCTGGAACACGCTGATTCAAGGGCACAAGCGGTAAGAGGGCAGAGTTGCGCCCAAATTTTGTGTTGTTGTTGTTGTCGGTTTCCACAACTCATCGTCAACACCGGTCTCTGTTGTGTCTAAATGCATTGTTTCAGGTGGTGCCTCTTCCCTCCTCATGCACCACGCGAGTTAGTCAAGCCGGCCATTTCTGGCATGGACTCTGAGGCGGCCTGCTGGTTTAGCTCGGTTTATCCGCGCACCCAATCACCGAACTGGCCTGCCGAATTGCGGCCCTTGGAGCTGCTTCAACGGCCAGGTAATGCGTTTTTTTGGATGCACACGATGCGTTTTGGGCATAGGACACTGATTGATGTTGCAACACGCACGCTGATTACTCTTTGTTGTTCAACCTTTTCGTCACCGCCCCCGCCTCCCCCGGACTCTCGCCCTCAGGTGAAACGGTGTTTGTACCAGGCGGCTGGTGGCATGTCGTGCTCAACCTAGATACAACGATCGCAATCACGCAAAACTTTGCCAGCTGCACCAATTTCGAGGCAGTTTGGCGCAAGACAGTGAAAGGCCGGCCAAAGCTCTCGGGGCGCTGGCTCAACAACATTCGGCAGAGTTACCCAGAGTTGGCGGCCATTGCGGACGCCGTCAACGCGGAGCGTGCGCAAAAGGCCTCCGAGGGCACACTGTCGTCTGCCTCAACCACCAGCTCGTCGTCCGATTCGTCTTCCTCGTCCTCAGAGAGCGATGATGACGACAGAAAGCCAGTGTCCGATAGCATGCGCTCTCGCTCGAGTTCGAACAAGAGCAAGAAGCGCGGTGCTGGATGTGGATGTGGCACGAGCGAGGAGGATTCTGATTCTGATCGCGAGAGTCGCCGCACCAAGCAAGCAAGTAGCGCGTCGTGTTCAGCATCATCATTGTCGCTGTCTTCCTCTTCCTCTTCGCACCGAGGAGGCGGTGGAGGTGGGGGAGGAGGAGCGCGCGACATTCGACCATTAACATCGAGCAGCTCTTCTGGCACCTCGTCTGGAGCGTCAACGCCACCGTCGTCCGCCTCTTCCTCGGACGAGATTCACAGCAAATCGCGTCGTCATTCGCCGCCATCGTACAGCACCGTCGCACCGATGCGAATGTCCATCGATGGATGAAGCAAGTTTGTTTCAAGTTTTTTGTTTTTGTTTTTCGCGTCAATTGATTTGTTTCGCTTTTTTTTTTGTTGTTCAATTGTTCAATTGTTCAATTGTTCAATTTGTTCAATTGTTCAATTGTTCAATTGTTCATTGTTCATTTTTTTGTTCATTGTTATGAGTCGCCGTGCTGACGAGCAATCACTGCTCTCGTCGAGCGACAATGTGTACCAGTCAACAGCAGATGATTTCAGCAATGTAAGCCTTTCTTCTCGCCCCGCTCTCTCTCCCCACGTCCCCCACCTCATTTGATCCTCCCTTCCCTCACATCCATTGGGATTGCAGCACACTGTCTCCATAAGCACGTCCGTCCACCAGTCAATCGGACTCTTCCCAGCGTGACCCTTTTGTTCCGTTAATTCACACCGCGAGGCCACCTTTTTATTTTTATTATTTTTTTTATTATTTCTGCCCCTGTTTTTTTTTTTTTTCGTTTCGCTGCTGCTGCTGCTGCTTCATTGTCGTCGTCGTCGTTCAACAGCCAAAACCCCCCCCTTTTGTTTTCATTTCATTTCCTACTACATCCAACTTGTCGCTTTGTGGGCTGACGTGTTGAGCAGTGAGCAGCAATGAAAACACCGCAGTCAACTGACAGCCAAAAAAAAAAAAAAAAAAAAAAAAAAAAAAACCCTGCTTTTATTATTGTTGGTATCATTTTATTATCCAAAGTCGAAGGCGAGCAAGAGACGGACGTAAGAAAGCAAAACGACGAAAAAGCCTCAACGTCATACTAAAAATGAATTAGAGCACGCTTCTCCCTTCTTTGCTTCCTTCTTTGCTTCTTGCTTTCCTTCCTTCCTTCTTTCTTGCTCTTCTTTGTTCAACGTTGCTGTCTTCACTCGAACGGACGAAACGGTTGGTTGGCTTGCTTGGAGTGGACCAAATGAACGTTTCGGCCTTTCACTTCGCCCCCTCTCTCGGCTTTGCTGCCCTTTGCCTGTCATCCAGTCTCATTTTTTTTGAACCTCTTCGTGCTGCAGATCAATTACGATCCGTACAGTAGTAGCGCCGCCGCCCAGTCTCAGCCAATGCCGCACCGGATAGGACTGCTCGACGCCGCCAACGAGGGCAGCGCGCTGCTGCAATACGACTCGATGCTCAACGCTGCCGACACGGCCGCCGGTAATGGTGGTGGTGGTGGTGCTGGAATCCCAGCGACTGCTGCATCGCACGCATCCACCAACAGCGTGCGGCTGCCCACGGTCGCTGCCGCGGGTGCTGGTGCTGCTGCGGGACCGGGCTCGAGCAGTGCCACGGCGTCCACGCTCTGGACGAGCTCGCTGCACCAAAACCAGCCCAACATCCACCAGCGCATGCTCCAGAACGCGCTGGCTGTCGATGCACCGGCATCATCGGGCACGGCGGCGTCGTCGTCGTCCTCGGGACTGCGGTCGTCATTCGCACACTCGCCCGAGCTGGTGCTGCACGACGACGCCGCGGCGGGCGAAGGCATTCTGCGCGCGGTCGTCTCGGGTCGTGTTGGTGGTGGTGGTGCTGGATCAGATGTCATTGGTGGTGGGCGGTCGGGCCTCCGACGCCTCTCGTCCTTAACAGCGAGCGCAGCGCCTGCCAACGCACCCAACGTGTCGCTCACTCTCCAGCGCGCCAAGGAGCGCGACGAGCAGGAGCGCCTGGAAGAAGAAGCAGACGAGCAGCTGGAGGAGAATGACGAAAACCTCAAGGACATTTCCTCGCAGCGCGAAACAAAGCTGCGTTACCAGGATTTCTCGACTATTGATTGGATGCGCGACCACGCCCGAGACCAGCAGCGCCAACGACAGCTGCGTCGAGACCGCCTGCCGGGCTGGAAGGGCAAGCTTCAATCCGCAAACGACGGCTGCCAAGGATGGCTGCTCATGTTTCTAGTTGGCCTCATTGCCGGGTTTGTCGCGGGCGTTGCAGACGTGGCAACAGACTGGCTGGGCGATATCAAACTTGGCGTCTGCTCCAATGCATTCTACCTCAACCACGAGTTTTGTTGCTGGGCTGCCGCCGAGGGCCAGTGCACCGCGTGGAAGACGTGGGCCGACTTTCACAATCTCGATGGCGCTGCAGCGTACTGGGGCAACTACCTCGTGTACATTTGCTTTGCCATCCTCTTTGCCCTTCTGAGCGGCACCTTTGTCAAGTTTTTCGCTCCTTACGCCGCCGGCTCTGGTATTCCGCAAGTCAAGACCATTCTCGGAGGATTTGTCATTCGCAAGTTCCTCGGCATTTGGACGCTTGTCACAAAGTTGATTGGTTTGGTAAGTTGTAAATTGTTTTGTTGCGTTCGCTGCTTTTTTTTCCCCTGTTTGCGTGATGGCCTTGAACACTCGACACTCACGCTCAGATGATGATGATCTAGACGCTGTCGTCTTCCGCTGGCCTCAGTCTCGGCAAGGAGGGCCCGTTCGTGCACATTGTCTGCGCAATTGGCAACATTTGCTCGCGCATCTTTGCCAAGTACCGTAAAAACGAAGCCAAGAAGCGCGAGGTGCTCTCGGCCGCAGCTGCAGCCGGTGTTTCTGTCGCCTTCGGTGCGCCTGTCGGCGGTGTCTTGTTCAGTCTCGAGGAGGTCAGTTACTACTTTCCCTACAAGACCATGTGGCGTGCCTTCTTTTGCGCGCTGACGGCCGCCACCGTCCTCCGCTACATGAACCCGTTCTTGAACGGCCGCTCGTCTCTGTTCGCCGTCGATTACGACGAGCACTGGCGCCTCTTTGAGATTATTCCCTTCGCCCTGCTGGGTGTGTTTGGCGGTCTTTTCGGTGCCGCCTTCATCCGCGTTAACGCTCGTTGGTGCGCCTTCCGCAAGTCGTCCGCACTGGGCAAGTACCCCATCTATGAAATTGTGGCGATCGCTTTCATCACCGCCGCCGTCAACTACCTCAACCCGTACCAGCGCAACTCGACGAGCTCGCTCATCCGCGAGCTGTTCAGCATCTGCGGCCCCGAGGATAAGCGAGATGTCTGCAACGACGATCTGATTGGCGAGACGATCGGCCTGCTGTTCCTGTCCGCCGCCTTCCGCATGATCATCACCGTCTTCACGTTCGGTCTCAAGCTACCGGCGGGCTTGTTTGTGCCCTCCATGGCCATTGGTGCGTGCACCGGTCGCATCCTCGGCATTGCCATGCAGCAGATTGTCAACGCCAACCCCGACCTGTTCGAGCTCTCGTGTGGTGCAAAGCCAGAGTCCTGCATCATCCCTGGGCTGTATGCCATGGTCGGCGCAGCAGCCGTGCTCGGCGGTGTGACCCGCATGACTGTCTCGCTGGTTGTCATCATGTTCGAGCTGACTGGCGGCCTCTCGTATGTGCTTCCGTTCATGACCGCCGTCCTCGTCAGCAAATGGGTCGGCGACGCGTTCAGCCGCGAGGGTATCTACGATCGTCACATTCGGCTCAACGGCTATCCGTTCTTGGACAACAAGGAGGAGTTCCGGCACACTACTCTTGCCTGCGACGTCATGTACCCGCAAAAGGGCGATTCGCCGTTGTGTGTCTTGCCCGTTTTTGGCAACACTGTTGGGCAACTTGGTAAGCGCTGCTGATGTGTCGTTTCGTGCGCTAACTCGTTTGTACTATTGGAGGCTCACTTTTTTTTTGTCTCTCTCCCTCTCTTTCGCGTGTAGAACGACTCTTGGAAGAGACAGTCTACCAAGGCTTCCCGGTCGTCTTTACGACTGAAACGATGCATGTCGCTGGCTATGTTGCTCGCTCGGAACTTAAGATTGCACTTGGTACGCACAGTTGTCCTCCTTTTTCTTGTGCTTTCCCGTTTTGCTCTTTTCGTTTCCTCACCAGCTTGTCGACGAAATGTCCTGACTTGATCCATTTGCAGAAAAAGCGCGAAAGCATCATGACGTGACCGAGTTTACGACTTGCTCATTCTCCCACCGGACGGCCGCGAGTGGAAACACCTCCGAGATGATCAGCTTGCGTCACTGCTTGGATGCTGTAAGGCGCTGGTCAACAAATTGAAAGTTAGTTGGTCTTGCAGCGACTGTTGTGCTCACTTTTCTTTGGCTTTTTCTGTTTTTGAACAACAACTCCTTTTGCCTTTGCAGTCTCCCATCCAAATTGCCGAGCACACCACGACAGAAATGACGCTAGAGCTCTTCCGAAAGCTGGGCCTGCGCTATGCGCTTGTCTGCAGCTACGGTCAGCTTGTTGGCATCATCACCAAGAAGGATCTGCTCAAGCACATGGCCATTCTGCAACACCGCGATCCCGGCTCCATTCTCTTCAACTGAAAGGATGGGAGCAGCGCAGCTGTTGTTTTTCTTGTATATTACCTCGAGTGCTTTTTTGCAGGCCCTTTTTGTTTCAATGGTGTGTTTTCTGTCCAATATGTCCCCTTTTTTTTCATGTTGCGTGTTAATCTGCCTCTTCTCTCTGTACACAAAATGAATGTAGTCTATCAAGAAACATTGTCAATTTGTGCTGGAACATGCGAGGGGGCAGGACATGATAAACAAGTCACAATCAAACGTGGCAATCAAAGTACAATCAAAGTCGACCGTTTTTTTTTGTTTTTGTCTGGCCTCTTCCGAAAAAAAAAAGCACTGGCTGCCCATTGGCCACCGCTACCGCAAAAACGCTTAAATCAAATCAATCCTCGGACGAGACTTGGTCGACTTGAGACGCATCGACTCGTTGCGGACTTGTGATACGGTCTGTTGGGCATCCTCAAACTTGCGCGTGCGCTCGTTGAAGGCAGACTTTTTGCGCCGCATGCTCTCCTGCACGGCCGAGTTGGCGCGGGTGGACTCGAACTCGAGAATGACCTCGCGCGCCTTCTCTGGCGTTGTGTCTGTCCGCTTGGCACGCAAGACGGCGAGCTTGTCGAGCAGCAGCGCGGGGAACTTGAGCGCGGGGTTGTCGCGCACCTCCTTTTCGCAGCGTGCAATGACCGTCTCGACGCGGTCGAACAAGGGCAGCACTGTGTCCAGCATCACCTCGGTCGCGGTGGCCATCTCGCGCATGAGCACAGCGTCAACACCGTACTCGATCACTCGCGCAGCCAGCTCGATGGATTCTTTCGAGTCGTAGTCGGTCATTCCGCGGATCTGGGTTTGTGATTTTTTTTGTCCCCCCACAAAACAAACAAAAGCAAACAAACAACATCAGTGGATGATTTCGTCCTCGTCCTCGATGGAGCAAACGTTGGGACGTAATACGTAAGCGTTTGGACGAACAAAGGGGGTGTGGTGGTAAAGTGGTCGGGACCAACGGTCTGTTCACCGCTGCCCATTGAAGTCCTCGTGCATTGAGCCCTCTTGTTTTCATCCCATGCCTGCTGCGGGGCGTTTGTTGTTTTTTGTTTGTTGTTTTTGAAGGGGGGCTTGCATTGCTTCCACACTCGTTTCGAATGGGTGTGTTGTGGAGCACACGTTTGATAAAGTGGTCCTCTGCTCTCCCTTCCCGGTCCGGTCCGAGTGCCTCCGCGTCGCCCTGCACGATGATGCACACCGACCATGCGCCTACTGTTCCAAGCACTATTCATGCTCAACCCCCAACCCAGCCTTCGTTCTCGGTGAGCTCTGTTCAAGTGTGAAGTTGTTATTATTGTTGGTTCCATTTTTTTTTTTTTTTTTTTTTTGTGGTTGCAAACTCATGACCAACAACCAAACAACCAAACAAGCGAGCGTCCAGCTCACAATAAGAGCCAAGCCACAAAGGGGGCCCCCCGTGTCACGCTGTAAAGCCAAAGTAGAGAGGGAAAAGCAACAAAGAGAGCGCTTACCATTAGAAAGTCGGCAACCTCGGCCGACAAGCGATCCTCGCCCATCTCCTCGCCAGCGGGGAGAGCGGCCTCGAGCGCAGCGCACAGCCGACTGACAACCTCGTCTACAGTCACGTTCGCAAGCGACGTGGACGAAGGCGGGCGCAGCGTTCCAGAGGACGACGTCGAAGTGAGCGGCATTTGTTCGTGTGTGCTAATGTTGCCAAAGGGTGTGTAAGCAATGCTATTGAAGTAAAGACCCAAAATGAAGCAACACAAAGAAGAAGACGACTGAAGCACTCGATTGTATTGTAAAAAATAAATCAGACGAACGAGAGGTCAAAGCAAAAGTCAGAGGAGGAAGACAAAGACACAAAGGCAAAGCACAATGCTGCTGCTGCTGGCTTCAACCAACCAACCAACCTTACCCCCTTGTCTGAGATTGTGGATGACTCGATTGAGTGAAATCGATATAGATTCAACGATTAGTTGATGTTATCGGCCATTTCTGAGAACAGCGCTCAGTCTTTTACTCGCTCTCTCTCTCAGTCGTCGTTTGCTGTTCTACCAATCCAACCAAATTCCAGCGATTCATCACGAACACAATACCAAACGCTCTAACAAAGAGAGAAAGAGAGAGAGAGAGAGAGAGCGTGCACCACAAAAGCGAGACAGACAGAAATGGCGGCGTCGTTGCAGTTCATCACTCCAGGGCAGCAGCAGCAGCAGAGCGACTTTGGTCTGCCACCCTACGCACAGCAGTCGTCGTCGTCATCGTCGTCATCGGCGTACGCTGGCGTCAACATGGGACAGTCCACCCACGACCCCAGCAGCAACGCGTTCGCATACGGCGGCAACTCAAACAGCAACAGCAACAACGGCTTCCTGCTGCCAACACAGCAGCAAAACCAGATGGCGTTCATGAGCGGCGCAGGGTATGGCGGCGACTTTAGCGCCCCGTCTGGCACAATGTCCAGCATGGGCAGCATGGGCAGCATGGGCGGTGGCTTTGGCGCGGGCGGCTTTGGCGCGAACGGCGGAGGAGGTTCGATGATGGCGGCGGGAGGAGGCTCGACCAGCCTGGAGGACGAGCCGCCGCTGCTCGAGGAGCTCGGAATCAACTTTGGCCAGATCACAGACAAGACGCGGCTGGCACTCAATCCGTTCAAGCCGGCCGACCAGCACGTCATGGACGACACGGATCTCGCCGGGCCGCTCATCTTCTGCCTCCTGTTCGGATCCTTCCTGCTCATGTCGGGCAAGGTCCACTTTGGCTCCATCTATGGCGTTGGCGTCGTGGGCTGCCTGGGCGTCTATGGCATTCTCAACCTCATGTCCGAGAGCGGCATCTCGCTCGCGCGCACCGTCAGTGTGCTGGGCTACTGCTTGCTCCCAATGGTCATCCTGTCGTCCATCTCCATCCTGCTCTCCCTCCAAGGCTACGTCGGCCTTGTGCTTGCGTGCTTGAGCATTGCCTGGTGCTCGTTCTCGGCGTCGCACATTTTCGTGTCGGTGCTCAGTCTCCGCGACCAGCTCTTGCTCGTTGTCTACCCTTGTCTGCTGTTGTACGGCATCTTTGCGCTGATGACTGTATTCTAAGTCGGTAGTTCTGGTTGTTGTTGTTGTTGTTGTTGTTGTTGTTGTTGTTGTTGTTGTTGTTGTTGTTGTTGTTGTTGTTTTTGTTTTTGTTGTTGTTGCGTGTGTGGATGTCTTTGAGTGATTTCTATTCGTTGTTGGAGCTGCTCGCCCAATTATACCTGGTTTCAGAGAGAAGGCTTCGAGGTTTAATGTAGTGGGGTGGCTTCGAGGCTCAATGAATGCTGTGGTATACACCACACTGCCGTCCCAGACCAGACGACGATTGATGCAAGTCTGAGGGTTTTAGCAAAATTTGCTCCATTCATTCATTCATTCATTCATCCATTCATTCATCCATTCAGTCATTCATTCATTCTAAAGCACACACACACACACACACACACAAACCACATCAAACGATGAGTGTGCTTGATCAAAGGTCAGTGCATTCGCATTGCGCTGCCAAAAAAACCAACCCCGCTCTCTGCCGCTCACTCACAATGGGACTGTTGAACACCCGACCCTCCCCACATCTTCTCTTCCTTTTTGTCTCTTTTGCGCTGTGCAGCTCCAAGATGCTGATTGTGATGGTTGGACTGCCTGCCCGCGGTGAGTAGCACTGCGTTGTGCCTCTTTGGCTCAAGTCACTGCTCTCGAGTCCTCTCTCTGCTTGGTTGCACTCACTTGCAAGTCTACACACACACACACACACAATTGTGCTGCTGCACTGCAAATCAACAAACACAGGCAAGTCGTACATTAGCAAGAAGCTCGTCTCGTTCTTCCTGTGGAAGGGCTTCAAGACGGCGCTCTTCAACGTCGGCAACCGGCGCCGCGAGAACGCCACGCAGCAGCAGGACGCGTCGTTCTTTGATGCTGCCAACCAAGACGCCAAGCTGGCTCGCGAGCAGGCCGCCATGGAAGTCCTGGACGAGCTGCTCGAGTATCTCAATGGTAAAAGTCATTGTAATTCGGAGCAACACAAACTGCTGCATGAATCATGACGGTTGAGGGGTGCTCAGACGATTGCGTATTCATTCCGTGACGCGTCATGCAGTATCAGAAGGCCAAATCGCAGTGTACGACGCAACCAACAGTCGCAAGGATCGCCGCCACGCCATTCTCGACCGCGTCCAAAAGTCCGGATTCGCCGGAAACGTCCTCTTCCTCGAGTCCCTGTGCACAGACCAAGCCGTGATTGAAGGAAACATGCGGCAAAAGGTGGAAAACAGTCCCGATTACAAGGGGTGCGATGTGGAGCAAGCCATGTCCGACTTGAGAGCTCGAATCCAGTGAGATTTTGTTGTGTTCTTTGGTGAATCCGATTTCTCTCGTTTAGACTGACGGCATCGTTGTTCTGCTCTTCTCCCCCACTTGCCGCTCCTCCTCTGTCTGTCCCTTCTTCTTCTTCTTCTTGCATTTCCGCGGCCTCACAGCAACTACGAGCTCGTCTATCAGCCAATCGAGGACGAAGAGAACATTTCCTACGTCAAGGTGATCAATCTCGCTTCAAAACTGATCTGCTCCAACGTCCATGGCCATCTGAGCCACTTTATCACGGCATTTTTAATGTCGCTGCATATTGGCCAGCGGCCCATCTACCTGGTCAGGTCGGGCAAAACGGAACTTGCGGACTTGGTCGAGTTGACGCCCGCAACCACGCCGGCGTTTGGCTTTGGGCACGCGTCAGAGTCGTCAACGAGCCTCCCGTCCAGGTTTACCATGAACTCGAGTCTCAATCCGGAGGGGGTTGCGTTTGCCCAGCGCCTGGGCCAGTTCTTCAAGAAACAGTCCGTCGAAAAGCCCGTGGTCTACACATCCCTGCTGCCTCGATCGGTGGAAACGGCCAAGCACGTCAGCTGCGGTCGTGTTCAAGCACTGAGCTCGCTCAATATGCTTGATACTGGCATCTGCCACGGCATGAGCATCCAACAAATTATGAGCAGCATGCCGGAAGAGTTTGCCGCGTTCGGCAAGGCCCCGTTCGTCTACCGATTTCCCGGCGGCGAGTCCTACCAAGATTTGCACGAGCGACTGACCTTCTTTTTGCTCGAGCTCGAGCGTACGCGGCAACCGGTTGTGGTCATTTCGCACGTTTCCACGCTGCAGTCTCTCCTCGCCTACTTTCTGGGCAAGACTCCCGACGAAGTTCCCTTCATCTCCGTGCCCCAGCATGACGTAATTGAGCTGATTCCATCCAACTATGGCTGGGCCCAACACCGCTATTCGATTTGAAGTTGTACAAAGAGCAGAGCTGTTGTGTTTGCCGTTTTTTTTTTTTTGTCCTGTTTCTGGTGTATTTCTGTGATCAAACAATGACCTGTGATTCGCAGTCTTTCCCCAACAATTTCACATCATCATTACTGCTTCTCAGTCCCGGTTCTTTCTTGGTGTTCGAGTGCATGGATGCGAATCGCTCCATCCAAGCGTCGCAGCGCCTTTCTGCCGACTTGACCGCCGACGCGCCTGAGACAGACCCTCCCATCGACTTGTCCGACCAGCACGATGCTTCAACCGCAGTCATTGGACAACAAGCATCGACAGCAGCAGCACCAAGCGTCAAGCAGCAGACGCCTCGCGAGCGGAGGCGGTTTGCGTTCGGACTCTTCCTTCTGCTGCTCGTCGTCATCATCTGGGTTGGCTCGGCCGAACTTCAGCAGGTTGGTGGTGAAGAGCAACAATGAAGACTTGTTCATTGATTGATTGAGTGGTGTGTGTGGTGGAGTGCGTCGACCATTGCCAATGCTCAGACCGCCTCCATCCGTTTGCCGCTCTTTTGTTTGTGCATGCCCCACCAGCCGCATTGAACGCGACACAGAACACTCACGTTTGAATGATAATGTTGGAAACGGTGTTCACAGTACATCTTTGATGATAACGATTTCAACCACCCAATGTTCCTGACATACACGAACAATGCAATGTTCAGCGTGTACCTGCTCGGATTTCTATTCGTACCTGCATGGCGGCAGCGGCCATTCGGGTTTGGTGGACGACCTCGTTGGATGCTGCACAGGTTTTGTGATTCTGACAGTGGCAACAATGCTAGGTTTTGAAGCAGTTGACGCTTATTTTGGTTTTGGTGTTTGCTGCTGTCAGAATCAAGCGATTCTTGCGAATGCGAGCTTCCAACGATCAGCCCTACGAGGTACGTGTGCCCGTAGTGATGTGCGAATTGCAGTTTGTATGGATTGCACTAAACAGTATTGCTTCAATCGTCCATGTTGGTCGATGCTAGCAACTTGTCAACAACCCGAACGAAGAGGCAAATATCGCACATGACCAGGGCGCCACCACTGAGACGGCGGCTGTTATTCCATTCACCATTCGCGAGGTACGTGTCCGAGTAGTCTTGGACCAATACGCAGTGCGACGAGACCACAAAAACTCATCCAACCTGTTCTCGCTGGTGCCAGACCATGAATGTCTCCCTCACCTTTAGCATCCTGTGGTTTATCGCCAATTATCTATACAATGTTGCGTTGACACGCACGTCGGTTGCTTCGGCCACCATTTTGAGTTCCACCTCTGGTAACGCCGCCCTTGTTTGTTCTCGCCGGTGTTTGACTGTCGCTCACTCGCTCTTCCGACAGGTCTCTGGACCCTGCTAATGGGAGCTCTCTTCCTTCCCACCTCCGCAGACAAGTTCACCTGGAACAAGCTGTTGGCCGTCGCGCTGAGCATTGGCGGTGTCGTCTTGGTGAACGCGGGCGAGGTTGGGTTTTCATCCGGCGATATCTTTGCCCTGTTCTCGGCCGTGTTCTACGCCTGCTATCTCGTTTTCTTCAAGAGGTTTGGCGACGAAGACCGCATGATCATGGCCATGTTTTTCGGTGCGTTTGTAGGGTTTGTTGTGTGTGTTTTTCGAGGTGGGTCCATCTCATGGTCGTGGAGATTGTGTAACCTAACCTTGTCTGTTTTTTGTTGTTGTTGGGGGGGGGGGGGCGCTATTCTATGAACATGCAGGATTCGTCGGACTCTTCAACGTCGTCTTGACGCTTCCACTGTTTTTCATTTTTGACGCGACGGGCTGGGAAAAGTTTGGCTGGCCACCCAGCAGGATGACCTGGCTCTACTTGATTGTCAATGCCGTGATTGGCACGGTTGTGTCTGACTATGTCTGGCTCTGGGCGACAATGTTGACCTCGCCAGCAATTACGACGTTGGGATTGAGTCTCACCATCCCCCTCGCCATCGTCGTCGACGTCCTGTTCAAGGGCATCACAGTCGGCGCCATGTTTGCCTGCGGTACAGTCTTGGTCTTTGGAGGTTTTGTGCTCCTCAACTGCGAGATTTACTACGGCGTTTCCGTTGTCGATGCTGTTCGACGGCGGCTGCGCCGATGTTGACTTTTTTTTTTTGTTCTGCCTGTTGTTATCATGTGTCGTCTCTATCTATTATTTACGATTATTCAGCCTTCACTTGTCATCATCTCATCAATCTTTGTCGTTGTCGTTGTCGGGTTCAGTCTCGTTTTGCCTGTGTGTGTGTGTTTGGGGTGAGCGTTTTGTGAATGCAACGATGATCATCTGGTTTATCATTGGCGCGGTCGGCGTCTTCCAGGTCCCGCTTCTTGTGGATATTCTCGACAACATGCTACCGTCGCGGCGCATTGGTCGCATGACGCACGCCGTGTTCAACATGCTGCTGTTTGCGCTCGTGCTGTGGATCCACCTGGTCGCCCTGTGGAGCTTTTTCGTCATCTTCCTGCCGTTCCACCTCGATGCTCGTGCAGGCAAGCATCTGCCCACATCATCATCCTCAGCAGCAGAAGCACAAGACGGCGGCGGCGCTGGTCAAGCCGATCCGAGCCAGCAAGCCAATCTGAGCCAGCAGAGCGTTGTCGACTGGCTCTCAGACTGGTACGCGCTCGGCCATATTGCGGTGGCGCTCTTCACATGGATTAATTCAGTCGCAAACTACACGCTGGCGGTATTCACGTCTCCTGTCACGGGCGAGTGGGCACTTCCCGTTCCTGCGCTTTCAGCCCCGAACGCTCAAGCCCATTCTCGTGGAGCTCATCCAAGCACGACGACGAGTACTGCTCGAATTCAAAGCTCTGCGCCTGGACTCGTCTCGCAGGCAACTACGGCCTCAGCCGCGTCTCTCTACTGCCGCGTGTGCAACCGGACAATCCCGTACTTTGACCATCACTGCCCGTTCACCATGAACTGCGTTGGTCTGCACAACACCGTCTACTTTGTCTCCTTCTTGGCTTATGCCACGCTGGGGTTGACGTTCGCCACACACATGTCATTCGGCGCCTTCCGGGAGTGCGCATGGACGGCGGGCGGGTTGCGAATTGCTGCTTGCCAGGCGGTGGGCGATCTTTCCTTCGTCTGCCTGCCATCGATGCTCGTGGCGTGGTGCACGCTGCTGCTCTTCCTTTGGCAAGCGGCCCTCTTGGCGCTCGACACGTCTGCTCGCGATTTCCTGCGAAGCATTCGCAAATCCCCCGTGCAGTACCTCACACAGGACTTTCTGCCGCGGTTGCGTGATCGCCTGAAGCTCTGCTTTGGCCGAGGTGCTGCACTGAGCGGCGAGTCCAAGCCTTCGCATCGATTCGAGGTGCTGATTCGGCTTCGAAAGTCGAGTGTGTGGCATTTCGCCGTCCCGCACGCGTTGCCCGTGCGTCCCGAGATTGCCGAGATGACTCTTCACCGAAGAGTATGATGGTGATGATGCTGATGATGATGGCGGGGGACGGGTTGCTGTTGTATCGATTGATTGAATCTAAAACAAAAAAGTATCGTTGTTTTTATCAGTTTCAGCCACTGTACTCGCTCTCCCACCTGTCCAATCACCGCAAGCATGTAGATGGTGAATGTGGACGTGAGGGTCTGTCACCGAGGAGGTCACGATGTCATATTGTTGGTACGTTCCGACTTTGTTTTTTTCGGCTTGCATTCGGAAGATTGAAAAAACGCCGCCAGACGAGCCTCTTTATTTCCTAAGGACTTTGTTCCTCACTCTATGCTTGTCAATGAGCATGATCAAGAGCGGCAAAAAAAGCAAAGCGCTAGTCTTAACTTTTTTTTTTTTTTTTTTTTTTTTTTTTTGCAACTTGTTGCGTTTCACTCAAATGGCGGGAAAATCGAAAACGAGCGCTGCGGCGAAGGGCAAACCAGCGAACGGCAAGGAGTCGGTCGCCGCGTACTTTGCGCCAAAGAGCAATGGCAAGGCCGCCAAGCCCACTGGCGCACCGGCGGACGAGCCTGCCACCGTCGTGGGTGCGCCGACAGCAACAGCAGCAGCAGCAGAGCCGCAAGCGCGCAAGTCGCCAGTGAAGCCGGCAACACGCGCGACCGCCTCGCCCTCCAAGCCGCGTTCAGACCCCGCGGCGTCAGCACCTGTTGCTGCAGCGTCATCGTCATCGTCATCGTCATCGTCAGCGGCATCGTCGGCGGCACCAGCGTCGTCGCGAGCCTTAGCAGCAGGCACCGTGAACATTGGCGGCGGTGTCTCACTTCCCGCCGTCAGTCCCACGATGCCGCGTGCGGAACTCGGTCAGAAACTAAAGGTAAAGACATCCATGATTGAGGGAGGGAGGGAGGGAGGGCGAGGCACGGACAGTCAAAGGGCGGCAGAGTTTGGCGTTTCATCTTGCGCGAGAAAGCTTTTTTTTTTCCCGCCAAAACCCGTCAAAAAAGTCATCAACGTTGAGGTTGTCACCTATTGAGCGTCGGCGTTCATCCTGTGCCTGAAATGGGCTGCTGGGACCTTGGTGCATTGTATTCTGAAGACGGCGACGGGCTCAATCTTGGGGGGGGGAGGGCGGCTCCATGATCTTTGACAACTCAACTTGCACTCACCGGTTGACTATCTCGCTCAGACCATTTGCGACAAGATCCAAACACTTGCACAAGATCAAGCGGACTGCTCGTTCTGCCAGCCTTTCTGAAGCACCAGGACAATGAGATTCGTCTCTACGTTGCCTGCATCCTGTCCGACCTACGTTGCCTGCATCCTGTCCGACCTGCTTCGATTATACGCTCCCGAGTAAGCCGAGTTGTTGAACTTAAGCCGAGTTGTTGAACTTGAGCAACTCGAAGAGAGCAAGGAAGGAAGAGAATCTTCTTCATTGCTGATGCCGCGATTTCATCTCACTTGTGATCGCTGTGCTGCCTCTAGAGCATCTTCAAGCTCTTCGTCGACCAGTTGAAAGGCATTGCAAACGTCCAGAATGCGCACTTTGCTCGCTACTTTGGACTGCTCGAGAGCCTTGCTGTCGTCAAATCGTTTGTCATGTTGGTCGATATCAGTCAGGAGCTGCTTGTGCTCTTGTTTCAAACCCTGTTTGAAGCCATTTCGTAAGATTGTGCAAAGCCCTGTCTGCACTGCACGTCTTTCTGTCCAAGCTCACTCGTTTCCTTGTTTCTGTGTGCAATACCAGGCCCGACCACACACGCGAAGTGTTTGATCACATCGTTGAGATTACCAGCACGGTCATTGTTGAGGCCGATGTGCTACCAGAGGAGCTGCTGGATGTAATTCTGGCCGCTTTACTGCCTGAAGGCAAGAACAGGGTAGGGCCGCCATTTCGCTGAAAGTCGCATCAGCATCACTCGGATGAAAAAATCGCTTCTCCGTTTTTTCTTCTTGACATGCAGTTCCCTCGCCTCTCACCTCATCTGTCGTATGCTTGCAGCAACGAAACAAAGTCTCCTTTGTTCTCGCAGAGACGGTGATTAAGCGTTGTCTCCGTCAAATGCAACCGGCAATCCGCGATGTAAGTTTTGGCTTCGCTTCTGGACTCAGTTATTGAGACCCGAAAACACTCAACCCTCTGAAATTCTATAGTTTTTCGCGGGTATCTTTGGAGTTGGCAAGACATCGACCAGCGAGCTCACTGACAGCGCCTACGACCTGGTGTTTGAACTCTTCCTCATCGATTCGAGTCTGCTGCTCGAAGTCTTTTCGCTGCTCGAAGAACACTCGCTTGTAGGCACAACCACAGACCGCTTTCAGATGTGTCGTCAAGAAAAAAAACCTAATTTCCTTGTTTTTGTTGCATTGGTAGAATGAAGACCTGCCTTCGCGCCAACAAACAATCGCTCTTCTCGGTCGCATGTTCGTGGTCGATGATCGTGATCTGGCGAATGACAACCCAGGTCTTTGGAGCTGCTTTTTGAAGCGGTGAGTTTCTCTCGCCTGTTGGTTTTTTTTTCCCCGCTTGTATCTCATTCTCAAATTGATTACCTGCCATTCGCAGCTTTGTCGACGTCAAAGACGTGGTGCGCTTGCAGTGCGTTTCCTTTGCCGCAGACATTGTCCGGGCTCATCCACGCTTGGCTTCCTCCGTTGTGGCAGCACTTGGCGAGCGCCTGATGGACCAGGAGGAGAAAGTCCGCGCCGATGCGCTTGCTCAAATCCTGCAAATTGCGAAAACCCGTTCCGACGTGCTCGACGCTCCGCTTTTGCACCGCATGGCCGAGCGAACGATCGATCGCAAGGTTTGGCAGAGCTTGCCCGGCTTGTCGTGTCATGGATGGGCCAGCCAGTCACGGGCTGTGTGAACTCATGTTTTTTTTTCGGTTGGGGGGGGGGTATTTGATTGTTTGTCTTGCAGGCCTCGATTCGAGAAGAAGCCCTCTCGGCACTGGTGACAATCTACCTGCAGCAAATTGAAAAGTAGGCGGAGCCCTTTTGGCCCAAAAAATGCTGGGTCTTGCTGGGTGTCTCACCTTTTTTGCTTGTTTGCTCAGATTCGGCGAGTCTCAAGCTTGGTCTCGCGACACAATCGCTTCCTTTGGGTGGATTCCTTCGAAAATCTTGGCGTCAAGTCTTGCGCCTGCTGGCGGGTAATGTTTGCTGTTGCTGTTGTGTTTTCTGCATGCCATTTGCACTTGCTCACTTCTGTTCACTCTTTTTGCGTCCATCTCATCATCTGCATGCCAGTGCGGCGTACGAAAAGCACTTTGACAAGCTGCTCACCTCCCATGCTTCGAACGCCGAGGCGCGCGGTGCTCGTCTGGTCAACGTGTTGAGCCAGCTTGACGAGAAGGGCGTGACTGTTTTCGCTCGCGACCTGGAGCAACGAAGCGGGTACCGTTGCTATTTTGACTCGACTCGTCTGTTTGTGTTTTCGCTCCTCCTTTGGTATCGTTTCTCACGGCTTCTCTTGGGTCAGACTGATTGCCGCCTGGCGCAACTTCCTTGCAAAGCACGGCTCTCGTCCAGAAGCCCAAATGCGCCGCTTGGCAGGTACGGTTTTCTGTTTTTCGTTGCTAGCTCGCATTCCAACCTCACTTTTTGCCCTCGCATTGACCCTCTACACAGCCTTTGCTCTGGACAAGACCAAGGCCTTTGATCACATTGAAAAACTCGAGTCGGGTATGGATCAGAAGACCTGTCAGGTGCTGGTACACTACTTTGAAACGGACTGCTCCGCACCGCGTCTCAAAGTTGCCACGGTGAGCACTGCTCGCGACGACATTTCAGAGCTTTTTATTTCCATCCTTCCGACGACTGACTTGGTCCTTTGCTGCTTTTGCGTTGCGCAGGATGCCCTCACCAACCGCCTCGGCGCCAAAAATCCCTCGCTTGAAACCGTGCTGAGTCTGCTGTCCAGCACAACGAGCCTGTTTGGCGACAAGCATGTCATCAGTGCGGCGATCGGCAAGTGGATTGCGCTCGATGGGGATGAGTATGACACGACCGGCAAGTGTCTGCTGGTAAGTTGGAACGGCGATGAGCAGTCAGTTTCTGTTTACTCTGTGCAACCCAACTCATTGCATTGTGGTGACAGGCCGTTGCTCGAGTCTATCCGATGACTTTCCATCAGCTATCGACCTTCCAGAAGGTGTTGGATGCTCTTCGTGATGCTGGTAACTGACCGCGTTCACTCCGTTTTGAGTTTCTCTCGGAATTCCCGACCTTCTCAATTTCTGACCCCTCCCCCCTCGCTTTGTGCGTGTGTGTGTATTTTTCGGTTGTTTCAGACGAGTCGGTGGCGCGCCCGCTGCTGCAACTGCTCGCCATATCCGGCCCCAAATTACAAGCCAACCATTCCAGCTTCTTCCAGTAAATCAGCTTGCCGCCTCATCCGTCGCTTCCGTTCATGCGTTTTTTGCAAACCACTAAGCGTTCATTTGGTTTTGTGATTGTTTGCCGCTTTCAGCGAACTGCAACAGATCTTGCAGCAATTCATGCTCGGTGACTCTCCTGCTCTCGGAAAGCTCGCTGTTCGCACCATTGTTGCCACCGCCACAGATGCAAACACCCTCTTGCAAGACGTGTCTGCTGTACGTGTCTGCTGCGCACTTGATTTGCGGCGCCCTTGTTTTGAAGGACCATCCTGTCACTTACACTTTGTTCTCGCGTAGGACTTGATGAAACGCCTCGAGTTGAACTTCCCAGACGTCATTACACCCATTGTGTGCCTTGGGCATATTGCAGAGCTCGGACGGGCTGTTGATCCGACCAGCGAAGCTGCGCTTTCGAAGGAGGACTTGAAAATTTGCAACCAATTCTTTGTCAAGCTTCTCCGAACCAACACCACCAAGGCCGTCAAGATGCCAGCCAATTGGAACACAGAGACCGACGATGAGTGGACTGACACCCCTTCGCCCGAGTGCCTTGCAAAGGTACATACGGTTTTTTGAAGATTTTTTTGTGCCTGTGAACTCTGCAACAAACGGGGTTGTCTCTGTTTCTTCTTCACCAGGAGGCTGCGATCAAGGCCATGACTCGGATCATTCTGAATTTCCCTGAAAAGCAGGATGCTGTCGTCAAGTCGTGTCTCGACAACGTGCTCTTTGATGGAGTGCGCTTGCGTGGCGAGTTTGTTGCTGCGAACGCCACACAGTAAGGTCTTTTGTTGCCGGTGTGGCTGTTGTTGCTGTTTGCGTTGGTCTGTGGTCGGCGCGCTGATACCAAATTTCTGTTCTCCAGTCCCATCGTGTGCAGCCGCTTGTACCTCACCGCTTCCAAGTCCATTCTCAAGATTGCCTCCACGCGCCATTCCAAGTTGATTGCGGCGCAGGATTTCCAAAACCTTGCTCTCACCATTGAGGTAAACCAGCACAATTCTGCAGTCGCCTGAAAGTTGATGTGGGGGAACACTTGTTCAAACATTAATCTTGCTATTTTGCGACGGTGCTTCGCAGGCTGTGAATCGGCAAGTTCGGCATGCTTTCATCACTTGCTTGGACAAGTATCTGACCAAAGTGGACCGCATGCGCACGTCCTACATGAGCATTCTTGCATTGGCTGCGTGCAATCCCGACAAGGACCAGCTGATGCTGGCGAAGGCGTGCTTGGAACGTCAAGTTGCCCGGCGACGCGCCATCATCCAGATCAACAAAGGTACGTGCACCTTGGTTTTTTCCTTTCGTCTTGATGTTGGGATTTTGTTTGTTTTGCCACTGACGCTGTTGCTTCATTGTCCCACTACTCGCTGCAGCATACGAAAAGGTCTTGCTCCCGGAGGCCGTCCTCGCGCATCTCATTCATCTGCTGGCTCACCACCCTGACTTTAAGTCGGATGTGGACGAGCTCAAAGCGATGCAAAAGTGCATCGTGTTCTTTGTCAATGGACTTTCTGCGAGCGGAGGCGAGAACTTTGACTACCTTCTCGATGTCGTGGGAGCCATCAAGCAGCACCGGGATGCTCAAACCCCCAACAACAGCGTGGTAAAGTGACGGACGAGTGTTGCTGTTTTGGACACTTTTTGGATTGCGCCTGACTTGTGTGCATGCTCTGTTGTGTGGTGCTTTGCAGCCTTTGCATACTGTGTGTGACGTCGCCAGCCTGGCAATCACAGACGTGGCGCAGCACAGCAATTGGCGGCTGAAGAAGGGCTCTGCGGCCATTTCGCTGCCCGCCGAGCTGTTCACGCTCCCGAGCACCCCGTTGCGAAACACGGTCGTCTTCCTCTCCAAGCAGCAACAACAGCAGCTGATGGGTGGCAAGAGCCCATCGGGCTCCCCAGCCAAGAAGCTGCTTGAGCAGGTCGCACCCCGCAGTGCCAGCCGAAAAGCACAAGGTGGAAGCGCGACCACAACGCCTTCGAAACGAGCGGCCCCGAGCACGCCAGGCTCTGTATCTCGCTTCAAGCGCCGCGCTGCGCGTAGCGACGATGACGACGAGGATGATAGTGACGACGAGGATGGTGAAGCTGTTGCAAGGCGTCATCGAGCCGCCACCACTGCTGCTGCTGCTGGCCCGGCGCGTCGAAACGCCTCCCGCGCTGCGCGCTCCGCGGCAAAGTCGCTCGGCTTTGAAGACGATGATGACGATGATGATGTCAGCAATCGACGGGATGCCAGCGATAACGACGACGGCCAAGAGCAAGCAGGTTCTGGCGCGCGCCGCGTCCGCCGACGACTGGATGCCAGCAATGACGATGACAACAGGCCGGAAGACTCGCTTCCCGCCAAGTCACCCCGTCGCTCAGGCGCCACCAAGCCCGTATTCGAGTAAGATCGGACTGAGCTTTTGTTGTTGTTGTTGTTGGTTCTGGTACTTTGCGTGCTGATCGGTGGCGTTGTTCTGGATGGCAGTGAAATTGCGGCACCTGCCTTGTCACCGCTGAAGTCACCTAAAAGTCCAGAGCACAAGTCACGGCGACCCGTCCGAAACTTGTCTTTGGGTCTTGACCACGAGCAGTCGACGCCCAGGTACCTATCCGAGGCTGAAAAGGCGCGCGAGGAAGACGAGCATGACCAAGAGCTGCTTCCTGCTGTCGACGTGGCTGCATCCAAGCCGAAACGAGCGGCTGCCAAGACCGCATCGGTCTCGGAATCGTCGCCTTCGCGGGATGCTGACGTTGCGATGCACCAGGACAAGCGGCAACGAGCATCGCGTGCAAGCGCTCGCACAACAGCCTCATCCTCGGTCGACTCTCAGTCTGTTTCGACTTCTTCTCAATCTCAGCCGTCCGAGCCATCCGAGGAACCTGCAATCAAGCGCAGGTCGGGTCGTGGCAAAGCTGCAGTCGAGGCTTCTGCGGCGCCTCAAACCAAGGTTTCTGCGGCAGTCCCGGCTGTTGGTGAGCTGGACGACGGAGCTGCTGAAGAGCCAGTGGTAAGCAGCATGGTTGTGTTGTCACGTGGAGAAGCTGCATGAAAACGTTCTTCGTCTCATGTGTGTTTTGTTTACTTGGACAGGTTACTCGACGCACCACTCGTCGGCGTTAATTCTAGTGTTGCCTGACAATCTGGAGATGTTCTTGTGCTGTAATAAAGCTGTTGTTACAAAAATTGTGCCCCAAGAAAGGACCTGTTTTCAATGCCAGAAAAGCGACACAGCGAGCAAAAAAATACAATTTAAGCCATTTTATTCAGGCAAAAGGTGACTGGAAAGGGAATTCATTGAAAAAATCCGAACGGGAGACAAAGAAACAGGAAATGCAGCATCTGCGTAAAGATGCTTAGTCGAGGCTACAGTGCATCAAACAGGCAGAACAAACGAAAGCAAACAACAGCAAACGTGTCCGGTCAGACTCGCGCAAACACCTCCAAATACAGGCAAGACTCAACGCTCATTTTCATATCATTCCTCTTACGCTGGTGCAGGCTTTGGTGAGTTGAGAGATACCGGCACTTGTGGCAGCTCTGGCATGACTGGACGGGATGAATCGGAAGCCATCTTATTCATCATGAGCGCAGCACCCTCCATAACACCGAGAATGATTGCGCCCACGACAGCGTTAGTAGCCATAGCAGCAGGTCCGCCTATTGTGAGGGGGTGGAGGCAGTGGGGGAGGCGGGGGAAAAGGAGAAGGAAAGAACAAAAAGAGAAACGAGGACAGGAGGGGAAAATGGAAGAAAAGGTGAGATATACAGCTCGTGCAAGAACAGTGCGACCCAGAAAGCGTCGTGAGAGACTGCTGAAAACCCCTCCCAAAAAAGAAGAGACTCACTTCGTGCAGCGAGCACAGCGCCAGTGACTGCTCCAGCGCCGATAGCGTTCCAAGGATCCTCCTTGCCGCGGTAGTACATAAAGACGCAATCGAACGTCGAGAATGTGCCAGCCCACATGGCGAAACCGGCTGTAGACGTGAAACAGTCCGCCAGAGAGTGAGTGACTTTTCATTCGAAACAAACTCACATCAAAACGAACACTTACTGCCGTATGCTTGACCACGCATCTTGACGGCCGAGACCATGCCCGACATTCTTTGACCCTGTGTGAGTTTGGCATCATGAGCAACGTTGGCCGCGTTGGTGAGCACGGGGTTGTTTCGGAACGAAGCGAGCAACGCATGTGATTTGATGGCTCCTCTCCCCCGCTGTAGTTGGGTTGCAAAAGTCCCTAATCGCAAGCAAGACACGAGAGGAACGTGCTGGTGAAGGGGGGATGGTGGCGCCATCTGGTACCTTTGGTGAGTTTCGGTAGCCGCGAAGCGCGTGGAAGAGCGAACCGCCGACGGTGCCCATGGCGAAGCCGCCGCCGAGATCGTCCAAAATGCGATACGGACTGTAGTTGGAGACACAGACAAGAGCAAGCCAAGCAAAAAAACAAGCAAGAAATCAGCAACAAAGCGGGGCGCAGCGGGAGACACAAAGCCAATGCAACGCCAGCCAGAACGCTTTCCTCGCATGTCGACGGGTGACTGCCATCCACTTCCATCATCCACCATCCACCACATACATCCACAATACATTCCACGTTGCTTCCCACTTGTGATGCAGCAAAGGGGCTCAGGCACACCAACCAGTTCACCAAAGCTGGGGGCTTCTTTCGTTTTTGCCAAGACTTCTTTGGTTGAAAGTGCTGCTTTGAGCTTGGATTCAACCAGGCACTCGATGACGAGGATGATGAAACGAGAGGCAGCGAGATTAGAACGAGAGACTGGCTGAGTGAGGTGAGGGTGAGTGAGGTGAGGGGTGAGGTGAGACTGAGGAGTAGTGCTGCAGTAGAGTGAGTGAGAAGGCGCATGTGGGTTGGCATGACCTGGTTTCGCTCCACTCGATGACCAAAGCGTGTGTGTGTGTGTGTGGGACTGCACAACGACCGTGTAAGATTGCATGCATGGTGATGATGATGATGGAGGATGCGAGTGAGCTGTGAGTGCGGGGAGTCGTTTACCATGGGTCGCGTTGGTACTCTGCGTGTGCCATTGTGTGTCTGGCAAAGTGATGATGATGAAAGGGAGACTGAACAGAGCACTAAAGTGCGAAATTGCAGCAATAGAACATTGTGCAGCATTTGAGAGAGATTCCGGGGGTTGAGGAGGAGGAGGAGGGGGAAAACGAAAAGCTATCAATGCTCCAATGCTGAATGAATGAGAAAGCCAGCACTCGGTTGAATGACTCTTGCCATCATCATCATCGTCATCATCATCATCCAAATGACAGATCGATCAATATTGGGACTCTTTTTGCTTGCATTCATCAGTCCTTTTTTCTTTTGCTTGAAAAACCACTCGCTGATGGAGACCGAATCCGCTGCTGCTGCTGCTGCTGCTGCTGGTGCTCCAGCGACTGCGCCAAAGCGGCGGTTTGAAGGCGGACAACGCGACGCTTGCAAGTGATGACTTGTTCAGAGTGTTTTGGATCTCGTTTGTCTGTTCATACACGCTTGGGAGAAGAGTGGAAGACGATGCGAGCACTTGTTTGACCAAAGCAGCCAAGCGAGTCGCAGTCGACACGTCCAACGACACGCCAACCATGACGCTATTCAGACAGTTTGCTGCGACCATGGACGCAAAGGTAAAAGCCGAGTCGAATCTCAGCGAAGCGGAAAGGCATCACTCAAAAACCTCAGTCTGATTCACTTGGATTCTCAGAACGATCGCCACGAACGACTCGTCAAGCTGAGCAGAGACCTCACCGTGCAAAGCAAGCGTGTCATATTCGCAGCTCAGCGGTAAACAAACGCAACGCAGCAATAAAATTATTGGAGAGATTCCGCAAAATGACTCGCTGACCAAAGAGGCGTGGATTCAAATTGCACAGCGCAACCGAAGCCAAGCAACGAGACGCGATTGTGGCACAGGCACTGCAGACACTAGAGGATATCCGCCAGAATCAAATCCGGCCAATGGCGGTCGAGTTGGTCGACCAGAATCCCATTCTGCAAGTTTTCGTTCGCTTCGCTTCGCTTCGTTTTGTTTCGTGCTTTTTGTTGGATGAGAGTGATTTGCCCGGCAAGCTGGTGACCTTAACGCTCACTTAGTGCTTACTCGATGCGATCTCGATTCGAGAGCAGATATGCAAGAGCTTACTCGCCTGGCATGCAAGAATACATTGAAGCAGTCTCGTTCGTCCACTACCTAGCCACTGCCACGTTGATTACGCAACGGCAACTTGAAGAACAATTGTTGTTTGATGAGGCTCTTTCTGTGAGTATTGACTTGTGCGTGAGCGTGCGGTTTGTTCGTCTTCGAGTGCTGACTGCTGCTGATATTTTGCTATTTACCGAAAATTCCAGTTCCCTGTCACAATCACCGACTACCTCCTTGGCGTGACGGACTTGACGGGCGAGCTTATGCGCTTTGCGATTGCTAGCGTAGGCTCTGGCAACCAGCAAGAACCGATGCTTATTGGATCCTTCGTGCGAACCTTGACCCAAGGTTGGTCCTCCTCCCCCCCCCCCAAAAAAAAAGCCGTTCTAAGCACGGGTGCTTGCATATCGACTTACTGACTAGTTTTTTGCTCCTTCTAGTGTTTTCTTTGCTCACCGGCACTGGAATCCGGGACTTGCCTGCCAAGCTGCGTGTGATGCAGTCTAGTTTGGAGAAAATCGAGCAAGGTAAGCGCGGGCTCCGGTGAGGGGGGGGGGATTTTGGCTTGCAAAGTGACTTCTGTTTCTAACTCTGCACACGCTCGTTCTGATTCTATTTCAGTGTGCTACAACATTACGGTCCGAGGCTCGGAAATTCCAAAGGAAATGCTGGCCCAAGCGGCTCAATTCTGGTCCTCATCCTCTGCCACGACGTCTGGTCCCGGCGATGACTACGCCGGTGGTGCTGGCGGGAATCAGAACGACGACTGAGACGACGAGGCGAGTCGTTGTTGACATTGAAGCACAAGCTTGTGCTGCTGCGACTGGTTTTCTTTTCATGTGCATCCCGCTCTATTCCTTGCGCACTTTAACAAAGCCCAGTACTTTCCTTGATCAAACAACATGCAACGTACTGTATTTACTGTACAGGACTTTTGGTGCTTGAAATCGAGAACGAGATCCTCTAAGCCTCTTCTACCATTTTCTACATGTACAATGCACTGTTGTGTTACTACTTTTCTTGAATCCATCCCTCTTGTTCTTTGTTCCCCCTTTCACTCTTCATCTTTTTTTTTTTTTTTTCAATGAACCCGCAACCGAGTAGTTCTTCTTCGCAGCAGCAACAGCAGCAGGACTCGGACGGCGTTCTGAACGTACTTCAGTCCTTCCGCTCGAAGGTCAGTTCTTCCCCCTTCGCGCGAGTTTTTGCTCCGTCTGTTAGAGAGAAGTGTTTTGTGTGTGTGTTTGATGCGTGTGGCTGTGGCTGCTGCGCTCGAGCTTCCCAATGGAAACGACGAAGAACGTTTTGTGATGACGCAGCGCCGAGTTGACTTGCCGCTCCGTGCCATCACTGCCACGCTCTTTGTCGATGGGATTGCTTGTCTGATTGTGGATGTGACTTGCTTTGCGTTTCTGTGGTGGCGGTGCGGCTGGCAGGCGGCTCATGCAGTGCTCCAGTCGCGCTTGGCCGAGACGCTCCTGCGCTCCCAGTCCAAGGCGTCGCCCTCTGCTGCTGCTGCCCGCGGCGGATCGCTGGGTGCAAGCTCAAGCACAGCTGTCACAACGCCAGCTGCAGAAAAGCAGCGCAAGGTCTGGGTAGGTCGTCGAGTGCGCATTGCTCTGAGGCGTTTCTGAGATTGTTGGATGCTTGGATACTGAGCACTTGACTCTGTGCTTGCTTGCTTTTTCTGTGGCAAGTTCAACTTGGAGATTGACGAAACAGATGCAGTGCGCGAGGCCGTGCGGCCCTGGCGGAACGACGTTGCCTCACAGTTGTGCGTGGAGGTCTATCTCGATCTGTCGCATGTTGGAACCGACAAGGTAAGCAAGAAGGCGAACAGCTCTTGCTTGTTCTGGACCTTGTCAAAGCTGCAAGTGAATACGTTGTGGCAACTCACAACCTCCTACCGCAAAAATCTCAGGTTGTCATTTTGAACAACAATCGCACCGTCTTTTACAACGCAAACGCGCGTGGGCAGACAAACAAGCGAAAAATCATTTTGGAGCAGTGGACCTTTGCCGTTGATCAGAGTCGAGTGTACGCGCGCGACTTCTGTTCCTGTTTCGTTGTGGGATTTTTCCATTCACTGCTTTTCCCCCCTCCCCACTCCTCTCCCCGCAGATCAAACTCGCAAGCAGCACAGTCGCACGTTGTTATTTACAAGAAACTCATCGTGCTATTACGCTCAATAGTCTGTTACTTGCGCACCATGCCAACAAACACGCTCGCGCGCAAGTGTGCTCGACGACAAATGTCGGCCATGGCAATTGACTTTCAAATCACCAGCTCGCACGTCAACATTCCCGAGAACGATCGAGACGGCCCAATGTCAAACTACCAGTTCCGTTCGATCGATACCAATCGCGGTCGTCTCCTTGTCGATGTTTGCTTTCGCACCCAACTCGAAATCAAAATAGCCGAGTCGGATCGGCTTCTTTCGACGCGACTTGTTGAAAACTACTTTGACATGCCAGGGTATCAGCCGGGATCGACTCCCTTCGATGGTCATCTACAGTCGCAAGGTAAACCTTCTCTGGCATGTTTGATGTTGGAAGGAGAAATGGCATGACTGTTTGATGTTAACTTTTTTTTTGTCGCCCCCTTCAGCGCTGCCAGCTGCCTCCCTGCCAACGCAGATTGGCTCCACGCACGCTGTCGTCGGCGCGCATGCACAGTCATACACACAACCAACGCAACAATCCGGGTTTTCCACGCAGCCGGCGCAGCTGCAGCATCACCAACAACCGCATCCACACCAGCAAGAGCAATCAAAAGCCCCGCTTCACACACACCATCCCCTGCCGCATCAACACTCGGCAGCCCAGCTGTATCACCATCAACCCACTCAATTGGTTCGACAGCCGCATTCTGCGGCAGACCTCACAACGCACCTTTCCAGTGCTCTGGGTGACGGATACCAAAACCTACTGTTTGATCGCATTTCCCCCACTATGTTTGAGGATCGGTACTCTGCCCCCACGACTGACCACGACGATGGCGAGGCGGCGCCGCCACTTTCGTCGTTCCAGTCGCGCAGCACGGCCCCGATCACTGCTGCGGCTGCTGCAGGTGCTGCCGGTGCTGCCGGAGCTGCTGGCATCAGCGAAGCCATGAACATTTCCAATCGAGGATCGCTGCCCAAAAACTACAGCACGGCCATGTTTGGCACGCCGCCGTCCTACTCGGCCCATTACTTCATCTCCAGCCCCCGCTCCTACGAAGCCGCTTCGGCGATGGCGGCTGCCGCGGCCTCTGGGGCGATTCACCAGCAACAGTCTCCTCCGGGCATCGGAGCAAGCACGAGCAGGCGCGCATCGGTCGTGTCGAGCGGCAGCGGAACATGGCTGAGCAGCACTCCTCCGTTCAAGCACGCCAATCCCTTCAAGTCCATGAACCACCAGTCGCCACCCCAGCCGAATCATTCGCAACCTCATCAGCATCATTCCCATCATTTCGAGAGCGGAGACGCTTCGCGCCTCGGCTCGTCGCGTGCTGGCTCTGGCGCCCTCGGCGAGGACACTCCAAGCCACCTTGCAGCCTCGCCGGCGCGTGCAATTCCGATGCCGCGTGGACGTCACCAGTCTGTCGACCCTTCCCTGGATGATCCGCACCATAGTAATGGTTGGGTGAGTGTGTATCGGCTGATGAGAAGGAGGCTGCTCAGGCTTTTTTTTTTTGGCAGAAATCAACGCTCATTTGCTTGTGCTTGATGGTGTGCTCGTCAGCTCCAGTCGAAACGGACATCGGATGTCTCGGATGATGACGATTTGACTGTGTTAATGACTCAACTCCAGTCCGCGGAGGCGCTTCGCGTGTACTCGCGACTGGATGCGTCCACGCAGCACTCAATGGTAAGGCGTTGATTCCCACATCTGCCCAATGTTGTCAAACGGAACATGCGTGCTCATCCAGTTGTGTGCTCGTCACACTGCTTTCAACCCAGTCGGATATGATGGCCAAGTTTTCGGATTTCAAAGCGGCCGCTGCCAATTTTGATTTCCCACCCAACGCCGACCAGACGACCGCTCCCGAGCAACAACCGCCTGGCCAAGGCTGATCAACAGCAATGGCTTTGCACTCGAAGTGAGGAGTGGCTGCTGCTTGTCGGATGTCAAATTATTCTCTTCCCCCAATTATTCCTAACTCAAAAATAAGGCTGATTTTTGTAACCAACGCCGTTAATTAAATGCAGAGCAAAAAGTGAAACAGGCGCAAAGCGAAAGCAAAAACAACAAACCCATCAGACTAAACAACACAAGAAATAAACATCCAAAAGAAATCAAAGAGACCTGCACACACAAAAAGGGGGGAAACGAAACAGCAACTTTAAGAAGAATCTGACAAAAGAGGACTCAACCGCGAGCTCGCCGCTCGTTCTTTGATGGCAAAAGAGAGGGGGGGGGGTGGTCGCCTTCTTGGTGATTACAAGGAGCCCAGGGTTTTACTTTGTCTTCTTGTCCTTCTTCTTGTCCTTGTTGAGGTCAGCCATTGCCGCTCGGATGGCCTCGAGCTCGGTCGAGATGCGCTTGTCTTGCTCCTCAAACTCCTTGAGTTGCTCCTTGACTTGACGCATCTGCTTTTCAAATCGCTGGTTGAGCTCAAGGCCGGCGCGCTGGAGCTCAGTGTCCTTGTCCTTGACGCGGGCAACAAAGGTCTGTCGCATGGCCTCCTCGATGCGCTGCTTCTCTGCCTCGTGCTCGGCGAGCTTCTTGTTGTACGCCTCAGACACGGTCGAGTCGGCATTGCCGCCAAGACCGAGCTTGCTAAAGTTTTGCTGGCGGAAGTGCTCGTAGTGGCCGTGGTGGGTCTTGCCAATCAGGTCGTCCATGTTGGTGCGGATGAGCATCTCGCGCAGCTTGGGGAAGTCCGAGTGCGCCTCGTTCTCGACCTCGACAATGCCCCAGGGGTACTGACGAACGCGAACGCGCTGGCCGCCGAGGTTGGCCTCTGTCCGCGAGCCGACAACGGCAAACGGCACTTCGGCGTTGAGCTTCTCGTTGAGCTTGGCAACATCGTCGCTGTCGTCAGTGGGGAAGCTGTACAGCTTGATGTTGTTGTCGTCAAGCTCGTTCAGGATGCGCTGCTTGTACTCGTCAAGCTCGGATCGGGAAACAGTGTCCGACTTGGCAATGACAAGGATGATGTTGACGCGAGTCGACAGCTCCTTCAGGGCAAGCAGATCGATCGACTTGATCGAGTGGCCGGTCGGGGTGAGCAGGTACAAGCAAGCGTGAATGCGCGTGTCAATCCAGGACTTGAGGTCGCGCGATGGCTTGAACTCTTGCTGGAGGAACTCGTCAAAGCGAGCGTCGACAAAGTCGACGATGGGCTTGATGCTGAAACGCGAGAGAGCGGAGAGAGGAGAGAGAGAGGAATAGGGACGACAATGTGAGAGGGATTTTTGTTTTTGTGCAAAATGAAGGTTTGGGGGGGGCGGTTGCGCCTAAATCGATAAAACAACGGCACTTACCCATCGGCGTTGTTGACCTGGTCGCCGAATCCACGCGAATGGGTCACGCTCAGGCGGAGATCGACACCAGTCTCGTTGAGCTCTGATTGAAGTTTGTCGACAAACACACACACAAAAAAAAAGTTAGTTTGTGGTCCTCCTTTTTCAGCTGCTGGCGAAATGCCTTCCCCACCCCCCTCCTCCTTCTCTCCTACCGTAAGTGTTGCTGGTCAGGGTGACAGCCTTGGCGGGCTGATCAAGCTGATCGTGCTCAAAGTTGGTCTTGAACAGCGAATCGACCAGGGTGTGCTTGCCAATGCCAGACTCGCCTATCGGACAAAGAACAGGCAATGACAAATGAGTGAACTGGATGCTTGCATGCTGACAAGGAGTGCTCCTCGTCGCAAACAAGACGAATGAACCACACAAGAAATTTTAGCCTCCCAAATCTATCATACCGACAACGAGCAGGTTGAAGCCAAAGCCCTGCGACTTGCGGATGTTGACGAGCTGGTTGGGGAGCGAGTCGAAGCCGACATAGCCACCGAGACGCAGATGACGGCCACTCTCGCCCTGCCAAGCACACAGCGACGGACAGAGGACAGAGGATCAGTTGGAAAAAAAAAAAAAAAAAAAAGGTCAGTGCAAAATAACTCAAAAACCAGCGGCACTGGTTTGTTTGTTTCAATCCTGTTCGATCAAGACTACGTACAAGAGACCTGTACTTGTGTGCCATTGTTGTATGGATTTGCCCTGCAAAACCAAAAAACAAAACAAACGAAAGTGTGAGTGTCCAAAGTCAGAGTGACAAAGCAAGAAACCAAAAAAAAAAAAAAAAAAAAAAAAAAAAAAAAGATCGCCAACAATTTTGATTTTTTTTCTTTGTTTGAATTCTAACTGACGAAGAGCAAAAGGTCTGTCGATGACGATGAAGAGTGAAGGGAGGTGGGAAATGCTTGCTTGCTGGATATGGTCGCAACGAATACTGGTGGTGATGACGATGCGAGCGATGGCCAAGCCAAGCGGGTAAAAAAAAGGACGATTGCTGCGGTCAATGTTGAATGCATGAATCCCAATTGAAAAAAAGAAAAAAAAAAGAAAAAAAAAAGGATCTCCACAAAACCCTCTTGCTTGATCTCGTGTGCTCTGTCGCGTTGCTGCATTCCCATCGTGCTGATCATCAGCATTGGGGGGGGGGGGGCGGAGAGACGCGCGTCGGAGGCGGAGCGCTGTGCGCTGGCGTGGGGCAGATCGTCCAACAACAAGCATCACCCAAAAAAAAAAAAAAAAAAGCGGTTGGAATGATTTTTGTTGTTTACACTTTGGAGAAATGGCTCTTGTGTGGATTTGGAATCGGTGGCAAAGCCATTGAGAAAATATGGGAACATATGGAGGAAGAAAAACAGGTTCAGAGATAGCGTACCGGGGGAAAATGGGGGGGGGGGTCCTAGAATGCACGAAATGACAAGACGCAAAGCAAGCCCATGTCGTAGGTTACCTCATTCAAGTCGAGCTGTAAATTCTCAGCGCCTGAATCAAAACCCAGACCCCTCAATACACTGTGTAACGAGTATCACCACTAAGCATGAGACCGTCATCGAGCGTGGCAGGACGCGTGGGAACGAGGACTACAAATCCGATTGGGTCGTTGCATCAGTCGACGTTTTCAATTGTGTTGACATAAGGGCGAAAGTGTTGCGTCCAGAGTCCGAGCCGCTGTCGAACGGCAGAACTGTGTCATCTCAAGTGGCCAACTCACTTTTTGACAAACTAAGATGCGCAGGCCTCGACAAGGTTGCTCTCCAAGAACCAGACGCCGATCAAACTCCCAAGCTCGTCGCATTTGCCGAACAGCTTCGTCGGCATGCCTCCAAACCGGATTCGCTTGATGCTCTGGAAGTGCACCTGTACAGTCAGTGGCTCGACTGCCGCCGCAACCAGATCCACCCAGCCAAGTCATTCAAGTTCGAAGGGTTGCGAGAGTACTGGCTGCAACTTCAGTCCTTTCTCAAAAAGGAAAAGCTCAACTACGCTCGCGCTTGTCGTGCCGCTCGCTCGTTGGACTTTGAGGAAACTGACGAGGTCATTGAAAATGTTGAACTCGACGACGACGACTATGACGACAACAGCGACAACGAGAACGCCGCTTGGGAATGGAATCCGTTTCCGACCAAGCAGCTGATTGACGCGTTTCTCGCCGAGGCGGCCAAGTACACGACCACATATGCCTCCAAGATCAGCCGTGCTTCACAAACAATGTGCGACCTGCTGTCGCTTTTGCAGGGCGTGTTTCGATATGGTCCTGAGCAATTCAAACAGTTTGACAACTTTTTGACGCTCGCGAAATGCCTCATGAGCATGCTCAACTCCAATCCTCGGGTCTCCATTCTCGCCGCAAAGACGCTGGGCTATTGGGTGCTCAACAACAAGCAGTTGAAAAACTGGCTTCTTGCAAATTCTTTGTTTGCACACCTTGATCAAGCAAGTGCTCAAGCATGTGCCCAACCGAAAGTCCCCCTCAACGTGCTGAATGCCCTCGGTCTGGTTCTTCAGAACTGGGCAGTCAAGCAACCTGACGTTCAGAGAGCGTTACTCGGCTCCCTCGTGTTCAGCAAGCTTGCAAGCTTTCTGTTGCATTTTGGAAACGTCTATTTCAAGTCGGGCGATCGACTGGAGCGGCACACCTGCGCTCGCCTCGGTCTCCGCGTGTGCAACATTCTGATCGCCGCTGAGCTGTGCAAGCATCTAAAGCCTGAACGAAAGCTGATGCTTTCCAGAGCCTGTTTCGAAGCACTGACCGATTCACCCTGGGTTACCTTGCGATGCCGCTGTGTCGAGGTGATTTCCGCTCTTGATCCTGACTGCAAAGGTGGCATGCCATCTCTGCGAACCGAAACAGCTCTGCGGTGGGCTTTTGTTGACGCAGGATTCGACACTGAAAAGCGCAAAATGGTTGGTGATTTTCTTGCCAAATGGGACATTGATCCCGGCGGATGTACCTCATTTCTATATGGATGATCCTTGTGAGCTATGATGTGTGCTTTTCGTTTTGGCTGACTGTGTTCTGTGCTTCTTGTGATACGAATTCTTGTTCTTCTTGCATTTTACTTCTTGTTCGACTTGCTTGGCTCTTTGTCCCCTGTGTTGCTGCTCCCAGCTCGGTTTTTTGTGGGTGGGAGGGGGAGGGCAAGCAGACTGGGACCATCCAACCAAGTGCCCTATATGGGCTCACCTACACTGCATGCGTCAAAGACACGCAGTAATGCTCGTGTTGGCTCTCTCTGTCTCTTACTCGCTCTGTACTGCTGCGTTCTGTTCTGTAAGAGTAAGTGAGATCAGCGATCGCGACAAACAGTGGCAACAGTGGCACAGCATCTCAGTCGTTTGCCGAAATGTTTTCACGAACCTCGATGGCTGGCTGTGCCGCATCGCATTGCTTCCCTCGCCTTGTCATCAAAGAGTTACAGACTTGGATGCAACTCTGCTGCGCTTGCGATGCTGCTGCGATATGTCTCGGCAGAGAGCAGGCCGAAAGCCAGTCTTTCAGCAGCCTGCAGTTTCGCGCCATTATTGATGCAAAGCATTTCGTCTGGCACCGAGCGCACGCTCCACCCACTCTCCAACGAGACATCTGCCGAATCATCTGCGGCAGCGCGAGCCGCGCGTCCGTTTGCGCAGAAATGTCGAAATGCCTCGAGTCTTGGCGCTCTGCCGCCTTCTCTGGTTTCGTCCACTCAAGTTGAAACGCGGCCAGAGTTTTGGTATGTATAGTGATGATGTTTGCAACATTGTGGCTCGTCCGGAGTGCAGTTCGAAGAAGAGCTTTGCTCACCTCGTCTGTATTGCATCACCGACTCCCCAGTCTGCACCAGCTCCGCCTCCAGAACTTCAAAAAGTTCGAGGACATAACTCTCACCCTGACGCCCAGCCCCAAGATTATCGTTGGCGCGAACGGCTCGGGCAAGACGCAAATCCTCTGGGCGATTCTCATCTTCCTGCGCGGCCACAACGCTCGTGTCCCCAGCTCCAAGCACTTTTACAGCACAACGTTCAAATTCTCAGGTGAATTGCAAGACCTCTTTGGCGACCCATTCTTCGTCGATCAGTACGAATCGCCAGATACGCTCGTTCGCGTCGGCGCGCCAAACAGGAAATTCAGCCTGACTGGCACGTTTCTTGACCCCACGTACCATCACACCAACGAGCACGTGATGCTGGAGTACTCGCTGGACAAAGGGCTGCTTCAAGACAAACCCGACAACCACCAGTCGCTCGCCCCAATCCGCTTCGCCTTCATGCCATCGATGTATCAGTGGGGAGACAAAAAGCAAGAGCTTGGCAGAGGCGAGATGTTTCTGTCTGCCGGTGTCCAGCATATGCGATGGCGACTTGAGAAGGCTGTGCCGTTTGTCAACGACGCGCTTGGCCACCTGGGATTCCAAGTCAAAGTTGAACTCGAACGCTCGGGTTCTGAGTTCAAGCGTTCCTCTGTCACCGAGAATGGAGTCACCCTTGACATTGGTGCCTGCGCCGGCTCGCTGCAGAAGATTATTGCCATTCTGACGCTTCTCTACCATCTGACGGAAGCCGCAACCATCAACGCTGCGCAAGACGACGCGCGCGGAAAGAACATTGAGCACGACTCGAACACCTTCAAGCAGCGCATCTTCCTCATCGACGAGCTCGAATCACTGCTCTACGAGAATGTGACGGCCAAGCTGTATGACTTCCTCGTCAGCACGTGCGCCCAGCACAACATTCAGCTCATTGTCGCGACCAACTCGCGCGCCATCATTGAGCCGCGGCTGGACACCAAGCTTGAGGTTTTGTACCTCACTCCGGATGGCAAGGCCGTCGAGATCAACGACGAGCTGCCCAACGACGAGCAGAACCAGCAGTCCCTCTTCCCAGTCCTCAACGCACTCAGCCAGGTCAAGAACAACGACACGCCTCTGCTCGTGCTCGAGGGCGCGAACGACCAAGCGTTCTACAGCAAGTACACCAAGCTCAACGACAGCTTTCAGTTCATGACCACAGCTGGTGCTGTCAAGAAGGAAGGCATCTCCCACATCCTGAGGCAAGCCAAACTCCAACACGTTTTTCTGAGGGACAGCGACATGTACGCCGCCTCGTCCGACCTGGCTGACGCTCAGAAGCGGATGACGAAACAGATTGGCTCCTCTGTCGTCTACACGCAACTGCCGTGCGTCGAGTCGTACCTGATCTTGAGTGAAATGCTCAATCATGCCGAGCAGGCATATAAAGGGCGTCACAGGGCCCTCGCCGTGCTTCTCGAGCACAAGCTGTACTTTGTAAACTCATTCAAGAGCATGCTCAAGGAGGTGGGTCCGGAGCCTTCGACAAAGCCGATCAAAGCAGAGCAGAAGCAGCGAACAAAGGAAGAGATCAGTGGCATGACCTTTGAAGAGCTCAACGCGCTTTCCAGCGACGAGTTTGGCCAGTTTACCAAGCAAGAAAAGGACGAGCTGTTCCGGAAGGCAGGCCAGGCTTCGAGTGTTGCCAGTGCCTCCACTTCTGCAACAGACCGACTTTTCCCGAAGCTTCCTTTGAACGCCAACCCGAACGATCCGGAGGCAGTTTGGACTGCACTGTATCACAAGCAGTGCGACGATGCCTCGTCAGGCTCATTCGATCCTGTTGGCTTTTGGACCACGTACGTCAAGATGGCGCATGGCAAGGAGGCAATGGTGCGTGGACCTGACGGAAAGCCGATGAGCACCGACGCGATGATTCGCAAGACGGAGTGTCTCCACCCCAAAGTCCAAGCCCTGCTCGACCAAACTGTGCAGGCTGTTCTGCACTGCCTCCCAATGGCTGACCATGAGTGAATGTTTGGTACTGCCTCGTTGCTTTGACTGTCAATGTCACCCCTTCCTGTTTTCCAACCAATTGTACAATGTCAACGTAGTTCATGACACGTTCGCAGTTCCTCCCAAGATATCGATTGCCAATGCAAATTCAATCGAAAAGCACGGCAACGACGAATCGAAGCGACTTTTAATCTTCTGTTTTATTGAGTGACGGCTAATCGCGGAACCGAGCCTCGCCTTGCGGCACATCCAAAACCCACAGCTCGAGGTCTAGAATCTCGAACGCTTCTGTGGCGGCGAGCGGCTCGTTGTCAAAGGTCGGGCATCGGACGGAGGTGCCTTTGGTGAGCGTCTCGTCCACCCACAGGCCAAACTTGCCATCGCCGGCGCCCATGATGAACGCGTCGTGCGGCAACTGGCCCGACTGGAAGTGATTGTTGATGGACGACTGCGTCCAGTCGTACACGGCGAACTTTGGCGAGTACTTGAAGAGCAGACACTCGCCCGTGCCGTAGAAGGCGCCGTGCTGCGAGCTCTCGAGGCTCCATGTGTGCGTTGCAAAGCAGCCAAACACTGTGTTTGCCTTGTCGCGGATGAAGCAGAGGGACGGTCCGGGGTACTTTGATGCTGCGCGGTGCATCGAGTGGCTCGACGTCCCATCGCGCTTGGTCGAGTACCGCATATGCCAGTTCCACCCCTGCGCATGTGCAGGCAAGTACGGCGCCAACTGCGTTCGTTTTGTTTTGTTGTTGTTGTTTTCCACAATGTTCAATCGCAACAAGAACAGTCAATAAGACAACAACAACAGCCCGTGCGAGTGTGAGACCAGGCGTGTGCTGTTCAACGCGTTCAAAGTGATGACCAGTTCCCCTCTCATCTCTCTGCTCTGGTGCTGATGTGTGTTGGGACAGAGCGGGATTGGATCAACTTGGTACGGATCAAGCAACAACACTGCTTTGTCGTTGTGCACTTCATTGGTGAGCCTTCCACTTGTCACTTGTGCAAAATGGTGGGAAAACGCGCGGCTCAGAGTTTGATTTTCCCATGCTTGTCGTGAACCAGTCCAAGTTGAGTTTTGAGTTGCAAGCAAACGCAGCGAAACGACGATCAAACACGAACAAGAAGAGTGAAGAAGTGCAAGCGTGATGACGATACGAGCGTGTGAGAGCGATCTCGGGAGGGGGAAAACTGTGCTGAGTGTGAGGAGGGAGCGAGATTGGTCACCATCTGGACGGCGCGCTTGTCCACCAGCGTCGAGTGCTCGCCGTTCAGCAGCTGGATGTCGTCCCAGATGTTGGAGCGCGCAGCAGGGCGAGCGGATTCTTGTTGCGAGGTGGATGATGCAGACTTGCTCGACTTGAACTTCATTGTGATTGTGATGCGAAAAAGAAAGACTGAGACTGACAAAAAATCTGACGGATTGGATTCACTTGTGAGTGTGTTGTGAGTTGTTTGCAATAGTAGAAATAAGCGCAATCAGGTGGGTGCGCAACCAATGTAGAAGAAAATTCAATGGCAGATTTGAGCCTTTTTGTACTTGTTCCAACACGAAACACACCAAAACACACACAAAACAGGTCATAGCTTGGGTGTGGTAGAACTGGCGGTTGGCAGATCACCGACAGACGCACTGGGTGACGCCTCCGACGACGACGCAGTGCTGCCGTTGCTCGAAGATTGGGCAGCAGCGCGCTTGCCCGAAGGCGGGCGACCAGTGACTGGCGCTGGCGGGACCGGCGGGACAACGCCTGTGACTTTTGCAATAAAATCTAGATACACACCGCGCATCGACGCTTGCGAGGGTAGAAAGTGGCCGCCAACATGGACATGGACGACCGAGTTGTCAAACAAATCTGCCAAACGCTTCGAGTTGTGCGGTGCGATAATGCCATCCGACTCGCCATACACGTGCAACGATGGAATGTGAATCTGCTTTTCGTAAAAGTGCTGATAGGTTCTGTCGGCGATACACACACATAAAGGGCGCATTGAGCACAAAATGAACGCAATAACGGAACGGCCGCGACTCCAGCCAACGAAAATCTTACGGATCCTTCACTGGAAATCCAGCAAACATCATTGCAAATCGGAATCGAGGTGTTGCGGCTCCTTGGGCAGCTTGCTCTGCTCCCGCGGCGGCCGAGGCCTGGGAGCACAAAACCGCAGTCATGGCGGCGCCTTGCGAGAAGCCGAGGATGCCGTCGAAGGGACCCTCGCGCTGGCAGTGAGCTTGGACGTAGGCAATGCTCTCGTCAAACCCCCGGAAGGTCGTCCGGTGGGGCAGGTCGGGAATCCACCACGCGAGTGACTGGCCGTCGTCCTCGACCGGGAAGCGGTCTTCGTCGGCAGGCCGAAGCTTGTGCGGCGCGTCCAGGTAGAAGAGCTCGGCAACGCCCTTGAGAGCCTTGCGCAGCGAGCCCGTGCGCTCCCGGAAGACGGTTGCGTTCTGAGTGTAGCCGTGCAGACAGAGGATTCGGAGTGGGGCACCTGTCATTCTCAGAAAAAACAAATGGGTTTTTGAGACTGAGCGAGAGGCGTCGATATGCGTGAATTGGTGTGATTGTGATACTTTGCAAACGTGGACGAAAGGTCTTGCCTCCAAGTCGACTGTTTTGGAATCATCGAAAACCAGTGTGTTCCGGATTGCTGAGCTAGATCTACAGTACGACTCAAGCACCAGACCCAGACAGACAGACAGTTGCGAAAGATGAAATTTTGCTTTAATTAACCAAAACATACCACAAAAGTAGAAACACGCACATACACACACACACACACCAAACGGCACACAAACAACTCAAACCAAAAAGAACGTAAAAATGAGATCAAGCAAACGCGGCAATGCCCTGGGAAGGGTCAAAAGGGCTCAATCAATAAACTCGTAGCCCTCCACCGACGCTTGGCCATCTCAATCCTTATGGGCACAGAGTGGCGAGATCGTTTGCGGGAATGCTGGAGCAGCCGGTCGCTGCGGCCGCATCCACCCAGTAGGTCATCAACCGAGTGCTGCCTGCAACAGTGGTGGTGCACGAGCATTGTGAAAGCACCTTGGGGATGGTCGAGCCAGTGTAAAAGACAACCTGGTTGGTCGAGATGGGCTGGTGGCTAAACGTCGAGGCGAGCTGGTTGAGCGTGGTTGGGGTGGTGAGGGACAGCGCGGCGCCCGCAGCAACGTCAATGGTGCCCACAGCCGAGGCACGGAGAGTAGTGGTCGAGACAATGCCGGTGGTAATGAAAGGGCGAGTCAGGGTGAGGGGAACAGTGACGGTGACGCTGTTGGCACCAATGGCAAGCGGGGTGCTGGCAGGGAAGCTGACGCCAAAGACACCAGTGTTGGAGGACATGGCAAAGCGCGCATCGCGGCCGGTGGTGGCAACAAAGTCGCGCCCGCAGGTCGTGTCAATGTCGACGGCAGATTCAATGTCGAGCGAGGCGCCAGAGTACGTTTTCAACGCGTTGCCGTTGATTGTGCCACCAACCCACAGGGCGTTGTCGACGAGCAGGCCAGCATCCGAAAAGTCCGTGCCGTCCATGCCGCCGCTGGAAAAGTTGAGCTCGCGCATAATCCACGCCGTCAGCGCAATGTTGACAATGGCAATGACCGTGATGGAGATGACCAGCAGCCAGATCAGGAACTTTTTCCAGCCGTAGATGCCCGACGACGCGCGCTTCTGGTAGTACGACTCTGCAGGTTGGAGCGGGCTGCCAAAGTCGTCCAGCGTGTTATTGTATGCCATGAGTGTTGAGCAAGCTTTTTTTGAAAACCTGTCAAAGTCCAAATTAAGACAATCACCAAAAAAAAAAAAAAAGAATTGCACAAAGGTGAGAATTTTTTTTTTTTTTTTTTTTTTTTTAAAGGAATACGATTGCGATCGAAGGAACAGGAGGGGAGGAGGATGCAGAGACAGAGAGAGAGAGGTGATGGAATGGAAGGGTCTTGTGTGTCTGGTGCAAAAGCGGCGAGATGCACTCAACAGGAGATCGAACAGGAGACGGAAATCCAAGCCGAAGCAAGACGGTGGGCGCGATGGATGAGGTTTTTTTTTTTTTTTTGATTGAATGCATTTTTTTTTTTTTTTTTTTTTTGGTGTGTGTGAATGGAGGAATCGTTGCTGGCATCGACGGTTGCTCACTCGGTCAGTGGAGAGCGCGACAGAGCCCAGGCGGCGGTGGGATGGTGGCTGCTGAGATCAGAGGGACGATGAGGAGAGAAGAGAAAATCAAAGAACCGTTTTTTTGATGAGTTTGACAAGCATGGGGTTTGCTCAAGCAGCAGATCGACGAGGGTAGAATGCAGCCCGTGCTGTGAATGAAGTCGTCTTTGGTAAGATTGTAGACGAGGAGATGGGGGGGGGAGGAGGGCAGTGGAGGATGGGACGATTGGGAGATGCAGGCGAAAATCAAAAGCTCGAAACACATACAAGGAAGACTGACTTGCCTTGCTTCGACGGAATTCAGCTCAGTCTGTCCATTGGAGTGATGCGAATGGACGGAGGAAAGTGCAGCTATTGAGCACAACCAAAGGGGAGGAGGTGGAGGTGGAGGTGGAGGTGGAGGTGGAAGAGGTGGAGAGGGGGAAAAACAAAGAGCGCCAAAATGGAGAGATTCGCTGTTGGTTTTGATTGCGGTTGTGATGATGATGCTTGCGGTCTCATCGGCACAGCTCCAAACCGCCCGGTGATCGGTTCTGTATGGCGGTCGCTTTCTAAGAGTCATAGAGCCAAGTGAAAGCGAAACCAGGACGGCGCTGAATTTCGGTTTGACATGTCTCCTTGAACAATTGAATCGCATGAGCCTTCTAGCGTTCACCCTCTCAACCCTCATGAGACAGTGCTGGTGCAGAACAGCCTGGCCAGGGGAGGGGGAGGGACAAGCTAAAGTTCCATGGCTCAACCATTGACTTTTTGATTTTGGTCGACCAACTTGAACGCGCCAACGTCGCGCAATTGGTAGCCCTGAGCACTTTAGCCTGTACCGTACACATCTGGGACGTTGCAATGGCACCCCGGCAAATAATCCTGCAGATTAAATCTTCAGGCATTCGCAACAGAGTCTGGCCTCGAGGACATTCAGAAACAGGAGGATTCGAGCTGTATGTAGCTGCGTCAACGCTCAACGACGACGAATCCCAAGTACCGCGCCGTGTCAGGAACCGACAGAAGCTCGGTGGGGGTTGGCCAGTGTAATGTGAGACCAAAGTGTATCGGGGCAATCACTTTGCAGACTTGCATACGACCAAAAGCAAAACAAACAAGATAAACAGCAACAACAATCAATCAACAGCGCCTTCCAGCAGTGTTGTGCGCTTGGGCCATAGAACGATGATACAGGAGTAGCTAGGTTCGGTCCTGACACGCTGATGGTACATCGTGCAGGCTTTCTTCTGGCTTTGGAACGGCGAAGGGTGCATGATGTTGCCAATTTGGGTTTTGCGCGTCGCCAAGCGACCCATAGCATCGAGATAACAGCCGACTGCGCTGTGACGAATGCTGGGCTTAGTCACATTCTTCTCAAGTGCGCCTTGTCGAGACGGAGAAGCCGCTCGCTCGCTGCGATGCTCTTACAGTAAAAAACACAATGACTCACCTCTTTTTCTTTTTTGCTAGTTTCCATGATGGATTTGGGGGTGGGGGGATTTTCTATTTTCCGCTTTGCGTTCAAGAATTCGACTCGTGTGACACACTACCAATTCCGAAATACGCGGAATGCAATTCGCGGGGCTGCTGCTTTGGTGATTGAGCTGTTTGTTTTTCGCTAGAACGAGATTAGCACACAACCCAGCTCTGTCACCCTTCGTCCGCTCGACCCCCCTCTCGCCATTTTTGTTTCCCCAACGACTGCAAACTCCGCTCGCATTTGTTTCTATTCAGGGCGGCATGGTCATGCATGCCATGCCGCCGTCTGAACCCGTAAACCCGTTTCAATCGCTTTGTGAGCGAACGCAGCCGATTGGTCGATCCCCTTTTTTTCGTTTCCTTCTTTTTTCGGTTTTTCGGTTTTTTTTTTTGTTGTATTTTTATATTTTATGTTTGTATTGTTATTTTTAACAAGCGATCCTGCCCAGTGTCGTTCGACGCCACGCACCAGCAGAAGAGCCAAGCAAGCGAGAGGGAGAGAGGGACAGAGAAAGACAAAGAGGCAAAGGAGGCGAGCCGGGGGGACATGGAGTTCTTTTTTATGTTGGCCAATCGTGGGACATTTTCAAGACGTATGGTATCGATCATCGGCCGATAGCTCTCTTCCTCTCCTTCCTCTTCCTCCTCCTCCTTGTTCGATGCATCATGCAGCTCCATCCTTTGTCCACATTTTTTCGATCTCTCCTTCCGTCCTTGCCCCTTCGCTTGTGCCACCCCGCGCTTTCAACTTTTGCGTTTTCAACCCCGCGATTCGGCTCCATTTGGGCTTGCTCACTCCTTGTTTCAATTTCATTTTCATTTCCCCGCCTTCTTTGGCCACCCCACGTTTTCCCGCAACTTCCCTCTCTCTCTCTCTCCCTCAACACCGACACTGTGCGCCACTTGCAACGACTCAACTCGCACACTTTGACCGCAGCCTCAGCAGAACAGCTCAACAAACACCACCCCCTTTTCCACCCCAAACCCCGCATTTCAAACCTCAACGCACATTCTACAAACACAATGAGCCAGCAGCAGCACAATCACACCATGGCCGCGTTCGGCGAGACGCTCGTTCTCGAGTCGTACAATGCATTCTGCGAGCACGATGCCGACGACGACGGTAGCATGGTGATGATGATGGACACGTCGTCGGCTTCATCGTCGGCTGCGTCGTCGTCCGCGTCGTCGCTGACAGCATCGCCCTTCTCATCGGACGAGGACATTCACTGCTCGGTCGCCGCAACCCAGGCGCGTTTGCTCGGTGTCGCCGCCCTCGCTGCCGTCGCATCACCATCACCATCATCATCTGCATCAGCAGCAGCAGCAGCAGCAGCATCGGGCAGCATCGGATCGGTGAGTGGTCATCAAATCGTGCACACGCCGATGCGTCATCCCCCAAACTCCTTTTCCCTTCCACATTGAAAATCTGTTCCTCTCCGCTCTTCTCATGAGCTCCATGTTCTCCATCTTTATCGTTCTAGTGCTCTTGTCCATATAATGCCCCGCTGCGTTTTCTCAGAAATGCAATAGCGAGAGGGTAAAAGTCGGCCGATATTTTCAATTGTTTCATGATTTTTTTTTTTTTTTTTTTGTTATCTCTCCCCCTTCCTCCCTCCCCTTCCCCTGCTGACCTCGCGCTTTCGTTTCCGATCATGCATTTTCTGTTTTCGCGCTTCTCTTATCGCTTCTGCCTCGTACAATGAGCAAATGGTTACCCCTGTCACTTTTGCACAAAAAAAAAAAAAAAAAAAAAAAAAAAAAAGACCTTGGATCATGCGAATAATCTGCATCTGCGCAATCGTCGCACGCTGCGTCGCTTTTTTGATCACATTCCGCGCCCCTGTGGTTCACTGTCTGCCATGCTGCTCGTTTCCCCCATACATGGACGAGTGTCATGGCTCTAGCAAGAGAGTGCGAAGAGTGCGAAGAGTGCGACAGAGGACCAGCGCCAAGACAGAGCGAAAACACAACAACGAGGGTGTGAAGTGAACGTGTGCGAGCGTTCTCCTCATCATTGAAACAAAAAAACGTTGTGGTGCTTGCGTTCGTTCGTTCCTCCTTTCACCACGCTACCTCCACCTTTCCTTTTCTTTCTCGTTTTCTTTCTCTTTGTCTCTTTATCTCGTTGAACAACCCCTTCCTCGCTGCGCGGTCAAGTGGCGGCTGCCGTCTCGCTTCGCTCGCTCCCTCACGTTTTTCCACATGGCGTTCACCTCGCTTTGTTCAATATCGTCCATTTCTTCCATTTGCCCTGCTTTTCTCTCTCTCTCTCTTCTCTTTATTTTTCCACTGTTCCATTGAATGCGTTTTTTTGTTTCGTATCAATTAATTTATCAAAAAAGTTTTGACCGAATTCGGGAGCATTTGCACGGCACTCACTCGTCCTTTTGGAAACAAACAAACAAACGCAAAACTCAGACCTTGTCCTCCTCTGCACCCATGGCCGCTGCCTCAATGACGGACGCGTACCGCCGCGTTACCCCTCCTTCCTACGACACACTCGCCGCGTACACCCAACAGCAGCAGCAACATCAGCAGCAGCAGCAGCACGACTTGTTGGACAGCAGCAGCGACGAGGACGACGCCATCCTTAGCAACACGGCAACTGGCACTGCCACCTCTTCCTTTTCCTCCTCCTCCTCCACCACTGTTTCGTCTTCCTCCTCGCCCTCCTCCTCCTCCTCATCAGCATCAGCATCAGCATCGCTCAGCCAACAACACCAGCAGTTCATCCACCTCAGCATCGAGGACGACGAAGACCTCGCCGAAGAGGCACTCCTCGACGAGGAGGAGGAGGAAGAGGCGGAGGAATTCGCAACACCACAAGACCAGGACGTTATTGCCGCAGGGTCCTCGCGCCTGCACGAGCTCCTGCGCCTCGCCGCCGCCCAGAAGCAGCAGCTCACCGACTCATCCGACTCTGACGAGGACGACGCGCTGGACGACTTTGAGCACGAGTGGGAGGAGGAGCTGCGTTCCAACCTGGCCGCGAGCACTGCTTACGATCTCGACGGCGATTCGTCCGCTGCCGCCGACCAGCAACCACCACGCAAACGCACCCTGACCTTCGCCACCCACACGCGCGTCGCCTTCACCCACTCCCGCGACACCTACGACCGGACGTGCTGCTACCGTCTGCCCCAGACCATGGAGGAGCTTGCCGCCATTAATGAGGAGATTTTCATGTAAGCAGTGGATTGCTCGTGCCCAGCTGTTACTTTTTTTTTTTCTGCTCCCCGCTCCTTAGCTCTCATCCCTCCTCCCCCCTCCTCCTCCTGCTCCCCCTACTACTTTATGTCGCAGTTGTACTAGCAGCAGGAGGGAGAGCGAGGGTGTTGGTGCAGGGCAACGCGATCCATTTATCGATCGCCTTTTTTTTTAATCGTTTTTTTTTTTGTGGCGTGGCTCAAATCTGACATTGCGCGTGCATGATCTTTTGACGCTATTTTTGACTCTTGCTCGTTCTCTCTGGCTGATGTTGGCTGTGGAGGGGGGGGGGGTGATTGCAACCATCACTGCAGTGCAATGAGAGTGGAGCTTGAGATCAACAGCTGACTCCTACCGCATGGCAAACACCAAAAAGTGGCAGTGTGCGTGTGGGGAGAGGCAAGGTGTGGGGCTGCTTATTTGATTGATTTGATTTTTTTTTTTTTTTTTGTGATTTGTTGCTGACCATTTTTCCCCCCTTTTTGCTGCTGCTTGCTTGCTTGCTTCCGAAATGTCCCAAACAGGCTCAAGTGGCATGAAATGTTTGTCCACCCCGAAAGCCTGGGCAACAACACTTACCACGTCTAAACAAGCAACCCGCGCCGAAAAAGTGCGAATAGACCGCAAGCGAGATCCTTTGTGGCCGCCACCTTTTCCTCCTCGGATACAGTCCATATTGCCATACCGCGCCCTCGCTCATTTGGTATTTCCGAGGACGGTGCCGCGGCGCGCCATATCTGGTCAAGCGACACCTTGTTTCATTTTTTAATTGTTTGTTTCGTTTTTTTTTTTGGGTCTCGACCCGTTTGTTCTCTCTCTCTCCTACTTGCTTTCTTTGTTAACTCTTCTTCCTTCGGGTCGCTTCTTTCGTTAACTCTCCCCTCAGTTTTTTTTTGCTGTGTTGAATCGACGAGGCCTACACCTCTCCTTTGGATGCGTAGGACCCTCTTTTGTTGATTTCAACACTCGGCTGGAATTTTGCCAGTTTTGTCGCACTTTATTCTTTTTGTCACCCTCTGCCGTTTGTTGACAACTAATGGTTCAACACTCTTAGGGTCTGTGTTTTTGTTTGCGTAATCTTATTGTCTGTACTTTATTTGCCTTTGTCACTGGCTGTTGGAATCATGGTTGTTGTACAATCTCCCCCCCCCTTTGCCCTTTTTCCTGCTGCTGTTGCTTCAATATATCCGAAATTTCGAAATGACCTTGCTTGTTCCAAATGTGATCATGTTGTCGAGGTGCGAACGAGCGAACGAGCGAGCGATGGCGACGCGAGCCGTAAAGCGTGCCAACACTTGAATTCGAACATCACCAACACAACAAAACCCCTCGCTGTGTCAAGCTGCTTTTGGCACAAGCGAAATTAACATGTGTTTTCATTTGTCAAACGACAGCAAGCCGCAAGAAACAAAAAACAAAACCCTGAAACGAAAACAAGTCGAGTTCGCCAAAACAAAAACAAAAAAAAAAGCGCGAACAACTAACAAACGCAGCTACAACACCCAAAATTGATAAACAAAAAAAAAACGAATGTGCACAGGAGTTATCGCCACCTCGCTCACATCATCTACTCAAGTAGACGCGGGTGACAATCACGACTCTAATGGCTGTGCTACAGCGGAAGCGGGAACAGACCCGCTTTGAACAGCCACGCTGAGGAGTTCGCGCAGACCGTCGTTTTCCGTTTCGAGCTCGACAATTCTTGCCTGCGTCTCCATGCTCTCCTGCTCCTCGCTCTCGATGGCGAGAGAGATAATCTTGCGCATCTCCTCCAGCTTGAGCCGCAGCCGAACGTTCTCGTTGCGCAGCTGCTCGTTTTCCTGGGTTTCGCGGTCGAGTCGGCGTTGGACGCCCTCCTGCTCGAGCTTGAGCGTGCTGCGCAAAGTGGTCAGATTCTCGCGGTTTTTCGTCATGATGAGGTCCAGGCTACATTGGAACTCGTCGAACGCTTCGCGCAGCTCGTGGTTTTCCGTCTGCAAGTGGATGAGCCATTCTGCAAACAACAAAGGTGAGCGCGCAGCCTTCCACTACGACCAGCACGCGGGTTTGTTTTGTGCTTGTATTGCCAGCAACACCCCGCCCCTACTCCTGCAAAAAAGAAACACGAGACACGTACGATCCCTTTCCCGTTCTGCGAGCTGGAGCGAAGGGGTCGTGCCGGCGAGCGACTTTTCCACCGTGTCCACCACCTCGTCAATCGACTTGCGGCCCACGGCCGTATTGAGTTCCGACCGAGCCGCTCGGATTTGCCTGCGGTTGGGCGCAGACAGGCGGTCTTTGGCGGCTTCGGCGCGCTGAATCAGCGAGACGATGGCATGGTCTGCAGCCGCGAGTGCGCGGTTCAGCCGCTCGGCCTGTTTGTCGACATGAATAGCAAAAGCAGGGCACACACAAAACACACGGCAGGCAGTGTTCGGGACCAATACGCAGCATCATGAAGTGAGTTCAAATGCATCGGAGCGAGAATCAAGGCTCTCTCTCCCCCTGCTTAAAGACGCCGCTCTCTCTCTCTCTCTGGCCGCATTGCACCAAGCATTATGTTGGTGATTCCGACTGTCGTGAGCTGAGTGGCGCGCGGCGCTCTGCTCAGTTCGCAGCCCAACACCAAACAAAAACATTGGCAAGTTTGAAAAAAAAAAAAAAGAAAAAAGAAAGCCGTTGTTTTTCAATGCTTTTCCATTGAGTTTCAAGATCAGCTCTCGCACACAGAGCGGATGCTGGTCGTCCCCAGTAATGCACGGCCAAACATCGAGAAGAAAACCCGACCTCTGCGGTGGCTTCGGTCAAGCCTCGGCCTTTCGTTGTATCGACGCCCATTCAAACTACAGAAAAAAAAAAAAGATTGAATCGCCGCTCAGACAAACCAACTACGTTAGAACGAGATCGAGAATTAACGCACGATGAGTATTGGGAATTAACGCACGATGAGTATTGGCAAACAGAAACAACAAAAGGCACAAAAGAAAACGAGGACGCAGTATATCGCAACAAAAAAGGCACACCATCAACAACAACTTTTATGCATCCGCAGAATCCTCAACACCATCGTCCTCCGGGTACTGGGTCAGATCAAGCGTCATAACGCGGGAGGTTTCATCCTGCTTGTCCATGTAGATGCCAACCAGACAATCGGCGCGGTTGTAGAACGCCTCCTTGTGCGTAATTAGAATGCACTGGAAGCTGTCGAGGTGGGACGCGTGCGATGCCTGCGCGGCTGTCGGCTTTGTTCGCTGCTGGACAAATCGCGCGACTTGGTACACGTTCGAGTTGTCCAACGCGGCATCAATCTCGTCCAGGACGAAGAACGGCGAGGGTCGGAAGCTGTGCATGGCGAACAGCAGCGCAACCGCCGCGACAGTCTTCTCGCCACCAGACAGCTGGCTCATGTCGCGGAAGGGCTTCATGGGCGCCATGGTGTTGTACTTGATGCCATGCAGGTATGGCTCCTAGCAGATCGGTTGCAGAGTCAAGCGTGAGTGCCACGATTTGGGACCAACAAAAGCACGACCAACAAAACGAAAAGTGATGATCATTTTCGAATGGGGTACCTCAGCACTCTCCAAGCTCAAGTAGGCAGTGCCACCGAGAGGATGTGACTTGCTCAGTGTGAGTTCCTTGTAAATGGCATCAATCGTGTTGGAGATGTGCGTAAACGCGGCGTTGAAGAGCTCGTAGCTGTTCCAACAGCAAAAGCAACGCGCGTCAGACTGCAGCCATTAGACTACTCGAGCGCCTACTCGCTGCACTTACCGTTTCTGCTTGACAGAGTTGAACTTTTCGCTAATTTGGAGTGCAGACTCGCGCGCCTTCAAGAACTCGCCTTCCACGTCTTTGAGACGGCCTCGGACACCCTCAAGGCTGTCGAGCAAAGCAAATGGGGGATGCACAGACACATGAGCAAAACTCAACCGTGAAACTCGCAGCCAATCCCAATCTGTCTCACGTACCGATCGACCGCCTTCATGTTGGGCGCAGCAATGCGCTCAATCTCAACAGTCAGCGCCTTGTACTTTTCCTCAAACTCGGCGTTGGTCTGCTCATATTGCGAGGCGGGAGTCTGGAGCAGAGAGGGCAAAGAACGAACACTCCGTCAACAACAACAAAAACAACAACAACAACAACAAAAAAAAAACTAAACAAAAACGTCCAAACTCTCGTCCAACAACTCACCTGACGCAGCGTCCGCGGGAGGGCCGCAAAGTTCAGCTCAAAGCTGGCCTCTTGACGAATGGCAGCGCGGGTGGTTTGGCTTTGCGAGCCTGCCGAAGTGTCCATGGGAATGGCAGTCTCTTCCGCAGCGTCGTCTTCCACACGAGCGCGCTTCCCGCGCTTGGAGCCTCGTGCACCGGCCGTCGTTGCTTGCGCTTCTTCGTCGTCATCGTCGTCTGCTTGACGGGTACGCTTGCCACTTGGCGAATCGGCACGGTCCTCTGCTGCTGCTGTTGCTGCTGCTGCTGCGGCAGCACGGCCTCGCGCGCCCGACAACATGACCTCGTCAATCGATCCACGCACAAACGGAATCTCGATATTCTCGAGCTTGCACGTTGAGAAGAGCGAGTGGCGCTTGTCTGCGAGCTGCTCCAGTTGCGCCTCGATACCGGCGATGGTCTTGCTGACATTTCCTTGCTCGGCAAGCGCTGCTGCATGCAGCTTTTTGAAGTGCTTGATTTCCGTGTCAAACTCGTCGGCGCGCGCCTTGGTCTGCTTGTGGGACGCGCGCAGCTGGTCGAGCTCTTGCTTGTCCTTGTCGACCGTGACCTTTTGCTGCTCTGCCTTGTCCTCCAGCACCTTCAAGGCCTTTTCAGTGTCGGAAATGAGCGTCTTGAGGTGCTTGACGCCAGACTCGGTGTCGCGAGACCGCTCGTACTCGAGCTGGTTGCGCAGCCGGGACTGCAAGTTGCCAAACTCGACGCGGCGCTTGGCCCGCTCTTGGGCGACACGGAGCTGCTTTTCCTCGTACTCGCGAATGTTGGCCACGCCAATGGTCTTGCAAAAGTCGGCAAACACGGCATCCTCCTTTTGGTGGAGCTGCGAGCGCAGCGTTTCAAGCTCGGAGGTGCGCTCGGCAATCGCGTCCGACTTTCGCTTAATCTCGGGGCGGAGCTTGTCTGCCTCGCGGAGGAGCGTTTGCAAGTCCTTTTCGGCGGCAAGGACCTTCTCGCGGTTGACCTGTGCCTCGCTCTTGAGGTACTTGTTGCGCGTCTCCATGCCGTTGAGCTGGGCGCGCAGGTTTTCGAGGTCTGCAGCCTTGCGGCGCTTGCGAGAGAGCTCGGTGAGCTCGGTGGTGAGGTTGTCGCGCTCGCGCTTGAGCTTTTCGACCTCCTGCTGGTCCCAGCGGTTGGCACGGCCGTCGATGCCGCCCAGGCCGCCCGTGATGAGGCCGCTCTTGTGGATGCACGTTCCGTCCAGCGTGACAATCTTGAGTCGCTGGTTTTTGCCAAACGTCGTTTCCCGGGCCTCTTGCAGCGTGTCGCACACGACAGCGTTGCCGCACGCAAACTGCAAGGCGCGACGGACGGACGGCTCGCACTGAATCACGTCGAGCAGAAGGCGGCACGACCCGCCCAAGGCGCGGAGCTGCTCGTCGGTTGGCTTGACGCTGATGCCGTCGAGCGGCAAAAAGGTCATCATGCCAATGTGCTGCTCCTTCATGTACTTGATGCACTCGAGCGCGGTCTTTGTGGTGTCGACGACAATCGAGTCCATGTTGCGGCCGAGGATGACCGTCACGGCAATGTTGTAGCGGCGGTGCGTGGGCTTGCTCAGGTCAAACACACGGCCAATCACGCCGGGGAAGTGACGCTTCATGTCTTCCAGCGCCTGGTTCATCTTGCGATCGCGCTCCGTCTCGCGCTTGTCCGCCTTGGCCTCGCGCAGCGTCAACTGCGTTCCTTCCAGCTTGGCAGTGACTTCGACGTGACGACTTTCCGCGGCACTCAGCTCGTGCTGCAACTTGCTGTAGTCGGCACTGACAGAGCCAATATCGTTCAGGTGGGTGCCGAGCGCGCGTTCAAGCTTGTCCTGACGGTCTTGCAGAGCAATGCGCTGGTCCTCGACCTGCTTCCGGCGACCGTCCACCTCCCGCAGCTGCTCCTGGGCACGCTCGAGAGCCTCGCGGTCGGTCTTTTGTGCTCGCTCGAGCGTGTCGAGTTGCTGGCGCACGGTTGTGGCAACTCGCGACACATCCTCGCGCAGCGTGTTGTACTGCTCGAGCTGCGACTCTTCGAGCTGCAGCTGCTCTGCCGCAGCAGACTCGGCGGCGGCGGCGGACGAGGAGGAGGAGGAGGAGGAGGAAGACGCGCCACCCTTGCCCTTCCGCTTTCCGCCGCCGCTACTGGAAGACGAAGAAGCCTCGTTCACCTCGCTCTGGGCCTCGGCACTGGCGACCTGGTTGAGCTCGCGCTCCAAGTCGCGAATCTCGCTCTCGCGCGTGCGGTGCTTCTCCTCGGCTTCGGCCAACTCGTTGCGGGCCTTGGCCAAGCGATTCAGTTTGTGTGCGCGCTCCTCTTGCAGCTTGACCAACTCTGGCTGCCGGTCTGCCGACCGCGTCTCGGCCACTTTGATTTTGTGTTCGATGAGCGACAGCTCTTTGAGAACCTTGGCCTGCGCCTGGCGCTTCACCTTGAGCTCCTGCTCGGCGGTCGCCGCGCGCTGCCCCAGGGCCTCCTGCTCTTCAACGGCCTCGGACAGCTTGCTCTCAGCAGCATCAATGTCGGTGCTAATGTGACTGAGCTGCCACAGCATGTGCTGCGAGCGAACAGCCGCCTTCTCGGTCAACAGCTGCTGGTGCTTTTCGGCCTCGGCCATCTGCTCCTTGTACTGGCGCTTTTCGGCCGTCATGCCACGCTTCTTGTTAAAGCAAAAGCTCACATTCTGCTCGGCATCCTCCTTGCGCAGCAGCAGCTCGTCATACTCGCGCTTGAGATCCTCCGAGCCCGAGATTTGCTCAATCAGCTGCGTGAGGTCTTTGGGCGACTTTGTCGCAATCGCCTCAATGTCGCCTTGGAAGGTCAAAAAGTTGCGGGCCTTGACAATCAGGCCAAATCGCTCCAGCGCCTGCTCATAGTCGTCCGCCGAAACGGGGTGGCCGTCGATGCGGTACTCGCTCGTGCCGCCCGAACCCGATTCCGAGCCGTTCCACACGATGGTGCGCTTGAATGTCGTTTCCCCGCCGTCGTCCAACGCGAAAACTGCAGAGACCGAGCCTCTGAGGGCCTTTGGCGTGGCGCCTTCGCCATACAGCAGGCCCTACAACAAGAACACACATGAGAAGTTGCAACGGAACAAGAGTGAGAGTTGTTGGGGACTCGGTCGACAAACTCGACCCATGGGCGATTCCAATTCTACTTGCCTTGAGTTGAGTTGCACGAAGGAGGCTCGAGCGGAGACCAAGAACGAAGCAAATGGCGTCGGTCAGATTGGATTTGCCTGCGAGAGAGAGAGAGAGAGAGACAAATGGAATCAAAGCGTTGAGCCAAAACGAACATGACGCAATTTCCGGCAATTGTGGCAATAACAAGCCGCGGATGACGAGTGGATGGAGGCGGAGGGAGGGAGGGAGAGAGAGAGAGAGAGTCGAACGTTGAACCGTAGAAAAAAAAAAAAAAACAGCAAGCATTTTGGCGGGAAAACTTCGCCTCGAAAAGCCGCCTGCCTGGCTGGAAGCCGCGTCTTGCTCAGCCTCGCGCGGTGCTGGACCATTGTCAAATAGGTACCAACTGCCATCGGCTGGGGTATGGGTGAGGCGAGCCAGCCCACGGGAACTTGCCGCAGCGAGCGACAAGCAAAACCCGCCAAAACGATATGAAATCCAACACGAAAAAGTTGCACGCCCGCAGCAGCTCCCCTCGTCCCTTCCGTTCGTCGCGCGGCTCCACTCGCTTCACTGATTCCACAGGCCTGCAAGTCGGCGTTCTGCAATGCTGCACGCCAGAGCGGCGAGCGTGGCGGCGTTTCGTTGCTGGCGAGGCTTTTTGGCTTTTGTTTCAACTAGCTTTTGCAGCAAACTCCAACCCCCTCTGCCACTGACCAGAGCCATTGGTTCCAACGATGGCCGAGAACGGCTTGAACGGGCCGATTGTGTGTATGCTTCGGTAGGTCTTGAAGTTGTCAAGAACCAGAAGCTTGAGATACATCTGAAGAGAACGAAAGAAGAGAAAGAAGAGAAAGAAGAAAGAGGAGGACTGCATTTGCAATGAATGGAAAACACTAATGGACAATCGTGACAATATGCAGTAGATCTAGTGTAGTAGAGTTGAACTTGTATCGAGACTTGCTTTTTGGAGAACACGACAGCGAGATTTGCATGTCTCTGCTGTTGCTGCTCAGTAAATCTAGGACTCGTTTTGATCATCATTCAGTCTCCTTTGCATTTCGTGCTCATTGTCCAATTTCAATAGAGGATGGCGCTCAGTGGGATTGGACGCGGAATCGCCGCTGGCCAAGCATGGCCGAGCAACTTGCTGGCACTGACGCGGCTCACACCGTTGCCTACCCACTCTGTGACTGCAATTGCTGCTGCTGCTGCCACTGCTGCCTGCTTTTCGCCGATGGTGGCTCATGGGCGTCGAGGCGGGGCGTCGCTGGCGCGCGGTGAAGCAGCAGGAGCTGCCGAAACCGCCGCCCTCAATGCTGTTGCTGCTGCTGCCAGCGCGTCAAAGCAAGGGAATCCACTCCAAGCGAGCATGAACTCTACGTCCATGCCACTGTCCGAGCATGGTGCGCTCGCATCGGCATCGCTGAGCTCCTCGTCGTCGTCGCCGTCGTCGTCAAGCTCCGCCCCAGCCATCTCCGCAGGGCACTTGATGCGACACATGGGCGCTGCATCCAATCTAGCACAAATAGAAGCCGTCGTTGATGCCTTCCGAGAGCTCAAAAGCGTGCGCGGATCGGTCGAGGTGAGACAGTCTTGCGCTTTCACGTTTGACAATTTTTAATGGTTTTGGCTCACTGAATTGATTCATTGACCACATCGCCCTTGGTCGTTTGCTTTTTGTGTGTAGTTTATCGAAGCTGCAATCACTCGTTTGGATGCGCTGGATCTGGACATTCCGAAGCGAACCTATGACAAGCTGCTTGACGTTTTCCCGAAAAACCACACCGTCACGCGATCTTGGCTGGTAAGAAGAGAAAACAAAACAAAAAACAAGGGTTTGCTTGCTTCATGTGTAAAGCAGTCGTCAGAGCGCTTGAGGTGGTGCGAGACAGAGAGGGATTCGATCAATCCGAACTCTTTGATTTTTTCCAACTTTTATGTGCATTTCTGCCAACTTTGCCAGGACGTCATGTGGCCTCGCGAGAATGCGGCCGTCGAGACGGCACTCAAGTTGCTGCAGCGAATGGAGGATGCCAGTGAGTAATGGGAGCGTGTTCAGTTGACCGAGCGCTTTGAACAACATTCTCACGATACATTTTTTCCTGCCCATCAGGCATTTGCCCCGATCTGGAAACGTTCAAGCCCGTATTCTACGCGTTTGGCAAGAAGAGTGTGCCTGTACGCAAGTGTGAAAGCATGTATTACTGGATGACGCTCTTTGGAATGAATCCGAAATCGAAAAGCTACCAGATTAAGGCGTTGCCCGAGGATTTGGTACAAGTTGTTTTACAAACCACCGTTCGCAGGGATGGCTCATCTGTGGATTTACTTTTCGTGACTAACGGTGCCTCTGTTGTCTTTGTGTGTGTGTGTGTGTTCTTTAGACGCTTGTCACGCAGCTCGCGCTCAATCGATTGGTCGGAGTCTCGGATGCTCAGATTCACCAACACGGCGTTTTCCAACGCGATGGTAACGGCGCTGTGGATGTCGGTCACGTCGATCACGTCCCACCCGTGGTGTCTTACGAGCGCCCGGAGGCGCTGGCGCAACTCGACGGCAGCAAGTCACTCGTCGTCACTGGTCCGCACCTGAATTGGTTCCGTCGCACCTTCCAGCCCTATTACACTATTTCCCCCGAATCAGAGCGTACGTTTGCGAATCCACTCGACTGCTTGTTTTTTTTTTTAAACTCGTCTGTTTGCTCAGACGAAGGTTTTTTCGTTGTTGTTGTTGCTGTTGCTGTTGTTGTTGTTGTTGTTGTTGTTTCCCTGGTTTCGCGCTTTGCTGCTCAGCCTCCCAAATCCTTGGGTATTGCATGACGACGCGCCACGATGACACGACACTCATGGCCTGGATTCGAGCCGTGCCAAAGTTTGCCACCGCCAACATTCGGTTTAACTTCTCGCCGCTGGCAAAGACCGCCAGCACGTTGCACGGGCAACGTTTCCGCCGGCAACTGTACGGGCGCGTGTCTCGTCTACCCACCATCGAGGAGCAGCATTGGCAAGAGACTCCAGAGGCGCAAAAGCTGATTGCGGCTTCCAAAAATGATTTCCAAGCTTGAATTTCTTTGTCGTTGTCGTCAACCCAACCCTTTGACCATTTTGCTGTCCAACTACACTCTATTCAACTTGCTTGTTGCATCGATGGTTTGTCTCTCTGTGTGCATTCAGTCTTCTATTTTTTTTTTTTACGTCTTTCGAATGCAGATCATTCCGTTGGAATTGTCGACGGCGCCGCAGCTGACGCTGGGGGAGTGGATTTTGATATCCTACACGATTGCCGTCTTCTTCTTTGACCTTCTCATGGTGGGGTATATTCTGTACCATCGCGAGTACAAGCCGCTCAAAGCCAAGCAGCTCGATCTCGTTATTCTGTCTCTGATTGGTAAAACACGGAAACATTTGTCAACCCCACCCTCGCACTTTTCTAAGCCCTGAGCGTCGGTGTCCTCGTGGTCTTCCTCTCCAGCGCAACAGTCTTTGCGACTACGACTGCTTGGTCGACTGCCCCCTTGTTTTTGGTTTCCATCTGCTCGGCGGCCGGCTGTTGAGTGCGTCTTCCTTGTCGCCATGCGACAGAATTCACGAACGTGATGATTGGCTCGTGTGGCTTGCACAATTTGAATACGCGCCAAGTCAGACACCCCCTCCTCTTCCGCTCCTGCTGTGCAGATGCGCGAGTGAGCGAGGGTTTGAGTTGGGTATGAGTGGAGTCGTCGGATTGCCTTCACCCGAGGAGGAGAGGGAGGGGAGAGAGAGAAAATAGTGAACCAACTGAGCTCAATTCAAAACAAAAAGGTTCCGCTTTCAATCTGCAGTGGCGCAGTAGCCCATTCATTCGCCTCTCGCTTTCGAGCGTGGTGGCGTGGCAGAGACTGCTCACTCCTGCTCCATTCTGAGCGGTCTGCGCGGGTCTCGGCGCATTCCCCAAACTCAGCAACAGTGCAGGGGAGATGACGAACCCGCTGCTTCCCCTTGTCATCAGAACCGCATCGCCTTCTCTCTCTCTCTCCCCCCCTTCTCCTCCTGCTCCCCGGCGCCCTCCAGATCATTCACACTCGACACGCTTGTTTTCGCATCTATTCATCTCTTGGTCATCCACTGCTTTCCCCCCTACGCTTTCTTGGCCAATCTGCAGCGTCGCGGCAAATCCGCTGCTCACGCGCATCCGTTTGACGCGCTTGCTTTCCCCCACCAACCCTTCCGCTTCCCCCCCCCCCTCCTCCGCCTCCCCCATTTCCCCTTCCCCGCCCCCCATTTTCACGTCGCACTGCTTCCGTCTACAAACAACATTCTCTCGTCTTCCAGCGATTCCGCTTTTCGAGTTCGTTTTTAATCTTTTTTAATTTTATTGTTTTTGATTTTTATATTAATTGTTGTTTTTGTTTTTGTTTTTGTGTTTATTTTTATTTTTATTTTTTATTGGACGCGCGCGCAATCACAAACGAACGAGAGCAAAGCAGAGCGTTCGTAGGCGGGGGGCGGGGGGCGGGGATATGACTACAGAGACGAGATGCGAGCAAGCAAAGAGAATTCGCGAATGAGAGAGAGAAGCTCAAACGGGGTGAAATGAGACGCGGAGCATTGTCCGGGTGACCTCATTGCGTTATTGTGTTTGGTCGAAACCCGCAAATCGCTCGCTCAACACAAAACACAAATTCGCACTCGCACGAAAGGAGGACGTCGGGTTTCAATTTGATCACACTAACTTGATTGCTTGGTTGTCTTGGTGCTGGATTTTTGGCGTTCCACACCTCGCTTGCTGAAACATTTCGATGCGTTCGTCAGCTGGATGGTTTTACATGCTGGGCACTTTGGTAAGTTGCTCCCTTTTGTTTAAATTGCTCGTACTAGGCAACCTAAGCATCCCGAAGGTCGAAGTCCTTGGTTTGCTTTAGAGAATGTGCATTTGGTTTGTCTGATTGATTGTTGTTGACTGATTTGCCTCTCTGATTTGCCTCTTCTGCACCTCGTACAGCAAGCAAGATGGGTCCTTCCACACTCGGGTGTCTTTAGCAATTGCGCATTCTGGGGCATTGCTGCGCAGTTGATGCTCGGTGTACGTGTCAATCATCTTCTTTTTGCCAAAGTGCATCCACTCGTCCCTTGTTCTCGCGTCAACACTAAAATCCGACATTTGATTGCATCCGTCGCTAGGGCTACTTGTGGATTGTGGCCGTGCTGTTCCGGCTGTATCGCCTCAACTACATTCTGCTCAACCCTCAGATTCGGAAAAAGGCCCGCCACCCCGCGTGGATGTATCTTCGTCTGTTTCTGTTCTGGGTCCCTGGCATTCTGCTGTGCTTGATTGCAATTGGTAAGCCACAACAACGTCTCCTTTCTCGAGTGAGCAACACACGGAAAAAACAAAGCAATAACGACAATGTCCTTGTTCTTACCCCCAAAAATGCCATCCCTGCAGGCACTGGAGGTGTTTCGCACGACTCGCTACCCAAGGACGACGGCACCTTCACCGGCGACATGTGCCACAGTAACAAGGACTGGACCAAAGGCTTCCTCGGGCTTGCACTCGTGTACTTTTTGGTGATGCTCTACTACGCATTCCGGCTACGCAACATCCGGCTCTCCTTCAACGAGTTTGCGTACACAAAGTACCTTGGCGTAGTGGTTCTTGTGGCGTTTTCCGTGTACGGTATCGTCTTGATGCTGGACTACGACTACTACCTCTGGGGCCGGATTGTCATTGGTTATATTGTAAGTGGCGGATTCAACAGGTGTTGCTTTCAATCATGCGAGAATTCCGTGTTTGCGCTCATCTCCCGCGTTCACAACACAGGTCCTATTGTGTACGCAAGCGTTCTTTTGCTTCCAAATCGGCAGTCCTGTTTGGGGCTGCATGTTTGACCGGGAAAACTATGCACACCAATTCCGGATGAACATGTCCAAGGACGCGACACCGTCGGCTCGCAAGCAGCAGCAGTCCTCGTCCAAGCAGCATAGTTCGCAAGGGCAGTCGCACCACGGCACGGAAAATGAAAAGCGAGACTCAATTGTGGAAATGCACGATATTCGGACAAGCCAAACAAGCGACTCTGTTCAGGTCGAGCTGGAAGCAGAATAATGCTTGCGTCCGCTCTCATACCATACCAATGCATGGTATTGTGCATGTTGTCTATCAACCAAGTAGATCTAGATGTTTTTTTCTTTTGCTTTCGTGTTCCCGCTTCTGTTTAGATGAGAAAATGCGTTTCAAATAACCTTGTCGTGCAAAACGAAAGCCAATGTTGTTTAATAAGGTGGCAAGGGAAGGCAAAATACAAAAGCGAGCTGTAGTAACATGAAACAAAAGCGAATAAAGCCGAAAAACAACAACAACAGTAAACAAACACCGAAAACAGAATGATGCATGTGAAATCGAAGGACGGAAAGTACACAACTGCGGTGCTTGCCGCGAGATAGCTACAGTAGCTACAGATCGCGCGCACGCACACCAGTCAAAAGATAAAAGAAGCAATCCCCGTGGACAAGCTGATAGGTAGCTTGCGGGAAAACGACAAAATCGACACCGAGGTGATAGAAAAGGGCTGAAATACTGTATCCTGTCAAGTACGACATCGTGTACTCGAAAAGAAGAGAGAGAATTGACATGGCGCTACTGGTAGAGCAGGTGCACGCGAGGATAGCTGTTGTTGCCAAGCGACATTGGATGCACTGCCATGTGGTTGTACTTGAAGTCTGTCAGCCACTGAGCAATTTCCTCGACTTCGTCCGGGTCGGTCGGCACAACAACATCGGTGCGGCGGTCGTAGACGGTGGAGGAATGCGCCTTGCCGACGCTGGTGAACTGTTCCGAAAACGAGACACGACGGCGGAGGCTGGCGGACGGGACTCCTGCAGCCGCTTGCTCGTCCATGGACGTGATGGATGCGGCCAGCGACGAATTGGACGAGTGTATTGACAATGGCGGGCTTCGGATGGAGGAGCGTCGCGGCTTGGCAAAGCGAGTCGGGGACGGTGCGTGCAGAGGAAGGTCCAGGCCGTCCTTGTCGACCACGTCGCTGGACTCTTCGTCCATTGCCTTGCAATCCTCCTCGCTAAACCGCGCAAAGAAGGCGGCGGACATGTGAGCATCCACATGCTCTTCTTCTACTTGGAGCAGCTCGTGCGAGTCGTGGAACTGATCACCGTCCATATCGTCGTCATTGTCGTCGCCGTCGTCTTCGCCGTCGTTGTCAGCGTCGTTTTCGTATGCGTCGGTGAGCGAGTGGCGATAGTGGAGGTGGGCACGGCCGCCATGGCGATGGTGTGTAAAGTTGCTGGCTTGTGCAGAGGCATCGTCGGCGTCGTCATCGTCGTCGTTGTTGTCCTCGCCAGACGGATGGGTATCGCCGTCACTCAGACTGCGATGGTGATGGAGCGGCACTGCCCTTTGGTGTGATGGGAGCGCTTGGACCTGGATCGAGGATGCTTGCTGTCGGGCAAAGGTGGTGTCCGAGTCATCGAGCGAGCGCCGCTCGCCAGACCCGGCAAGCTTTTGGTGCATGGCTGGTGCTGGGAGCGAGTTCTGGCGTGCCACGATTTTCGACATGCGTGGCGGCGGCTGTGGCATGGCAGCCTTGACGGAGGGCTTCTGAGGTGTCGGGGACGTGACAAGCTGAGCGTGCTGCAAAACCACGATTTGCTGCGCCGATCGAGGTGCCGGCGCGACCTGCGGGACGACCGTGTCCTGACTTGCGGGCGGCGCGCTGGCCGGCGAGGCCATGCTTGAAACGAACGATGCCATGAAGGAGGAGGAGGTGGTGGTGGTGGAGGTGGCAGCGTCCGACGGTGGAGGGGACGGCGGTTTGGCAAGGGGGGTGTTGCTTGCGTTGCTAACGCCAATTTTGGACTTGGTCGCCGACAAAATGCTCATGAACAGCGTGCTGGGCACTGCGGTCGCGTCGTCGTCGTGCCCGGGCGAAGGACAGGCGCCAGACATGCTGCTGTTGCTGCTGCCTTCAGTGGCAGAAGAAGTCGGCGGGCGGGCTGACGTGGGTGGTGGTGCTTGGAGCAGGATAACCGTGGCGTCGTGATTGTCCGCGCACTTTGGTTGGCAGGCAGCCGGGCGAGTGGTCATGGCGGTCTCTGCGGCGTCTGTGCTTGGGCTCGTGGTGATGGGAGTATTCACAGCGTCCGACGGCATCCAAATGATCATCCGAGGCGAGCGAATGTGTTTTTGGGACACGTCGAAGAGAAAAAGGGTTTTTGGGAGATTTAAAACGAAAAAAAAAAAAAAAAAAAATTGGCGAAAAAACGGGATTCGCAGACCTGAGTCAAACGTGATTTCTGCCAGCGAATGGGTGACGCGCGGAAACGGGGGTGAATTTGGCTGAGGATATCAGGCAGGAGCAAGATGCGTCGAGAGCGTATGTGAATGGCACTGCGGCAACTAGGGTTGGCGAAGAATGAGCTCTGTGGCGGAGGAGCAGCGAAAGGAGAAAAAAAAAAAAAAAGAAAAGAAAAAACAGTGCAAGACAGCGAAAGAGAGAGGGAGAAAAAAAAAAAATTCAAGGTGCTAAAAACACGAGGAGCACGTTTGGAGACAAGCGAGAGGAGAAAGTGCGTGAGCCGTGTGAGTATGAGTGTGTGTGTGAGTGTGCGTGTCACAGGCGCTTCTTCTGTGTTGCGAAGGTGAGAAAGCCCCGAATCAGAGATGTAAAAAAAAAAAAAAAAAAAAAGGAGTAGCAGCGGTTGAAAAAGAAAAAAAAAAAAGAGTAGAAATGAGCTAAAACCAAAAAAGGAGTTTTCAAGTCATCAAGTTGTTAAATGAAATGACAGTGCCCAGCGTGGGGTTGTGATTATGCTACGAGAGCACCATGCCAGCAGCAGCAACAAGCAACCGCGTGCGAAAGACTGCCTCAATCAGAAGGCGCTGGAAATACATCAAAACAAAAGAAAAGTAAAAAAAAAAAAAAAAAAAAAAAGATACAACAACAAGGGTGGGTTTGTTTGCATCGACATACCAACAACCTGTGAGATCTGACGCCGTTTTGTGAGATGGTGATGCAGTGTCAAGTGCGGGGAAGACTGGGCGTGCGAGGCGAGGGCTGACGGAAGTTGGGGGGCTTGGAAGGCATCATCACAAAGAGCAAACGGTGTGAAATCACCAAACCCGAGGCGATGACTCATGTCGAAAATTAGCATTCACTCTCAACAAATAAAAACCGCGCTCGATTTTTATTCTGTTTGTATGTATCGGGACAGAGCAGAGCAATGCAAACCCCCAACGGATGGCAAGAAACTCTCATGAGGTGGCAGGCACCGGAAACACGGCAGTGCATCGGCAGAGTGGCTTGTCAGCGCTGCTGGACCGCCAGTTGTCAATGCAAAACACAATAAATCCGCACATCGTACCGTAACAACAGCAGTAGCAAAACAAAATATAAAGTACCCGAATAAACAAACAACAAATGACGGCTGTGCTGTGACGATGCGCATCGCAAACAACATACGTCACACGTACATAAAGAGGCTGATCATTTTTCGCCGACAATCGCGTTGCGAATGCGAAAAGTAGCTCTGTTTGGTCAATAAAAAGCGTCCCATCGCGGTATGGGAGCTGTGCGTTCCTGAGGGAGTAAACAACAAGGATTGCAGTGTGTTATCTCGTTTGCATCACCCATCGGCATGACACAGTCGTTGCCTCAAGCGACCGGAATGAATTCGGGGACAACGCCGATTTGTACCGCCTACTCTGAAACGGATGTTTGTTCATTGACTACAGTACAAAAGGTTGACAAGCTACACTACTCATGAGCTGATGATGATGCTGATGATGATGATGATGATGATGATGATGATGATGATGCACCATCGGGGGCGGCACCATGGCCATGCGCACAGTCGTCCGAATGCTTGTGCTCATGACCCTCGCCGCCGTCGTCACTGCTGTCACTGGAATGCCTGTGTTTGTGCTTGTGTCCGTGACGGTGATGATGATGATGATGCCGATGTGGTGGCCTGTCGTAGCTGTTCATGTTGTGAAACGGGCAATCCTCGTCGCCGTCGCTCTCGCTCGTGTCATCGGACGACTCGTCGAACGCATGCGGCTTGCGATAGATACAGCAAACTGCAACAAAAACAAATCCCCCGCACGTTCAAGACAAGACACACACCAAACGTGAGCGCATGTCTGTGCTGTTTGACTTGGTGGAACGAAATGGTACGTTTGCTGACAGTGCCGGGTTGGTCAAAAACGGCCACACGTTCTCCACCCGCCAACTCAAGCACCACCACCAGCCCGTTGCGCCCTGCTGTTGTTCACTCGGAGAGCATCGTCACAACCGAGTCTCTGTGTGTATGTGTGTGTTGCTTACTCTTTGACTTTTTCTTATTCATGTGCTCGTTGTCCACAACCTTGTCGTTCCACTGCACGCGACGTCCCTCCGCGGTCGCTGGCTGCCGCAGCCTCAATGTCAAGACCTGCTTCATCATCATCATCAATCATGTGCAACACCAGAGACGTCGAATCAAATACGTTGTGAGACCCTTCGCTCACTCGCGTGCTTTTCGCATTCACAACGCACAAGCCAGTCTACGCACAGAAGGCGCTTGCTCTTGCTCTGCAGCTTCGATGGTTTGTGTCTGTGTCGTCGTCGTCGTCGTCGTTGGTTGCGACGCGGCCTGAGCACTTTGCGCAGTCTGCATTCGGCGTGTGATTGTTGGAACAAAAACGATGACTGGGCTTAGAAGTCTGAGAAAGGGTCGTCTTAGACAACAGTGCGATCATTCACTCAAAACTCTTACTGCATCCTGACCATGCTGGATACTTGTACTGTTCATTGAATGAACAGTACAACTCTCTTTCTCGCTCTCTCTGCGCAATCCGCTCCCACTTCCAGACCGACGTACCCACACCCCCCCCGCCATTGGAAATCCTGCTGTGATTGTCACCCGCATTCACATAGTCAAGTTCTCCGAAATTTGCGACATGGGATTTTGCTCTCAGTTCTCAGTTCTCAGTTCTCAGTTCTCAGTCTTTTTTTCTTTCTTTCCTTCGTTTCTGAGCTCTTCTTTCCCTTACTTTCCCCCTTTTTTTTTGTCCTCTTCCTTTCACTCTTTTTCATCTCCAAACCAACCCAATCAAAAAGCAGCCATGGCGCGACCGGCAATGTCCAAGTCGACGTCGAGCACCAACGCAGACCGCACGAGCACGACCAAGGACGCCAACCAGCGCACCAAGGCGACGATCGACCGCCTCAATCTCTACCGCACCGGCGGCAAGTCCAAGCGCGATGCCAGTGGCAAGATTGTCAAGGCTGCCCCGTACCAGGGCTGGGTCGCCTCGGGCACGGTCGCGCGCATCCAAGCCGACCGCCGCTGGTTTGGCAACACGCGCGTCATTGGACAAGACCAGCTCCAAGTCAGTTTTTGTTTCTTTGCAGACCATCCATCCCATCCACCTCGATCTGAGTTTGATTACCGCCGTGCCTCTCTGTGCTTGATGCGCTGTTGTGGAGCGAGCGGTTTGGGAGTTGGGGAACGAACGGAGGGATGAGCTCTCATTGTCCATGTGGACCTCCTCTCGCTCACTCACTCGCTCACTCACTCACTCACTCACTCACCCCCGCTTCACGGTCACATCACGCATCGCTGGTCGTTGACGCGATGTTGCATTGGCTGTTGGCTTTTGCTGGCGAGAGTCAAGAGTCGAGAATGGGAGAAGGGAAAGAGGCGAATACAGCAAACTCAATCCATTGTGTAGCCATGTGGACTTACTGCTGCTACTGCCAGTTCCATGACTCTGCCATTGAGATGAGATTGAAGATTCAGAAGCTCACACTTTCATACATGACACTCATCTCGCTATTTCTTTTCTTTTGTTTGCTTCCAAAACTTTGCACTTTGACAGCAATTCCGTGAGGCAGTGGTCGAGAACAAGAAAAACCCGTTCGCAATGATCATGCGCGAGAACAAGCTGCCAATGTCGCTGCTGCAAGACACACCCGCAGCAGGCGCCAACACGCGCGTGCACGTCCTGGACACGGAGCCGTTCGCCAACGTGTTTGGCCCGACTGCACAGCGCAAGAAGCCCAGCGTCGGCGCGGATTTGAGCGACTACCTCAACCGCGTCTCGTCGGCCGGCGGCGCGTACAAGGAGGAGAAGGACTTGAACATTATCGACGAGGGCGACGGCTTTAAGAACGCCGTGATGGACCGCATCTTCTCCAAGGGCCAGTCTCGCCGTATCTGGAACGAGCTGTACAAGGTCATTGACAGTTCCGACGTGGTCGTGCAAGTCTTGGATGCCCGCGATCCCCTCGGCACGCGCTCGTCCTACATTGAAGAGTACATGCGCAAGGAAAAGCCGCACAAGCAGCTGATTCTCTTGCTCAACAAGTGCGATCTCGTGCCCACCTGGGTCACTGCCCGCTGGGTCAAGCACCTCTCCCGCCAAGTGCCGACGCTTGCCTTCCACGCCAGCATTGCCAACCCGTTCGGCAAGGGCGCCTTCATTTCGCTCTTGCGCCAATTCGGCAAGCTGCATGCGGACAAGAAGCAAATCTCGGTCGGTTTCATTGGCTACCCGAACGTCGGAAAGAGCTCCGTCATCAACACACTCAAGGCCAAGAAGGTGTGCAAGGTCGCACCCATCCCCGGTGAAACCAAGGTCTGGCAGTACATTACCCTCATGCGCCGCATCTTTTTGGTCGACTGCCCCGGTGTCGTCTACCACTCGACCGACACCGAGTCGGACATTGTGCTGAAGGGCGTCGTCCGCATCGAAAACCTCAAGGACGCCGCAGACCACATTCCCGAGATGCTCTCGCGCATCAAACGTGAGTACGTCTGCCGCACCTACATGATTGACGACTGGGGCGACCACCTCGACTTTCTCGAGCAGCTCGCTCAAAAGTACGGCAAGCTGCTCAAGGGCGGCGAGCCCGATATTGAGACGGTTGCCAAGATGGTGCTGAACGATTGGCTGCGCGGCAAGCTCCCCTTCTTTGTGCCACCACCGAGCAAGGCGGACATGGCTGCTGGCAAGACCAACTCTGCCTCCGCCGCCGCCGCCACCACTGCTGCCGCTGGTGCAATCACCGCCACTGCTGCTGCTGGTGCAACGGATGGCGCTGCCAGCTTTGGATCTGCCGACGTCAACAGCCGCATCGAGGCGCTCATCGCCCAGTCCCGCTTCAAGCCCGTCACCCGCCCCGTGGTCGGCCAGGACGACGACGAGGTGCAGCCCACTCCCGCCAACGCCCCGCTCGACGAGGACGACCACACTGCCGAAGATGCGGAGGGTGCTGATGAAAAGGCCCTGCTGCGCGTTGCTCTCTCGGCCATTGGTGTCGACGCCAGCGCTGCCGACGAAGAGGTCAGCGACGACGACGGCGAGGACGCTGAGGACTTTGACCCCTCGGTGCGTGCCGTGGACTCTGACCCCACCATGCTGATTGATGAAGACGACGACGAGGAGGAACCGGAAGACCAGGACGACCAGTTCGAGGATGTTGACGAAGACTCGGACGTCGAGGAAGAGGAAGGCGCGTCGTCTCTCCGCGAGCGACAACGGTCCCGCAAGATCAAGGCCAAGCAGGCCAAGTTGCCGCGCGCTGCTCCCGCCACTACATCTGCCGCTGTTCGCGCCCGCAAAGAGAAGGTGGCCGCCAAGTCTGCCAGCGCCAGCAAGGCTCGCGTGGACGCTGCTGCTGCCGATGCCGAGTCTGGCGATCTCTTTGACCAACTTGTCCAGACTGTCAGTGGTGGCAAGACTGCCGCTGCCAACGACCGATTCGCCGGCCGCAAGCATGCACGTGCTGCCGACGACGACGACGAGGACAATGCCGCCGTGCCGGTCGCTCAAGAGTTGCGCAAGAAGATGCGCACCGAGCAAGGCTTTATTGTCACCGAGGAGGCTCCTGCCAAGAAGTCTGCCGCAGCCAAGAGCTTCACTGCCTCGCCTGCCGCTGCCGCCAAGAAGGCAATCGTTGCTGCATCACCAAAGGCGGCGGCCGTGTTCAAGGCTGCCTCGCCCAAGGCCGGGTTGGTCAAGCCTGTCCCCGTCAAGAAGGCTGCTGCCGTGCGCGTCGAGGAGGATGACGACGAGGATGTCAAGGTCGCCAAGGTGAGTGTTGGGACTGCGTTTGTGTGTTTGTTTTTGTTTGTTTGTTTGGTGGGTGTTTGTTTTGCTTGGGTGTTGCATGTGAATCATCATCACTGACTGTCGATTTTCTTTTTGGCGAAACAGGAACCTCGCATGACTACCAACAAGGCGCGCGCTGGTGTGCACTACTACGAAAATGCTAACGTCAAGAACAAGAACAAAAACCGTAAGATTCCAAAGCAACCGCACGGACCATCAAGCGGCCGCAAGCCGGCAGGTGCACCGCGAAAGTAAAACACAATCTTCTTCTGCTTAACATGGGTTTTTTGTGTTTGAGGGTTTGATGATATTGCGCTTTGTTTGAAATTCTTTGTATTTGTACAATAATAGCCCCAAAACAACGATGATCGTTGCTTTGATTTTTTGACGGATTTCGTTTTTTTTTCGCCGAAATGCCCGCTCACTTGGAGGCTGACTCTAACATGTCTAGCGTCTTTCGGATTGCTTTTCTGAGTGACGGGGACGAAAGAGTGGAAAGCAAAACCAGCCTCCAGTTGTCAGAATGCAAGAATCGACGACTCAAACTCGAAACAACAAGACACACTCTGTGCCAATCTCACATTTGCTGGATCATCATTTCAATTGGCTTCATTCGACTGTCGAGCGCCTCTGCTTGTGCCATGATGGAGTACATGTTCCGAATGGACTCGTCGACAGCAACGCCCATATTGTCAATGGATAATCGGTAGACTGACATTGCATCGCGCGTAATGCGACTCGCCTGTACATGGTGTTTCCAATGACAGTTCAATGTGGTGAGGTTTGAGCCTCTGTTGGCATCACGATCAGGATAGCCGAGTATCCGAGCGCTTACATCCTGAACGGACGAAGTGAGCGACGAGACGAGCCCGTCGACGCCCTGCGCCAGCTGCGCGGCGTCCAATTCGAGCTTGTGCAGCAGTGCAGCAGTCTCGCTTGCCGTTGCACTCGCGGCGGTCGCAGCGGCGCTCAGCTGGGCCGTGTCAAGCAGCTGGCTCTGTCCCGACGCTGCTGCTGGGCTGATGGCAGGTGATGCGCGCGACGCCTTCAGTCCGCGCTCTGTCTGTAGATCCATGTCATCGTCGTGGCCATCTCGGTAGACGAGCTCCTTGGCGAGCGATCGGGCGGGTGAGCCCGGCAACGATCTCCGCTCGCTGGCCATTTTGTGACTGGACTGATCTGAGAAGTACGAAACTGAGACAAAAACGAGACTGATGCAACAATTGATTTCGATACAATAGAACATTGGACTGTATTCGAAATTGAACTCGCGTGGCCTCAGTGGAGCTGTCAATGCCAAGCTACAGGAGAGTACAGCACAACTTGTTCCACCATCTTGAACAGCCAGGACCAGTACCACTCCTTCTTATTCTGCTCCCTCGTTGGTTTTATTTTTCTTCTTCGTCCATCCTCTGCACACTCGAATGTCGACTGCGAAAGTCTCGATCCCCGACCTCGCCACTACTGCAGCCACAGCGACCGTGACCACCACCACCGCTGCTGCATCCGTTGCCGCCGTCGCTGCTGCCGAGTCGCCCGCCGCGCACGGCCTGTCTGGCGTTGTTCCGATTGCCCAGGGCGGTGTGTCGCGCGTGCCGCACCACTGGTCGCGAGGGGCCTCGTCCATGTCGCTCGTCGCCAGTCTCAGTCACGACCCTCCTGCGCTTCACACGCACTCGCACTCGCACCCTCACTCTGGGACGCAGTCTAACTCTGGGACGCAGTCGCTGTCCTTGTCGTCGTCGTCGTCGTCGTCGTCGTCCGGATCCACGACTGCTCCGCTGCTGCTGCACGATCACAACGGCGCGAGTCAGTTTGAGCAGGCGTTCGCGACCACGCACGCGCCATTCTGCATGAACGAGTCTGCAGACAAGTCCGTGTTTATCATTTACACTGGCGGCACCATTGGCATGAAGAAGCAGACAAACGGATCGCTCAGCGTCGAGCCAGGTACTGTACATGTTTTGTTTGGTTGCGCTCAGTCCTTTGAGCAAACTTGGATATGATATATGGGGGAGGGGGTTTGCGCGCTAAACCTTCGATGGTGATGATGATGATGATGATTTGTTGGCTGTTAGG